CAATGGTTTCCATTGTGCATGTGAAGAGACAAGAAAGCAATTAGAAAGGCTCGTCAAATTTCCTCAAGAAAAATTGTTTTTCTAAATTGTGAGATTCATTTACTTTTATTCCGGTTCTTTGAGCAAGCCGGTTCATTTCTAATGTCGTACGACACACACTCTCTGCGGGATCTTTTCAAAGAACAGATCATTGACAGAAGTTTATATTAAGGTCTACAAGCACTTAAAACTAAGCGATACTCGTGGTTATTTAGCATTCATTTTGTTACTTCTTTTAACGGACGCGCCTAGCCAACCGTAAGTCAGGTCCGCAGGCGTTTAGGATGTCAGCTGCATGATGCAGCTTGAAAACTCATTTTGATTTGGACTGGATTATCACATTTATGAGTTGTCCTCCATTAAAACCATTAACGTTACTATCTTGGACTGATAAATAAATTTATCCATAAAAACACGGTATGTTCTTTCCCTTCTTTTCTGCTGTCAAGAGGACAACATTCGGTGCATGTGCTGTGGGCGACAATTTACTCAGTTCTAGTTTTACCGACGTTTACGTTCTGTTTTTTGGAGCCAAGATATCAATTGATATCAGACCAGTATGGTCTGATTCTATTCTTTTAGCACAAGGAACGCGAAATCATTTTTCATAGAAACTTTGTTTCTTTCTGGCTTGATCATTTCAAAATGGCTGGCTTTGTAAATGATAACGTATGCTTATAAGTTACTTTTCTGTTTGAAAATAACTCGAGAATTTGCTCTCTTGAACAAAACCTGACTTGAGAATCAAAATACATAATATATTTTTTTTATATCCGTTAGATAATTTCGACTCCCCTTAATACCTTGCTGGGAAACATTATAGCGTCTTCTATTTATAGCAAAGCGTCTTTCAAGCCAATTTCTCTTAAGACATTGTTATTGACTGACTCAGTATGAGCTGACAATGATCAGTGAAGTATACTTCCCGACCGACCATGCAGTTAACAAATCTAATGAAGGACGTGAACAGGTGTTATAGCCCGTGAAAGTATTGAAGAAGAGAAAACCCATTACCTTTTGAATACTAATAAAAGTATGGGGCAGATTTGGAATTTTCCTTGGATAGAGTGCATTTTAACATCGGTCCAAACTTCATATTGTCTTCATATTCGGTATTGAACTTACAACTCTGTCAATATCTTATCATTTTCGATTTCGCAATGTTAATGGTGATTGTTTACGTAAAATACCCGCGAAGTTGAATGTTTATTCCGTTTTATTCAGATGTCGGTTAAATACTGACTTGTTGTGATAAGTAAGCTCGTTTCGTTTTCTTATCAAAATAAAGGCATCTGGTTTTGGAAATAAACGTTGTATTGCCTGTCATCCTCAACAGACCCTCTCGGAGATTGCCAGATGAAATTCACACCAGTTTGATTACAAACACTTTTTTAGACACTCCACACAATGGAAAAACATGTTCGTGGATGTAAACTAACCGCTTTTACGTTCACAGTTTGTGTATTTTACGTGTACTCTATTTTTTGGCTTCCGAAAACAATTTCAACTATGGGAGATAGTGATGTCGAAATACGTAATCATGGTTGGTTGGTGACATAAAACAAAGTCCTTACCCGGTTTTACCTAGTTGATATACGTCAGCGAACAGTCGATCTGGGAAGTTTTCCTTGAATGTGTTTAACAGTCCTTCATTAGTCCTGTTTGATCACCAAAGTGAAAAGGTTTTAGCTCGAGAAACATTCTACGAGCAAATCTGTTTCGCATGGGACTAATTAACAGTGACAACGATATGGTGATCTTGCCAAAAAATCGTCAGTTTGTAAAATAAAATATTCATATTACAAAGCTAATGAAAAGATTGTGTCTCGGTCAGCTTGTAAAAGGCTTGCCTGCTGTTGAAAGCAAGGCAAATGTTGTCCGTCAGAAGGATGGTTACATCATTTATTTTACTTGCCGATAAACTAGGTTGGAAATCAACTCAGTCGTTTTTCTGAAAACCTTGCCTTAGGCAAGATCTGTTTCCTTTTTCTTAATTATTTTTTTTTTCTTTTTACTTCTCTTCAAGTTGGGGCTAGAAATGTTGCACTCGTTTTCTATTTTTAGAAAGATGTCTTGTTGTCATCAGCGTATAGTGCCTTCTTGTCAGAAGAAGATGGAAACCGAGTGCGAGTCACTTGTGAATTATTTGGTTTTGTGCGCGCGAACGCGTAAATGGTTTCCGTTCGTGAGGAATATATGATAACGCAACTGCGGTTTTTAATCTCTACCTTCTTGTAATTTTCATCTGTTTTCGTTGCGAAATAGCGTTAACCAACCGGAAAGATGGCAGTCGGTTAAAATAGAAACATAACTTCCTCTTAAAATTACAAAAAATTTATGTATGTCCGGCAGAAGAAAAACTGAGGCCTCAGTGATCTTCTATTTCATTTAAGATCCTGTGATATTTTGGGTCTATAAAACGAAAACACACGGAGAATGATATCTTTCGAAGGTCGGAAGCGACTGGCTGGTAATTTCATCTTCCAAATTCCCTCTGGTGAAAAAGTGACGATCCGGAATTTTATAATTGATTTTTTTTAACCTGGTCATTGTTTTATCAGTTTGAACGGAACAAGCTTAGAAAGAGCTTTTCGTGCGAACGATGCAATTTACTACCCTACAGCAATTATAACTCCTTCATGTTCGGCTCCGTTTCTACACCGAAAAAAGTGGCATAAATTTTGTGGTTCTTCTGTTTCGGTTCGTGAATCGGATCTCCTATCCACCGTTGTCAAATTGTGTTGGTTTGGGTTTTAATCTCACCTTCTTTTTGTTGAGCAGTCCTTTACAATCTTCTGCTCACATGCTAGTCCGGCCTGAAAGAATTGCAAATTGAGTATGAAATTTCCATTTTCTGGCCTTTAAAGAACTTTGAACAAACACCCGAAAGCAGCATGCTTAATTAGTGATGTTTTTAAGAGCTTTACTCTCCACTTTCATCCACCATTGGCTGATAGATCTCTCATTAGCCAGTGGATTTTGCGAAACACCAATGATGAAAATGTTAATGCTAAGACAAGAAAATGATCTGCCTAGTACTTAATATGGTGTTCTCTTTTAAAGGTTTCCAAATGTGTCACTCAATATTAGCGTCGCGGATCAAACTGACCTCGCGTTCTGATCACTTAGGGGTTATGTCTATCAAATTGGCTTTGAGCTGCACGTACAAGTTACCGCACCTATTTCAAAAAAAAAGAAAAAAAAGACAATTTAGTGATTGTCCACTAAAAATAACTTTGTCCTTTTTTTATTATTTTTCGGATGCCCTTTTTCGAATTTGACAATTATACAAGCTTTTATCATCGGTGGGTGTAAGTGTTTTTTTTTTTTTTTAAATTTTTTAGAAATTTTTTAAAATTTCTTTCCAGAGACAGGGAATGTATATCAAAACCAATGAGAATTCTAACTAATGGATATGAAACTTTAAGCGCAGTGGAAGATCTTAACGTGGTCACTTCGAAAGAGGCATCTTTTTAGGCTATTCACGCGTAGATATACACATTTGCCGGCTGTAATATGAAAATGAAATCTAATTCTTTCACCTGCGCTCAGTTGTGCTATTTTGCATGTCCCGCTTTTTGTATCGCCAATTTTCACAAACTTGCGTCAGCACCGGATTCCAAGCTCCCTTGTCTGCCTTCCACGCTGTTGCAGCCGATCAGGTGGTTCCATCTAAAAATTAAAAGGACAGACAACACTCATAAAGGAACTATGCAAGCACATAGAGAAAGAAATAACTGGCACGGGAAATAACTATTCTTCTTTATTGATTGCGCTGTAGGTAAAGCTTAAGAAGTTGCAAATGAAGTGACAACATAAACAGGTTTTTCTTTGCATCCCTACGATTAAAGAACGTGAGGTAGGTGGGGGCACTTATTCGAGAGAGGTGCTTATTTGATATTATGGCCGGCACTTATTAGTGCGCGTGCGCTTGTTCGATGAAATACGGTATTTCGCATATTTCAGATGACCACATTTTAATTTTCTTTTACATGTCACGACATTATTTTGAAGTACAAACGTATTCAAGTTTTGGTGGTAGTCTTTTACTTTTACTGAATTTCGTGGGCTTTTTTGATTCTGAGCCTCAAAGTTTTCTAGTGAGAGCTCTTTTAAACTCAGTAAAACTGAAAGATGATAAAGTAAGTAAGAGACTATTTCAAAGCAATTATGGTATTAAATGTATAAAGTCTCGTTCGATTTCTACTGTCACTTTCAACACTTGATGGTTGTTACCATGACTTTCTCTTGTATAAATTACACCTTTAATTTGTGTGCGAGCACGTCCTCATTAGCAGCGCTTTAGCGTTTGGTGTTTTTTCGCCTACGGGAAAGTAGGGACCTTTAGCAGTTAGGATGGAAATGCCAAGGAAGACGTCGATTTAAAAATGAATACATATTTTGGTTGGAATTTCGCGAATGACTGGATGTGTTTACCATCTCTTATGATGCCGAAAGTTAACCTCAACATAACGTATGAGGGCGGTGTTGAGTTCCAAATGGAAACTAAAATAATTTGCTGTCGGGGTTTCTTTTCTCAGACCACGAAAATTCTGATGATTTCACGTTGTTATTTTGCAGAGGACTGCGAAGAAATGTACACAGTCATAAAACGCACGCGCTGAGCTGTTGTTCTGCTCATTAGATCTTTTGTTTTGCCACATCCTCGCTGCTGTCGCCATCGTGGTTTGCTTAAGGTTCCTCGTGTGAGGCCTCGGGCACCGTGAGCCGGCGTTCAAGCGCTGTTAGTGCCAGACTCCCGGTAAACCTCTCCTCAACTCGTCTCAAGTCTTACCGCGGGCTTAGAAACGCGGGTCCTGCAGCGCTTATAATGAGGATCTGGTTAAAGCTAAAGTTTAATTCTTGCCTTTTCAGAGATATAAAAAAAAACAATCAAGGAAAAAGAAAAATCATTTTTCATGTTGAACTAGACATGAAGAACTTTTATCAAGTGTTACTCTGCCTGGTTTGTTCGTTTATTTCACTTTTCTATTGACTTGTTTCCTCTTAAGTATTTAAGTAATTGGCTGCACTGTGCCACAGCCGGGCTTCCCTATGCTATGAAATGGAGTCAAGTTCGTACTTAAATAGGGCGTCGAAAGTATTCCAGGATTCCTTTACTTCAGTTGTAGCTCTTTGTTATCGGTTCAGAAAACTCGCGCCATTCTTTAACGCAACCAGGCTTAAAGCTAAAGTGAATCACGACTTGCTTACTCGCGTATTCTTGCGCTTTTTTCTTGGCGATGTTATTGGCTCCTTGTGATATATACCTGTCTTCCGATTGGCTGTTCTGATTACTCTGGTTTCACGACACTCAGCAGAAATGCACTTTATTTATCAAATTGACTCTAAACTGACCTGGCATTCTTGGAGACAAACGATTAAAGAAGAGTAAGTAATTGACGAATGTATACAAAAAGGCTCCTATTTATATCTTCAAGTTCGCGCGAAAAACCGAAACAAAACTTCGCTTCCTAATTTGCTATCTAACTTTAGGGGATGAAATAACGGAAATGACGTCAACGGTTGCCCAGGTGATCACAGATTCCTTGTCATTCGATATGATGCATGAGTACTGCCCAGCGTCATTCATGGCGGCTTTCCTTATATGGAGTACTGAAGAGGTCTGGTAATAAAAACAGTGGCATAAATAGTTAGCCAGAATAGACCTTATTACATCTTTGAATAAAAGAGAAAAATTTGATAATGACCTAAATTTACTTATATTTCCCTTTAGGACATCCAAAAGTTCCGGGAGGACTTTTACATTAGGTTATATCGGGGTTTTAAGTATTTTTAAAAAATGTAGTCTTTAAATTTTTCAAGGCTGTCATTCGCTAGATATGTCAGTTATCTCAAGCCTTACTGGGATATCCAACGCAGCAATCAAACGTAACGCATGCGCAAGGGGATCCAGCTTTGGCCGGCTGCGCGGCACTTTCCCGAACAAAATTTCATAGGAAACTTAGAAACAGCCGCTGTCACGCAAGATATGCGAAAAAAAATTGAAATGTTCATTGAAATCTGCATAAGAAACAAAAGTTGGGAAAAGGAAAACTCGAGACTTTCGTACACAAAGTTTATCAAATTACGGATTTCCTGCTGATTTACCATTTTTTTTGCTTTAACAAACACCGCGATTTACTCGCTTGTGTGGGTGGTTGTCTGATAACCGTTGTACACCTTTTGTTATTCTCTACGAGAAAATACGCATTCATTTAAGTGAAAAAGACGAACAATTGCGAGAAGCTACATTCATTAGCGACAGAAAAACGGGCATTTGCGCGCAAATCAGATTCGATAACGATTTTTGCATTTTAATCAGCATTCAATAACAATTTGGACATTCTTCTGCGTCATTCGTCACCCAAGAGTTAAAAATATACTTTCATCTGCGCTAACCTTCAAGTCATCAACACCGTGTTGAATGGTGTTAGTATGTATGTATGTAATTGCGATATTTAGAAAGGCTGGCCCAGTTCAGCTTAAAGCTGGTTAAATGGGGGCCTGTGTAAACAAAAACGAGGCCAGACCACAACACCAGTAGCTAAGTTCCCAAATCTTTGCTAGAAGTCCGTGGATTCTTTAACGACCCCTGTACGGTATGGTTTACTAGAAGACTAGAACGCTTACCATTCGTCAATGTCCTAGCAAAGGCAACACATTCTCCACAATTATTTTAGGCCCGGTCTGAACCTCCCGCACGGCAGTCCGGCGCTTTATAACTGAGCTACCCAGATAGTCTATGAAAAGCGTAGTATTGTTTCCTTTTGAATGGGCCGTGTAACTGATTAAATATCGTGACCAATGTTTGTTAGAATGACCTTAGGAGTGGTCGGAGTATTACTAACCTCCCCCTCCAGGCATCGAGATCTTCTGTACCAGCGATACTTGAGATTCTTGCCAGTAACATGGCAGAAAAGCTTGCAGTCTTTTCCCAACTGAACTGTACAGGATTCTGGGTGTTTTTCTATGATTGGAACTGAGAGTAAAATTAAAAATGGTAAGAAAAGGTGGTTAGTTGGGACAGCGAATTTGAAGGCGTCTCCCCTCGGTGTCAAGGCACACACCAGTCTTAAAAAGCAGTCCGTTTAAGAGGTCTGGCGGAAAAGAAAGAATTGGTTTTATAAATTTCAAATGGACAGCAATAGGAGCGCTAGTGGCTCATTTAGCCTCTTTCAGGCCTTCAGTCAGTAAAACATAGCGAAATAGTATACGGTACGATAGTAGCGGCATATGAAAATAGCGATGGAGGTTTGGGTCGGGTCGCGTATAGAAGTGGTGGATGGAGCTTATACTGGTTTCCATGGCATAAAGCGACTAAGAGTATCCTCTTTCTTGATATCCTGTTCATAGTAGCTTGCTTACTTCCACTCTCCCCCACCCCGCCAATTCGTTAGGTTTTTCCCGGACCCCCTTAGTCTGCTGGTATCCATCGGGTGGTGTGAGTAAAGTTTCTAACCAAAGAACGTAGCACCATGACTCAATTAGCGCTTCAACCTAGACCTCTTGACTTGTAGTCAATCGCGCAGACCACAAGCTTACTGTTTGTCCATCTCAACTTTGTTTAACTGGTATCACGAACCGGTGCAATCCAACCACTGACGGTTGCTGTACTGTGCATTTGGGTTATTGAATCAGTGAAGTTATCAGCAGTTTGATTTATCACTGCCAGAAAATACAATCAAAACTAAGATCATTCTCGTGGTGAAATTTCATGGCTCCTTTTAAGCAGACTTTCTTAAACAATTGAAATGGCACCAAATTGAATACAGGTTGCGTTTTCAATCGAAAAAAAGTTCTGAAAGGTTTTATAATTATTTTCAACAGGTATGTTTGATGAGATTACAGGTCTTAAAGTGCTAATTGACGGTTGCGAAAACGACTTCTTCACATTTATGCACATGGTTTTTAAGACCTTTAAAAATCCTGCATAAATTAACAAGAGTAAAGCTACTTTTTTTGAAAGTCTTTTAAATGCAAAAATATAGCCGGTAGTATCTTTTAAAGAAGCGTGCTCTTAATTCCCTACCGCCTAGTCAATCGGTGTGATGGTGAAAGACTGGCAACGAATGAGTAAAAAAAGTCAATACAAAACTTGATCAAATAATTCGCTAGAGTGTACTAAAGATGCCAACAGGCAAGTGTTTAAAGCAAGTTTATACACTGGTCGATTCGTTGTTAAATTGAACGGTAAACTGAGAGGTTTCACTACTCAATGTTACAACGAATTTTCTGTAAGCTAAGTTGCTTGTAAGTTACCAGAATATAGACTTTGCGGATTTTGTTAACAGCTAGGTTAAAATAAAAGATATAGCAGGCTCATCACTTACCTTCACTCAAAACTGAGGGCATGTTAAATCAGATAAGCATCAATCCTGGATATTATTATAAAGCTATTCGTTTGATGATGTTTGAAGATGGAAGTACTGACCCTTGCATTAAGAATTGTCACGCTCGGCTCACAGAAAACCCAACATGCTCTGGGAGAATACAAACTGCTGGTATTGTGGCATGTGCACTTGGAATTTGACTGGTAGTTTATTGGTTTTAAAAAAAATGAAGGCTTTATACAACTCTAAAATCGAATCATAAACTGACTGAGACAAGGAGCAACACCCACTAACAAGCCTTTTGCATCTTTACTACCGCAGTTTTAAACGGCCCTTGAGATGAGAGGATACTAATTTAAGACGGACAATTGAAATGCCTGGAGAGTGAATTTCATAAAGTTCAGACTGGTGATGTAAAGAAATATATTTATAAGAACAGAAACTAGCTGCAGTTACATGTAATTCTGCTACTTTTGGCGACTGAACACTTCTAAAAGATTACAAGAGTTTGCAACCAAAAAAACCGTTCAATTAGTTCTTATTTGACGTTCGCTAATACTAAAGAGTAGAGGGCTTAGCCGCCCCCCCTCCCAATTTTCGCTTGAACGAGCTGCAGCCCTCCCCTGCCCTTGCTGCTCTGCCGCCTCTTACAAGATTAGTTTTTCAACACGTTTTTAATAATTTGTAATCCGTGTTCATCTTTTCCCTCCTTAACAGTCGTCCTTCGTTTTTCCTATATTATTTCCACTTTGTCTACCGTAACAAGTAATAATTGTAGGATTTTCTTTTAATTTAAGATAAATCTCTATGATGCTCATAAAACTTTCACTCCCGTGGTGCTGACCCGGCGGTGGCATACCCATTAAATTTTAGTCTTATGTAACTTTATATTTTCGAATTTCAGCTCAGAGGTTTACGAAAAGTGGTCAAAAAATAAAGACACAGTTGAGTTTGCGTGAGTTTTGATACGAATGTGTTTGTTTAGTAGCCAATTACAGGCACCAACTGAAAAATCTAGAAGTGTCGAGCCTTTCATTTGAAACTGAATAATCTGCCTTAAAAATAAAAAAAAAAATAATAATTTTTTTTTTTTTTTAATTTTTTTTTTTCAACGTCACCCACCACTACCGCAGGACAGGTCAGATAGGAGTGAAGGGCAAACAGGGGAAAGCTTGGGATACCTGTGCAAGCTTTGTTTCCAGGTCTTGTCGAGTGAAACGCCTGGAAGAAACTTGTCTTTGGTTAAAGTTCATTCGAACAATATGGCGGAACCGGTAGCGGAGGTGGCGCGTGTTTTGGAAACATATAGAGGCAGAGAGAAACTAATGCGACTCCTTCAGTATGCCAGCTATTTGGCGAGTGGAGGGTTGCAGAAGTTGTCTTACGAGTCTAGTGCAGGAAAATTTCGGATCTGGGCGGAAGCAATTAGTGAATGTCGGACTTTCCTTCGTTTGTTTGATGACGCTGCAATGTTGTCCTACGCACGCGATTATGGAACTGGAAAAGAGGTGGGAAATAACAATACAACATGAAACCAAAAATAAATGATGGCATAAAAAAAGAATAAGGAAGTACATTTTTCACTATAGAAATTTCTTCAACTTAAACAACCCAATAACCTAAATACTCCGGTTCGGGGAATCATTATCATGGCTTCTAGCATTTTTTAGAGTAGCGTCTACGGTAGGGAAGGTTTGTTCTGATGGGAGGCTCATTACTCATTACTTCATACATATGTTAAGATTTGTTGCGGAAGAAATCATATGATGTGTCGTTATCCATGTACAAGTGTAGAGCCTTGAATTAATTTAAAATTTATGCTTTGTGTTTTGGACTTTGTGAAGGCCCTCAACCTTTAAACTCCCAAGATCTGATTGTTAATTCTCCCCTCCAGCTGCTACAGATTTCCTTGAAAATAATTTATAATAATTTGGTGTTAGATCACGGTAACAATCAATCAATCAATCAATAAACTTTATTTACCCTTGAATTTACAGTGTAGCACTCAGGTGCTAATGTCTTTGAGCAAACTACATTAATAAATAATTATAATAAAAAGATTAATTCTATAACAAATAGGATAACTAACTACCTAGACAACTAACTAGCAAATTATCTTGATGTAGAAAGGTTTGCAGTTCCTGCCCTTTAAAGTAAATTATTGTACCTAGTAGATAACAGTCGTCGAAAAGAAGTAAAATCAGAAATAGTGCGGTGATGGTCAGGAAGAGAATTCCAAGATATTGCTGCCAAGTAACTAAAGGAATTGATACCATAAGAAGAGGTCAATGGTTTAGGCAAACAGAGTATATTATGTCCTCTTAAAAAATAGGTGCTAGAGCACAAGCAAAACATATCTTTTTAATATCTTGGATAATCAGAAAAATGTAGACATTTAAAAATAGTAAGAATCATGTTTTGTAAACGCTTGTCCTTAAGGTTTACAGCTCCTGCACTTTTAAGTAAATTATTGTATTCAGAGTTAAAATCCTTGAAAACAAATCAAAGAATACGTTTGTTTAAAAGATCCAATTTATCAGAATCTTGTTTATTAGAGAAATGCAACACCATAGAACAATAATAAAAGTGAGGAAGTATTAATGCCTTAGAAAGACGTAGCATGGTTTCAGTAGACATCAGTTTGCTGAACCTTGTCATAACACTAAACTGATTGTTTACCTTTTTACATATAGAGGACACATGTTGCTTAAACTTAAGATCTTTATCAATTATAACGCCAAAAAGTTCCACTGAGTCATTTACTGAGAAATTAAACTTCTTTTTGATAATTACAACAATATAACAACTTCTTTCTGATAAGTTTGTTTATTCTTATGACCTGTCTGCTGGATAATGCACTGTGTATGGGTATTATAGGGAGAAGTTACATGTAAACCACTTCTGGAAATTAAAGGATTAAAGTGATAAATGCATTTATTTTTCTAAAATAGTTAATTCACAACCTTGACTTGGACTGTACAGTTTACAAAAAGGAACCTGAGGTCAGCAAAGACTGGAAGTGCACATTTGCCCACCAAATGTTTTCCTCATGCAAAGACCAGAAAATGAGTCTACAAGTTTCAAAACAAAGTCTTGATCATCTCTTATTATAAAATAATTCAAATAGTACACGTGCTCTGATTGGCCATAAAACCATTTTACATGAGCGTATCTAAACACGGTTTTTGTTCCTCTTTCATTAGTTATTTTATAAAAGAAATGTAAAATGGTTTCCGTATTTACATAGCCTGATGAAAACACGCAGGAGGTTGGGAGAACACGAGATAAGTGTAGGAAACCATGACGTGAAGCGGAGTGGTTTCCAGCTTATCTCATGTTCTCCCAACCTCCCGCTTGTTTACATCAGGCTATGTAAACAAGGAAACCATTTTACATTTCTTCATTGAACAACATTGAGAATGTTAATTTAGGAAGTTATGTAAGGGTTGCAGGTCAGGCAATTTATGTGGAATTTTTATTCATTTCCCCCCAAAAATGAATCAGTTGACAAATGGGATATGGAAGAAAATGATGAGTTCTGCTTTCTGGTATTTCCTTGGGGAGCGATCTGTCTGTCTTAGGATTGTCTAAGGAATTATTATGGTTGCTATGCATTTATTGCTAATAATCTTAAGCAATGTCTCTACTTTATTTGAAGTTTGGTGTTTTTCTTTCTGGCAGGAAAGGGACAAAGTTGTGCGCTGGACAAATCTTGTGGACATATTCTGTGGTTTGACATTTTACCCTTTGGAGCATGTTGCCTGGGCAAGGGACAAGAAACTGCTGGCTGGTAAATCTGAGAAATTATGGGACTTGTCTCTATACACTTGGATAGGATCACTTATAGCATGTATTATAAGAGACTTGTGGCTTCTCAAAAAGCTTCGGCACCTACAAAAGAGCAGGTCAGTACCCAGGTTGGTCATGGCCTTAAAGAAATGTGTACTGTTAACTGATATAAATTGTAAAATCAGAAAATTTCTGTGATGAATTAATTGTTTCTAGTTGATCTGAATACATGTAAAGAGCACTCCAATAATTATTTCACTTAAGCGTTTCTTATTGCTAACTGCAATGGACTTTAACCCTTTAACTCTTAAGATATGATTGTCAATTTTCCCCCGTAGCTGCTATACATTTCCTTGTAAATTAGTTATGAGAACTTGGTGCTAGATCAAGATAGCAGCTTCTACCTGATAAGTTTGAATATTCTCATTACCTGATTACTAAAGAATGTATGGATATTTTAGGGAGAAGTGGTATGTTAATCACTTCTGGGAGTTAAAGGGTTAAATACTTACATCTTTCATGTAGGGAAAAATATTATATTGCAGTACATTTTTCATATTTTTCTACTCAGGACACAGCTTGTCAGTGACAGCAGTGGAGATGTACAAACATCATCGTCATCCAGGCAAAATCAGATAAAATATCTGCAAAGAAGACTTATCATCTCAGTGATAGGATTCACTTCTGATTTAGGAATGGCCATTCATTGGGCTCCAGCTGGTTTCCTATGGGCTGGCAAACTGTCGATTGGAACTGTTGGCCTTCTTGGGACAGTATCGTCATTTGCCGAACTGTATAAGTACTTTAAACCAGCTGCTGCATTACCTGATGAGGCTCTTGGAAGCATTTGATGTTACAGAACTGATTTTTGTTTTCTTGTCACCAACATACATGTAGCTTATTGATGGAAATAGCACTCAATGTACTGTGTATTTAATTACTTACTTCATGCATATTTACGTCAAAAGAAAGCATAATTATAAATCAAGTATAGCTTGTCATTTCAGAACCAAAATTGAATACTAAATATTGAATCAGGAAGTTCTAAATTATTGCTCCCAATTCTCTGTCTCTCTCTTGCCATGCTATTTAGTAATTAGCAGGGGGAATAAGTCAAAGGAAAGGAAAAAATATGAAGACATTCTTGTATAATGTCCTTTAAATTAATTTTAAAAAGCTTTAGAAGCAAAGAAATACAAGAAATAAAAATCACATCACATTTCAGGATCTTGTCAGATTTTTCCCTTTATTTGCTGAGTGAGGTAGACATATTTTTGTTAATTAGTGAGAATCACTTGCAAGGCCCTGGGAAACAATGCCCATTCAGTTCTCAACCTCCTACACCTGAATATGAGCAGGTATATTCTCCATACTGTTCTCTACACATTTCTGAAGGTGTTGATGAGGAGAGTTTGTCCAACAATCAAGAGATTCCTCAGTTGGTGATGATTTCTTTATTCTTGTGACCATACTTTGTGATTAAAGGGTGATAATGTAAGGAAAGATTAGATGCTAGTCACTCTTCAGGGTCACATGCATCACACCAGAAAATTTAGCTCCGTTATCATCCTGGTCAGGGCATATACTAGACTAAGCAATTGCGTACCTGGAGGAGTATTAGAAAAATTATACTGCTAGACACCTCTTTTCTCTCTTGACATAGAACAAGAGTGTAAGGTGAGGGGAAATTGGGGCAAATCAGGGTGTGCCATGTCCCTTGGTCTTAATCCAGCCCCTTACTATTAATTTTTCAATTATACCTCAACCTTCCCCTCACATCAGTGGGACAGGAAATGAACAGGCATTCCGTAAAAGTTCACATATAAACTAGTTTTCACAGGTCATGAATTTCATAACACCAGTAGTTCTATTAACAGCTGGTTGCTAGGTTCTACTGTCACTATTAAGACCTCTCACCACTGTCCTTGGTATGTCCCCCTGCCCCCCCCAAAGTCTCACCCCACCCCCCATTTTTTAGCACAGCTGCCTATAGCACTTCTAATAGCTGCTTATGGAAAAAGTTATTAAAACCTGCAGAACACATAATTTTAAAAATTGACTTCTTACTTTGTACTTTCCAATAAGAAAGAGAAGAAAGTAAATCCTTCGGTGTCTGAGGTTTTTATTTTATTAGTGCCTTAAGGCCTTCATTAACAGCCTTGACAAGGCTGCTTTCCATAGCTTGAAGCCACTACATTTTAATTTCTTTGAGATACATTCTTCCTTTAAGTGAGCTTCATGTACACTGTGATGTAGCTTGTATACAGTATTAGATATCTCGCTGGTATACTTTAAACTCATATTTGATTCCATTATCTTCATGAACACCACTTGGCACATCTGGATCACTAAATAAAACACAAGAATGAATAATTAAACCTGTCAACAATTGCCCACTATAAATTTTTCTCTACTGCTAGTTTGTATGTTGGAATACCAACAGCTAGGAACCATTCAGTAAAAAGGACATTTTAAATGGCCCACAGAGGCAAAAGATTGCTACACTTAAGTTCACCAACATTCTGCTTCACTTTTAATTATTGAGCTTTTTTAGACAAAGATATGGTGTTTATTTTATTTTTCAGTCCTTTATTTGCATCTGTCACACATTCCTTTTATACATGGTATACAAGAAGTTTGCCCTCCCTGTCCCACCTGTGGGTAGTCTACCTGTGAACAGAGGCTGGTTATCCAGCCTAAGTCAGATGTTTCAAACATAGCAGAGAAAAGACCATTCACTGAATACTCCATTTGTGAAACTGTTGATATGACATTTCACAGTGGAAAATAGAGGAAAACTCATCAACTTGGCAGGGTCTCAGTAGTTCACATGAAACAGCACCTGCACACTAAAATTATACCTAGGCCCAACTTAAACGTTGAACTTCACATGAGACAAAACATTCAAAGAGAATTAAGTTTGTGTCAAGTTCAGCATTTGAATCTGTTGAGTCTGTCCATCTCAATTTGGAGCCACCAACAAGTTCTGTCTGTCTGCTTCAGAGGAATAGAATATGTGAGGATCAACTGCGGGACAAACGTTAATCTTTCTATGAGTCAAACTTACTACATAAATTACAAATGACATCCTATTGACTAACAGCTTTGTTTTTGTTTGTTTGGTTTAATGAATTATGTTCAACATTTGACCTAGCCTTACAATTGAACTTTACATGTTTGGGTCAAACAAAATTGCAATTCAGTTTGTCTCACCAAGTTGTGGTAAGAGCTAAGCTAAGAGTTTCTTCCCCAAAAAGGAGAAGCCCTTTTTACATACCTTGTTTCCCTAAATACAGTTTTGTCAAATTCTGGGAAATGTACATCACAGTCAAAATCTTTCAACACATGGGTAATGTACAAGCGATGAGCAGCGGGATGCTGGAGTGCTTCCTAATGAATGAATGAGTAATAATAACAATATTAGTACCTAATAATAACAGTACAGTTGGTATAATTACTCTGGTGATTATAGAGATGTGCATGCTCTGATTGGTGAAGGATTGTGTATCCTGCTATAATCATCTCATACAAGGTGATTACAGCCGAAGTGCTAGTTTCAAAATGGCTGCCTCACATTTTCATCACTTCCAGGGAAGTGATAAATGCTATAGTAGAAAATTCAGTTTCAAGAGGCGCAAAAGATGCTACTCAGAGTTTTGCAAAACACTTTTCAAAGTTTTTTTCTGATTAAATTAAATCTGTTAAAAATCCTTGCTTATCTTAATACAAGTAATCACCGCAATTGTAACAAAATATGAGTAATGCTTTCTTTATTTACAGTAGATTTCAAAAGCACCTGAGTGATTATACTAAAACAATTATTTGCCTCAGGCCCAATGAACGCTTTTTCATAATATCTTTGACTTCATAGGGATTATTCAACAACATTCACTTGTCTCCAGTGAATAATTGTAAATTATTAACCAGATTTTCACAATTTGATATAATTTCCATCTGGGCCCTAATGATTGAAAGTAATTGTTATTAAAGCAATACTCCCTGAAAAATCTGTTATCTGATAGTCAACCGGCAGTTGGCCAACAGTCAGTTCACAATCAGCTGACAGTCAGCAGAGGGGAGTTGTTCTTCACAATCACTGAATTTCCGGTTAGTAAATGCCACAATTTCAAACAAAGTGATAATAATACAGATTTCTAGCTATCGATTATCATAGTTTAGTAGATCAATTTCTACCACTCCAGGACCCAGTTGTGCAAAGGGCAATTACCGGTAATGCTAACCGCCTTACACAAGATTAATTTTATTCCAAGTTTCTGTATTCCTTTGTTCAAAAGCCTTTTTAAGATTTACTTTCTCCATTCTTTATGGAGCATCCAATCATCAAATTGTCAAGTTGACAAAAAGAATTATGCTGAATTTTCTTTCAAAGCTTTCAGATCTGAAATCAGACTTCACATTATCCTAGGGTTATCTCAACTCAGCTTTAACAACCAGGTCCAGAATATTTCACTGACCAAATATTAGAAGAACATGATTCCTCTACAATAACTTGTAGTATAAGGAGAGGCATGAAACAAGGTGGAAATCTATCATTGGTTATGATCCAATACCACTCCAGTATGTAATGGCAAAACTTACCTTGTAAACTGCTGCTCCCCCAATCACAAAGATTTTCTCCACTTTGTCTATGTGTTGTGCAGTTGACAACAGATCAAAGGCACCCTGCAGGCTGGAACAAAGGGTGGCACCTGTAGGAGCTACACTATATGTAGACAATGAAAATAAAAGTATTCATTTATTGATAAATTTGTCTTTCAGTTATTGGGACATGCCATATAACAGATCAAAGGCTTGTGACTAAAAGTAAAGCTCTATTGACGATCACAAGATGATGTTGTAACCATCAATAAAAACAAACTACTTTTAACCAAGAAACTGGGAAAATGATTATGAGGCAGCAATATGGGATAGAGTGGTGTGTTTAGTCATGATGTACTTAAAATTGAATATTAGGCTGGCTTCAACTAAAATGAAATTCTGAATAAGCTGACCCAGTCCTCCAGTCCTCCCCCCCTCCCCCCTTTTACTAATCTCAAATGAAATTAATTGGAAGTTGAGGGATCAAACTTCAATAAAAAAAATAATAAGGTGATTGAAAAAAAGCTCCAAATCCTGTCGCAATACTGCTTGGATAATTATGATTTTTTAAAAAAATACCACTAGACTGTCAGTGCCAAGATAAGACATGCTTCATTGGATTCTGAATAAACTAAAATTGAACAAGAAACAGAGTCTTTACCTCAAGTTTTTACTCAACAAAATGTTCATTCTGTGGGGAAGGGGTCTGTATTTGGCTGGAATGGATTCCCACGTCTTGCGGCCCATGATAACGGCATTTTGCTTCCCTGTGAATGCAGAAAATTGTGCAATCAAATAATGACAATCATACAATTATTGGTTTTGCACTCTGCCACAATATAATGTAACTCAGGGAACTGGAACTGACATGATGAACTCATCAAAATCTCCTGTAGGGTTTGCATGTAAATTCATCCTACCTTCAGTGGACACTCCAGAAGTGAGTTTGGAGAAAAACTTCAAATCTGCTCTAAAAACAAATTCAAATAAAGTTCACTCAGTTTAGTACTACATCTCTGTTCATCAATGTACTTGTCTCTGAATTGTCTGCTGGGAATTTAAACCAATCAGCACTAGAACAGAGAAATTCCAACAACATTCTCTGACTGTCATCGAATACAAAGTTTCATTTGGTCATGTGATGTTTCATTTGAGAACTAAAATAACTATGTTAACTTGAAATTTTATTTATTAGTGAAATAAATAAAGAAATTCATTCAAAGAAAGAGAGTTGGTTTATAGCCAAGAGGTCATATCTCAGCAGGAGGTAAAGGTGGAGGTTGATATTCTGAGCCCTACATATTTACCTTACACCAAAATAAATCCAATTATTTTACATTCTTGCCAAAAATAAAGTTGAAACCCTGGGGAAAGTTCTTTGCGACCAATTAAAACTGACCCTTTTGCATGAGCAGATGTTTTCATTACCTTTTTTTCCACCAATGTTTTTGGATAATGCTTATCAGCAACCTGTGAAATTTAGACCACGCCCTAGAAATGCCCTCGTATCTACATCTTCCCCACCTACTTAGACCCCCTAAGGGAATCACTGATCATAGAAATACTAAACCTTTCAAAAGAAGCAAATTGGAAGGTAATCAGATCTTGAAGTATCATGAGTACGCCACAAAAATATGAAAAGTTAAAGTTAAGCATACCCTAAAAAACATCAACATGAGAAAATAAACAGAAAACAAAACAAAATTCGTTCGGGACGTGAATACTTGTGCACGGAACTGAAATTTGAACATTGTGAAGCGATCAGAGATGTGACATTCGCCACAAAAATGCCGATTTGAGAAGCTTTTCCAGATGAGATCTGTAAGAATAACTAAGTCTCGAAATTTATAAAGCTGGTGTTGGTTCAGTTGTCAAGATTATTTTTTACAACGCAAGCAAACTTCAGAACTCCCAACAATGGATCAGCACACGCACTCGCAAACATTATGCCTATACGATGCAACTAGGGTAGACAATGTCACCTAGCTTACTTCAGACGCCAGGGAAGCGTGTTATTTTTTCCAATTCCTCCACCCTCCGCCACAGCAACTACACAAGAAAACTTTCGCTGAGTAGTCATGTTTGATAGCCGTCCAAAGACATTGAAGTTGTGAAGTGATTTTGGCGCGAAATGAAGCGACGCGAGGGTAAATGAAATAATTTATATAGGCCGCCATCGTAGAGAAGATTTGATTGGTTACCAGCTTGCATACTGATTGGTCCACAAATCAAACCAAAACATAAGGAAGAAGCGTTGGTAAAAACGAAATATTCTGTGTGGAAAGTTACCTGCGGATAAGAAGTTTTATCTTCATTTTAAAACTAAAACTTAACATAATCGTGTCGTAATTTACCATGGCTGAAGCCAGGGCGGCTGTTACAAGCCCCGATGTCCATCTACACGCCGAAGGGACCAGCAAAGCAGAAGCCGAAGTTGAATTGCTGAAGAGTACTTTATTATCTCTTAAGAGATGTGCTTTCAGAACTCGGTAAGTTCAGGCGAGTGATTTCCGATACCTTGATCGTTTTACATGTAACACCTCATGACATTTTTACTGTTTCCCTTGAGAATGTTTAAAATGAAGGTCTTTCTCTCTCAGTATTTACGATTTGAACTTTCGGAAAACTTTTATTTCCACATACGTCGCAGTTTTACGAGAGTTTTGTTGTAGTTATCACCACCAACATTGATATTTGAAAGGAAATAATAATGATACAACGTGAAAACTTTTGATCTCGATACTTTCGATCGAAACTAGGTTTTTAAAGCAAGCACATTGATTCTCTGCAGTTTACAGCGCGTGGTCGTATATTTTTTCGTACATTCCGGCGAATTACTGAAGAGGACGCGATACACGTACAGTAGCGTTAGTTTAGATCCTGCTTTGATAAATTATTTCAAGAAGTAATCGCCGTACACTTCGTCAGAGATAAACAGAAGCAGAAATTCCTTGTAGTGTTGTCTAAATTGTAATTTTACAGACCAAATTTATAAAATTAAAATTCTGTCTAAGACGATTACCACCTAATCCATATTTGAATACGACGAAAGAGCTTTGCCTTCCTTCCGCACGTTTACGTTTTTTCCCTCGAGGTCGAATCATCTACTCTGGCAGGGTTTTAATACGACACTTATTAAGTTTCTCTTACTATTGTTTTGGTTCACGAAAGCGTTTTTTTTCAGCATATCAAATTTTTGCGTGCTTTGAAGATGTTTTGAAACGGACTTTGAACCCTGCAGCTCTGGCATCCTGTCCCTTCAGATCAAACCGGCTAAAAAGAGGAAGCCGAGAAAATAGAGCAGAATGCAATTTTTATTACGTTTAGATTTTATTGAAAAAGAAATTAAGATTTTTCAGTTTCATGGAAAGAATATACAGTTCATGTTAATTATACAGTCAATCAAAGTATAATGGCAGTAATACAATGGCAATCTTCACTTCATTAATTTTGCAATTGAATTGTGTGAGGAAATTAAAGCTTGGAACATCATGGCTTAGGGTATTAGGAAAGTATTCATCCAAGTCTTAAAAATGCCAGATGCTTTAAATTTTGAAAAAATCTTAAAGTCATGTTTCTTGGTTGTGATGGCATATAGAGGCACTAATCTAGCAGGTTTAAACTGGCACTGAAGTATTTATCAATTGGCATTTATAAATATCTCCTCTCCATGTAAAGTTCTTGCAAAAATTTATCATTTGTGACTCTTGTTATCCTGTAGTGCTTTCAGAAAACCAGAAGGGAAACAAACATTAAAATAAATTCTTCAATAAAATAAATTCTTCAATACCAAGTTTGACTGAACAGAGGAAATGACTACCAGAGCATACACATACACTAACAATGAAAAACAATAAGATAAGTTATAGATAAGCCAATTAGGTATTACGTATTATAACTTGAGAGATGTTATCCATTAGATTTGGATGGTTTCCTCGGTGGTCCTATCCACTTACTTAGCTATGGATAGCCACATCTGAGGCATTAAAGATATTGAAGCCCTTGTGAGCTATGAACTTTTTTCTCCTTGGGATCATTACACAGCATTCTCCCTTATTTTAAGCAGGACAGGTGAAAGAAATTTTCAAACCAGTAAAGCAATCCCTCTACTTGTTGAATTTTCAAGGAATTCCAAGTGAAAAGGAGACAACTGATTACGGCTCTGCCACTCAGCAAAACTTAATTGTTTATAGCTAAAACTCATGTCAGGACCCATGATTACTGCCATACTGTTTTCCAAAAGCCAGATATGTTGAACTACATGTATTTCTTGAACTGACATGGGGTTGAGTAAATTTTAATTGAATCACTGCTATTTCACCCTGGATATCGTAATGAAACTCTCAAACAGTTCTCCATTGTCTTAAGTAGTTTTTTTTTTTGAGGAAAGAAATCCTCTAAAAACTGAACAAAATTGAGAAGATTTATTTGTACTTGAGAAAGTAGTGCATAGCTGAAAAAAGACAACAAAAATACGAAATTCACAAACGTGCAACAATCTAAGCAAAATTCAATTGTGACTGTGGCATGTGTAGTCATTGAAATACTGTGATGCTGTATTGCAAGGTGACCACACATTTGTTTTGCACCTTCCCATCTTTTTGGTAGTGTACTTTACAACCTTTAAACTTCTTGGTATGTTGGTGGGCAGAAGTGAAATCAATTCTGAATGATAATCCTGGGTATAAGTACCAGTTTCACCTTGCTGAAAATAAAACTTATGGAAAAAACTGTGTGCATGTACTTTTACTCTGTTCAATTCATGTTTGTATACTTTTTTTTTTTCAGCCGCCAAATAGCAAATGGATTATGGCCAACAACATGGTCCAACTTGTTGGGTGCTGTTGTGGTCATTGCTGCTCTACTGTATGCTGCTGATTTCTACAAGCTATCGTCCCTCAAACCATTTACAGCAGTCATGTGGAAAGTGACTTATCTTCTTAATCTGGATGAGAAATATCCTTACAACCTCAGGCTTCTGTTCATTTCAGTACTGGCTGGAGTGGTGTTTTTCATTATCCTTCTCTATCTACGTCAGTATCTGTTGAGGATGCTTTTGGCTTATAGAGGGTGGATGTGTATGTAAACTCATTGCTTTTTAATGCTTAAACTCCCAGTAGTGATTATCATGTAATTTTTCTGTATTATTTCTATACATCTTTAGCAAACAGGTAAATGAGAATACTCAGTAATTCGGGCCCATTTATCATAACCTCTATTATTTGAATTGAAGATGAGACCCCAAGATCACAAAGCAAGCTGACACTATTGTGGGGTGCAATGGTGAAACTTTGTGCTGGTCACTATCCAAAGCTGTATAGTTATCAAAACAGTCTCCCAAGAATGCCTGTACCAAATCTAAGTGAAACTTGTAAAGGACTGTTGCGTTCTGTGAAGCCAATCTTGAAGGAGGATGAGTACAAGAAGATGGAGGCACTTGCTAAGGTTAGTGTTCAATTTCTATGTGGTCAGTGTTTGATTTGAACTGTACAGCTATATTTATTACAGAGTTAGTTGATATCAAATACAATTAATCGGTTTATAGTGGTTATCTTGAGCTTTATTTCATTCACGTTACTCTCATGTAGTTTGTTAGAACTAGCTTGTTTATATAAAGACAGACTACCCAACCTTTTAAGAAAAATTATTTTTAAGGACTTACCTGGTTGAATATGTTTGTATCCCTTAATTGTCTTGTACATATCATTTACATGTAGCATCAGTGAAGTGTTTGCTTGAAAAGTTAATGAACCTGATAATTTCAAAAGAATTATCAATACTGTCTTTAGGACTTTGAAAAGAACCTTGGTCCCAAGCTCCAGTTTATTTTAAAGCTGAAGTCCTGGTGGGCACCAAATTATCACACAGATTGGTGGGAAAAATATGTGTACTGCATGGGCCGTTCTCCTTTACCTATCAACAGCAACTACTATTGTTTAGACCAGCACTGGCATCCCACACATGTCCAAGCTTCAAGGTAAGTATTTATGGTCTGTTGTCTATCATAAACGATTGTCTGCATCAAGGCTTTGCCTGCCTTCTTTGAATACTTGAATATCACTTTCCAGTCCTGTTAGGCCATTGAGGTTTGGCTCTGGCAAGCCATAGAAAATGTACAAGATTAGATTCTGAGAAAACCAACCTTGCCTTCATTGTAAGATTGTTTTTACATTTTGCTTACTATCTAATTAGAGTTGGATGCTAAGAAAAATTTAAATTGACCCAATTCACCTGAAATTTACAGATAATGAATTTAAAACTTTTTAGCTGAGATGTAATATAAAACTTTTTGACTTACTCAATTATAGAGCTGCAACCATGTCCTACCTTATTTTGAAGTATCATCAGGAGATTGAAACTGAGCACTTGGAACCCCTGTTGATCAGGAAAACTATTCCCATCTGCATGTGGCAGTATGAAAGAACATTTAAGACAACCAGGTAAATTATGATAAATGCCTTAATATGATGGAACCCAAGTGAAGAAATGATTGTCACAAGTGAGCTGTAATTGAAGTAATTGCAGAAAAGAAGCCAAAAAAAATGGGATGATGATGGAATTGAAAAATGCGAGACATACATGCAAATCACCATACAAGGTGCACAAAATTGTGGTATCCAGTCAACCATGCATAGAATCCTACTTGTACAATTTAATTTCTTTCCTGAAAAATGAGAAATAGGTTGTTTTTACATTGTCTGTAATTTCAGAATTCCAAAAGAGGAAGTGGATGAAATAGTTCATTTTGAACACAATGAACATGAGGTTTGCACCAAAATTTAGCTCCTTTATTGAATTTGAGTTGGTTTTTTTTTTTTTTTTTTTTTTTGTGGAGAGAAGTTAGTCCTTTTAAGTGTTAAACAATTTCAAAATTAAGTGCCATTGTTCCTAATCATCTTGCAGCACATAGCTGTCTTCTGTGGGGGCAATTGTTATATGTTGCCTGTTACTGATAAAGGTAAATTCATATCAGTGCTGGATTTGGAAAGTCAGTTTGAGTGGATTGTTGCTGATGCTAAACATTCTGATGGTAAGAGTTCATCATAATCTATTTTTTAGCTCAGGGTTTTCTAAGAGAAATAAGGTTGCAGCAGAATCCTGTAAATTTAAACAATATAATTATGGTTTCCATATCTGTGTATGTAGCTCATAAAGCTATTGAAATTTACTGGTAGCTAGAGAATTTTGGAAAGTGGCCAGAAAGTTCTTGTGAACTTTCCTGATAACTATATTACTTATGACTGATATCTTTTTTAATCTTTAAGAGTTAAATCTGTTTCACTGTAGTTATTTTTGTTTATTTTTATTGTGGGTTTTTTTGCTTGATAATGTATAAACATGTATGCATTGCTAGTTTCATGTAAATAATTGTTAATAGATGCAAAGCTGAGGCTATCAACTGACTATAATTTTATTAAAATGTAATATAACTTAATAAAAGAAGCTCAGAAAAGTAAAAATCAAAGATATTGTTGGGATCACTGCAAGTTGAAAGCAAGTCATATTTGTTCAAAGTGAATTGGTCTTGTAACCTGAATACCAGAATTGTGTCATGTTCATGATTGATGTCTTTTTCTTCCAAATTTAGTCACCAAAGACCAGCCTGATGGAAGTGTACCAGCACTGACAGCTCTACCAAGAACAGAGTGGGCCAAAATCAGAAAAGAATACTTTTCTGAGAGTCTGAATCGACAAACCTTGGAGGCAATAGAAGAGGCTATGTTTGTGGTAAAATGACAGATTGTTATTTAAACCAACAACAACAATAGAAACATCAACAAGCTACTTTTATAGAGCTTATATGCATTGATATGTAACGTGTCTACATCTTGTAAGCATATTTTTGAGCTAGTTATTATTAAGTGTCCTTCACCTGAATTATTTACGCCTAATTTTTAGGCTGATAAAAGCTAACTAATTACCACTGACAAGTGGCACTTGACAAAAACATCATAACAAAACTGTCAATGTGTGCTTTTTGGACTTTGGTCAACCGTTTAAATTTTTTGCCATCCATTTAAGCGGTTATGGCATCCGTTTAAACACTCAAGTTAGCCGTTTACAATCCGTTTACAACCGTTTTTCGAGACCATTTAATGGAAAAGTGTTAGTGTCCGTTTTCCCATGGAGGGTCACATATTTTCTTTGATTTTAGGAATCAGAATCTTTGATTTTAGGAATCAGAATCAAAAACCCCTTTGCACCATAACATAAGTATCCATATTCTCCATACCTTCTCTATAAGTTTCTTTTGGAACTCACTAGGAGAATTTGTTTGACAATCAAAGCTTCTTATGTTGATGATCATTTCCTCTATACTTATGCTTAGGGTTAGCTTTATGAATGATTCAGCAGTAGTACTGTGAGGGGAAATTAGATGCTGGGCACTTCTAGGGTTTGAATTGTGTCCCTTAGTTGAAGTTTTCCTGTGTCCTCATCACCTTTTTGCTTGACAATGTACTTGTTCCATTGGTACAAATCACTTACACCTGTAGTAGCTAGTCTTTGCAGTAAGTGAAATACAGCTCTGGCTGCAGCTTTCATCACCAGTTTGGTGTCTTTACATTGCAGGTCATTCTGGATGAGAATTCCTTCACTGATTTGACTGAACGCTCAAAGTATCTACTGCATGGTGATGGGCGGAGCTTTTGGTTTGATAAAAGTTTCTGTTTGATGGTATTTTCTGATGGTAGATGTGGGATCAATGCTGAGCATTCTTGGGCTGATGCACCTGTCATTGGGCACATGTTGGAGTATGCCCTTACCTATGAGTAAGTTTGATCAGTGCCATGCTGGTTGTTTCAAAGCTTTTTGTTCCCAAAGCATGGCAATATTTTCTTTGGTAAGCAGTTCTAATTACAGTACATCGTAGGTCAAAATGGTTTTCATAAAAGAAAACAGGCATGAGCTGCATAAATCACTGTCCAGCCCATAAGTGATAGCAAAATGTATAGTGCTATCCACTGGATAGAGATTTATCCAGTGGATAGTGCTATCTGACCTTTGAACTACTGGGGCCTGGTATAAAACTGAGATGAAGAAAAGATTGTCTCTTCTTTCTTCAAGAGGAATCCTTTAGATCACTTTGCTTTAGTTAGTGTTTTTATCTTTTCGGCATGTTTTGTGAAAACTTTTTTTTTTTTTCCTCTAATTTTCTAGTAGGCAATCAACCAGAGTGAAAACAAAAATAAAGTGAAGAGATCAGTCTTAGCTATACTTACTGATTTGTAGAATTAGTCAAACAAATTCAGCACTTTGGATCATGTGACAATAACAATTTTATCTTATTGAGGAGGCGAATGACTGTCTTTTGTTAACTATGTGGCCCTCTCAACAGGTATATTTATAGAACATACAATGAAAAAGGTAAATGCACTCCTATTGGTGGTGCTCACAGGAGTGCCAGCTTGAGGACACACAACCTTCAAAAGCCTGCCAGGTTATACTGGGATATAACTCCTAAACTTGCAGACATCATTGAAGATGCTGTCAAGTTTGCTCAAAAGGTATGGGTTTGCACTGCATTTTACAGTCAGTTAGTGTCAGCAAAATAAAGATTGTCAATTTATGGGGACAGAAAATTTATTTGTCCTTATCAAAGACCATGGAATCTCTCCAGGATTTCCTTAACATTTTTGTGGACAAGAGAACCCTTCCTCACCATTCTTCCTTGACCCTTTAATTCCCGGAAGTGATTATCATGTAACTACTTCCTATAATATCTATACATTATCCAGCAAACAGATCATGAGAATACTCAAACTCATCAGGTACAAGATATTACCTTGATCGAACACCAAATTCTCGTAACCAATTACAAAGAAATGTGTGGTAGCTAGAGGAGAGAATTAACAATCAGATCTTGAGAGTTAAGGGTTAAACCACCATAAGCTTTTCATTCCTGATAACACAACTCTTAATAATCCCTCCTTTCCCTCACCTTTAAAGACTGAGTTAAGCAATTACTGACTTATTGAAACATGTAAACCAGAGGTTTTAGTTATTTTCTACTACAATTATTTTTTGTTGTGTTCCAGAATAATGAAGACATTCAGCATAAAGTCATAGTTCATGATGCATTTGGAAAAGGCTTCATCAAGAGTGTAAAGGTAGGCCTGTCAGTGTTGTGATCATGTTTGAAGTATAGTGTAAAAAGCTTCTTTACACAAGGCAAGGACTTGGAAACTCTGAAAGTATAATGACAAACCTCTTTGTGCAGAATATTTCTGTGGAATTTAGATGTTAAATTAACCTTTTCACTCCCAAGATCTTGTTAGTAATTCTCTTCACTTTCTGTCATAAGATTCTCACGATGTCAGTTTGGAGAATTTGGTATGGATCAACTAATTATCCCTCAATTGATATTTTCTTTATTCTCATCACTTGGCTGCTTCCCGTAATATTGATATTGTGAGAGAAAATTGGGTCTTGGTCTCTCAAGGGAACTAAAGGCTTAACTGGAAATATTTTGTCAGCATGAAAGAGTGTTTTCCTAGTCTTTATGTTGACTGCATGTGAAGCAATAGCAATCCATTTATAGAGTTTCATCTGTATTTCAAATTTTTTTATCCTGATTTTTACAGATAAGTCCTGATGCTTTCATCCAGTTGGCTTTGCAACTTGCCTACTACAGAGACTCAAATGGAAGACATCCACTCACATATGAATCCTCTATGACACGCCTGTACCTCCAAGGAAGGACAGAAACTGTGCGCAGTTTAACAATTGAAGCTAAAGATTTTGTTCTTGCCATGTTAGATGACACAGTCCCACCTGAAGAAAAATATAAATTACTTCAAAAAGCTGCAGATCTTCATGCTAAGATGTACAAGGACTGTATGAATGGAAAAGGCATTGATAGACATCTTTTTGCACTCTTTGTTGTGTGCAAAGGTCAAGGCTATGTAAGTCCAGGAATATATTTTACTTTAAGCTTTCGTAGCAAACCCAGAAAGCCTTGAACATTTTTGGACATTTTTGTGTTCCAAGAAAACAAATCAAATGTTAGAAAACTAAACCAAAAACAGCAATGGTACATGTGTAGTTAGTTTGTGGTTTTAAGGTGTTCTTGTGTTTGGCCAGTACACAATTGATTTGTCATACTCATATCAAAATCTTAATAGTTTTCTAAGACACAGTAATTAGCAGCTACCCCTAACACTTTCCTCACTATTTTCATCATATATGTGCTTGAGAGATTGTCTTGTCAGGAGTAGAGTACAGGTCAATTTGCTTTGAAATGTTATGGACCCAGTCACACAATATCAATAGCTATTAATCAATCCCTAGGAGAGTGAGTTCTTGAAAAGTGCATTAACCCTTCCATGGACACTGTCTACTAGCCAGCAGCCTCAACAACAAATGGCAGGTACCCACTTTAGTGTCACAGAGCCAGAACTTACACATTTGGTAAGATGATACACTCATTCATTACATTATTCATGTTAGTAGAATTAAGAGTAAGATGATAATATGATTTCATAACCCCAAAGACCGAGACCACTGTCTCTGGATCAAAAGGACTGGGTTGCAGCCTCAGCTGACCACTATGTTGTGTTCTTGTCCCTCTCTATCCATGATTGTGAATGGCAGGGAAAACTGGCAGGAAAACCCAATGAAATGCTGATGGGGTAATCCAGCCAGGGGCTGGCATCCTGTCCAGGGGTGTAGCAACATTTTTTAGGAAACCAGTTTTAGAATACAAGTAACCTCTCTTTTCAACTCAGTCTATTTCAGAGGTAAAAAAAATATTTGATTAACTAATTTGGTTTTTTACAGCAGACTTAGAAAGAAAGGGCTGCTTATATTTAACTGAAAATTAGAGACTCATCGGTGAGAAAAAGGAGTAGAAAGAGGTATTAAGTCTAACTCAAAATGCAGAGAATGTCAATGTCAGATATGGTGTGTCCACAGATTTCCCCTGGAGGAGGTTTTGGTCCAGTTGCTGATGATGGTTATGGTGTTTCCTACATGGTTCCTGATGATCACAGGATTTTCTTCCACATTTCTTCCAAGATATCATCAAAAGAGTCAAACTCTGACCAATTTGTCAAACTGTTGTTTGAAAGCCTTTCAGACATAAAAGCACTTCACGAAACAGTTAAAGCTAACAAGGCTAAATAACCAGACAAGTAGTGATGTTTAAACTAAAAATTATAGTTGAACTGTTATTGGTATGGTTAGAAATTAGCAGAACCACTGTAGAATGCAGGTTGTAGTGTTTCATGAAATAATTTGCTGCAATGCAGTATATTTGATTTTTCCCACAATGTTACATTGATACTGGGAAATATTGTTTCATTTTGAATTCAACTCAAACAAATTAAGGAAAAGGATTTTGAACCATTCTTGCCCCACAAAATGTCTCTATAAAGTAAATTCAGTAAAGAGCCTCAGACCTAGAGTGCTAGAAAAAATGTTTTGTGTCTCTAGAAGGGCCATGAAGTAGCTCAAGAGAGCACATGAAAGACATCTCATCAATGATTCAAAACATCCTGCTCTATACTCAGTGACAATTTCTTGTTACCCTGTATCCTGTATACAAATCTGGAATTACTTGGAATTGTTTTCCAAAGTATAAGTGGACAAACTTACCTCTACATGACCAATACCCTTAACCCTTTTACTCCTAGCAGACAGGTGGAGAGAATTTAAAACACAATCAGCTGTATTTAACCTTAAATTTTCCTGACTTACATGTGGAAAGTGCAGCTGCAGGACAAAAATACTAATTGAGGGGTTAAGAGAATTTCACCTGACTTGAGGATTCAATCCATATTTTTTTAATACCACTAAATTTAAATGAAGGAGAATTCAAGATGATGTCCTAACTTCTCTTTTTTTGTGATGCTAAGTCATTGGATGGATCTATTTTTTTATCACTAAGTCCAAACAGAAACATACAACTTAGGTTATATGCTTTTAAAGGGTCCTAATTATTGTTTCAAGCAACTTGCAGTGGGGTCATGAGGTCATTGGTCCTCTTTTGATTGCATTGTTGATTGTTTTTCTGCTTTGATAACTTTCAATCGCTTAAGGGGGAGAATGAGACCTGACCATAAGCTGCAAGAAGCCAATCAAAGGGGTGTTAAAAATTTTGAGCTTTCACAGATACACAACAACAAAAATGTTCAATCAAATAATTTATTTATCTCTTTTTAAGACTGTCAATATTTCATTTTTAATTTGCAAAGTGTTAGATTGTTACCTGTAGACGTTAGGTTTAAGAGTTTTACTGATACAGTGAATGCTTTTAGAGTGCTAGTGGAGATATTTTGCTTTGTGATGTGCTGAAATAAATCATTCAGTGTACAACACAAGAAAGATTTCAACAGAAATTTTTCTGTTTGAGTTCTCTGCCAACTAATTGTACTGTAGAACCTTCCCACCATAAACTTGGCTTACTTGAAGTTCTAGCTAAGTCAAAATCAATGTCCTTTCCATTCCTGAAGGTGAAATCTATTTTCTCTACAGTAGTTATCCAAGTCTTACTGCCTGTAGAGATCACATGACACACATATATCCAAAGTTTTCAAACGGAGATGAAAGTCACCAAAATGCAAATTGTTTGTTAGTGTTTGCACATTGTTCAAATCCAACAGATGAAAATCCCAGTCTTGTTGTAAAGCTCCTACCAATGATATAATTTCTTATCCTAATATCAAGGCCTCCTGTTATTGTTTCTTCTTTTCTTGTTTCATTTTTCTCTTTTCTTTTTTGGCTTTCTCCCTGTCATGGTTTGCCTTTAAAATCCGGTAAATAAAGAACACTGAAATCAACCAAATATCACAGAATCAGTACATTAGAAAACTTGAAATACCTTGAGGATTTATTACTCTTTTTTTAATTGCTTGATTCCATTGAAAAAGACCCCAAAATGAAGATCTTTGAAATTTTTCCTCAGTATTTTCCCTTGTTTTAAGTGTGGCAGGTAGGAAGAACTTACAAAGTGGTAGGGCAATTCTTTCACTTGTTGAATTTCAAGAATTCCAAGTGATTTTAGGGGGTTAAAAGTAGTACTACAGGCAGTAAATTTCCTAGTTAACACCTGAAAATGTTGCTTGCTCACAAGTAATTTAATGGAATGAAAAAAGGATTCCTGTATTTGTTAATAAGAAGGAAGACATTTATATCATTTTTAAAGGTTTCTCTCTGTTTACCTTACCCTTCTTAGAGACTAGAGCATAAATGAAAATACCAAACATCGAAAAACTATTCATTGAACTGCTTCTTAATTAGAAACCATCAAAAAGTCTTTAAGGAACAACAAATCCAATAGGCAAGCAGATATTAGCAAAGACAGCTTCAGTAATTAGAAACCTAAATAGAAAATAGCACCAGATTGTCTGCTATGTCTAGTATGTTTTACTTGAACAACAAAAGATTGGGTATTTGTTCTTGAAGTAAAAATCTTAAGCTGAGGGTTGAAAATAAATATAAGGATGTTTGGGTCTCAGTTCTCTTTTTAAGATTTCCTGTCACATTTGGAACTAAATCCCCTTGTCAGGACCTGCAATCATCTTATTGCTAGGACTGTTGTAATATAATTTTTCTTGATAGTTTGCTCGTAGAGGGGCACCAAGAAAGTAAAATTAAGTGCTAGATTGGACATGGAGCTTATTAAGGTGACAATGGCTTTTTCTTGCTCTTTAATGGTTCCTCAAAAAAAATCAAAAAAAAAAAAAAAGGAACAAACATGAACCACCTGGCTGGTTGCTTTATTCAGGGCAAACAGAGTCTTAGCCATTGGCTAGCAGAGAATTGAACAGAATGGCCCAATGTAATTTTTGAACCCACAGTAACTCTTAAAATTTAAATTTTCCAGACAAAATCCATGAACTTTCAGACCCAATGGGCAATAGACAAACTAGGCAACCAAGAGGCACTTGTTCTCTTGATCTGAAAGCAAATTCTCTTTCTTAATTTACAAGGAAGTGGTGGATAGCAGTTACACGAGAGAATTTGATGATTGATGTAATCTGTGAAATTAAAAGGTTTGAAAGGAAACAACTACGAAAGTTTTTACCATCAAGATTGAGAAACAATCTTAGATCGTTAGCAAAACTACTATTGTATTAAATATGCTCAAGACTATTGACCAAAACAACATTATGGGAACAAATTCATTACTGAATCAAAGCTAAATTAAGGGGGCAACTAGAGTTTGTTCCTGCTCTGGAAGTTCATTCCTTTTTTTTTTAAATAGAACTGCGCGATCGACAGAAATTCTACCGTCACAAAACATGATCCTCTTATATGTCATAGGCTTCTAGGACGATTGTTACCGTGAAGCATTTTTCTGTGTCGTGACACGAGTATTAATAGGATCATCATATAGAAAGGTAGTATTTTAAAATAATTGTATGTTGTTAAAATACTGTGAACATTTACTTAAATGAGGAGAAAAGTTTTTGGATAAGAATTTGTTCCAGCAAGTGTTACTGAGGATTAATGAACAGAATATGGATCGATGGTGATTGTAAGATTTATAACGGCTGATAGAAACTAGTAAAAAGGAACTGAAAAATGATACAACTTACCAACTAAAAGGACTAGGAGAACTCCTGGTACAAGCAGAAGTTTTACATCAACTGAAAATTTTTCGTGAGATTTAGGATCGTTTAACTCAACCATTCTGGGAAATACTTATTAACAAACTTTTCTCAGTTATCGATCAATGGAACGACCGATGATCTATTGACGTGTGTATACGTGAGTAACCCACAGAGCACAACTATGTGACCAGGCTTATGTATCAGAGTGCACAGGCCACCCAGGAATGAACGCTATTGATGCCCTCGGTAGTTGGAACCAGGTCTCCGTTTAGTTGCAAATTTGAGCATGTTACATAGAGATTTGCCGTGTAATGATAAGTTATATAAGCGAAAAGTTGGCGAGGCAAATAGGTCTCTTTTGTCTTTCAAATAGTTCTCGGATCTCCAGCTCCTCATTCCCCCTCCCCTCCACCCCCTCCCTCCACCCTTACTGTGCGCTAAAATTTTTGTCATTTTGCGCTGTTTCTTCAACCACAGCTTCTTTTTCCACAAAAATAGCAAATAGAACACAACAATCTTTTCTAGAACACAAAACAATTTTCTGGTACACAAACGGAAACTGAAACACAACACTGTAAGAATTAGATAACTAATTTATAAACTTTAACACTTGGTAAATACACCATGGCTTGCAATTCTGATGATTACAGTTTGCTGAGGTAATTGAAATGTTAGTCCCCATGCAGGAACCTTCCACTTGACCTGTAAAGTCATGTGCTATGAGATAACTTTAGAAAAATGCATTTGTGTTGGCAGAACTATTGTGAATACAGTGCCACCTTAAGAGACAAAAATAAATAATTTCCTGTAAGCATCAACATTTAGGAGAAGGTATGGTGGTAAATGACCCTTCTTTTGCTAGGATACATAGGGTCTGATGATTGTCATGTATATCTTTTAGCTTTCAAACTTTCAACTTTGTATTAATTGTAGCTGTTTACTTAATGTCTTAATTCTCTGTACCATAAGCCCTCAAAAGTTGAAGCAGGCAAGTCAATAACCTGACTTCCTTTGTTTGAATTGTGTGATTATATAATTTTGCTGTGTTGGTTACCATACTGTAACATGTAATATTATTATTTAGATTGCATTAAATACACTAGCTCAAGCTTTCATTAATGCATGGTGTTTCTTATCAATGGTCCTACCCAAACTGAACATTGAAATAAGGAATTGGTCACAAGATATGTGAGTTTAAAAGGGTGGGAATCTGGAAAAACAAGGATCCTCCTTTAATTAGGACTGAAATTAATGGGGGCCCTCGTATTTTAATTCATGGTTTTAATTTAACCTGCCTCCTCCCCTGTAATGTTCAGGGCACATAGATGAAGAGAACATTTTTTTTTGTATTTTGATGCATAAAAGTTAAATTACCAGTAATTGGTATCCACATAATCACAGAGAAAGAATGTAAAGCTTTAGTTTAATTGGTTAAAAAATTAAAGTAAGAGAGTTTTGCAGACTGTGTCTGACTTTTTATCCTGGCTCTGGATATTTATCCACTTTCCACTGAGCTTGTGGAAAGATGATAACATCATTATTTCTTTAAATGAAGAAAGGAAAGCCTGCCCTCTTACCACAGATAGTTCTGTTGGGCATCATCAGTTCAAGATGATTGTTCCAGGTAGGCTAACCTTAAAAATTAGTTGTGAAAATTTCTTGAACCTGTCATTGTACATCTTGAATGTTTGACTCGATTTTTCCTCACCAACCTAAACTGAATAAATAGAAACATGAAATTTATTTGTTCTCCTTAAGCCATAGCTAGGAAACGTGATAAAGCGATTCACTGTTTTAAGATGACGAAACTACAGCTAAAGGGCGCCTAAAAACTATGAAAACTATAGGGTTATGAGTTTATGTTATGACGTAAGACCCCACATAGACTGTTTCATTTCAAGCTTGACGTGTCCATTTTACTTTCGTATTTTCGGCGGCGTAAACCAACTGCTGTAACACTAAACCATTTCGGTTTGTACTAAACCTTTTGTGGTCACGCTAAACCATTTCATTTTACGGTGAGTAGATTGATACAATGCTAAGCTTTTGCGGCTTACGATTAACCATTTGCCGATAACTTAAGCCATTTCACTCGACTCTGAACCCTTTGTGGGGGCTGTCCTGGTGTACCGGTACACGAGGGAATTCCTTTTGTTTTCATAACCATACATGGAGTTATGACGCAGTTCGTTAATGTTTCCTTCCTTTGTGTACCGATACACGAGGACACAACCCGTTTGTGTCAAGTCACTGAACCAAAGTATAGTCAGCTAAACCGTTTGTCATTTCGACACTGAACCAATTCAGTTAACACTTGGCCAATCGTGTTTTTATTGAATCAGTTCAACAAAGGTGGCTTCACAGTATAAACCATTTTTTGTTTGAATATTTCAATTCACCAAAGGCGACTAGTCTATTTGTATTTTAAATAAATCTCTCGAGATAAGATAAACCGTTCTCCAAAAGACCATTAGACCATTTCTGTTTATTACAATCCATTTATTATGCCTGTATTTTTTGCGGTGACGGCCGCCCATTTTAGCTCCTTGTTAGGTCAGCGACCAGACCGCTGACAGGAGCCAAAATGACCCAAAGATCTAGATTAACCTTTGCTCTTTCTAGCCACGCGCGATCCAGCGTGAGATCTAACACATACGGGAGAAATGGCCGCAGCTCAAATTTTCGGTGTGGGTGAAAACTGTAAACCATCGTGGGGAGATGCTGCAGCAGATTATGATGAAGCAGACGAGCATTTGGAAATCATGGGGAAACCTGTCATGGAAAGATGGGAAACCCCTTATATGCATAAACTGGCTTCAATAGCTGCGTCGAAAGGTGGACGGGTACTTGAGCTCGGCTTTGGAATGGCGATTTCAGCGACGAAAATCCAGACTTTTCCCATAGACGAGCATGTTATCGTTGAATGCAATGATAACGTCTTTAAACGGCTGGAGAAATTTGCCCAAGTAGCTGAAAGGAAAGTAACTGCGTTGAAAGGCAAGTTATTTAGTACGGTATGATGTCATGCAGATCTAAGAATTCACTCCAAGTTGCAGGCATTGTTGTGGGATGAAATTTTGAATGTAAAATACACCTACATTTTTGAAATGGGGTAAAATTTCCGCACAGCCCCATACTATTGTAAAACAAATCTGTTTTCCCAATGGCAATGCATTGTTTTAGTCATTGTTTTCTCTATTCAAGAACTGAATGTATAATGAAGTATGGGGCTGTGCGGAAATTTTACCGGTGTAAACTTACTCATCCATTTAACTCAATTTTTTTTTTTTTAATGAAAGGAGAGTTTGAATTGCAGACACTTTGTACTTCGTGTATTTTGTACATTAGAACCCTACTGCTGACTCGAAACTGGTTGACTCGAGCAAGATCCGATTTTCCTTGAATTTGACCCCATTTCTATCAGCAAACTCGAACCCGGTTAACTCGAAGTCCCTGTTGACAACAACTAATTTTACATTCCCTTAGCTCAAATTTAACATCGTAACTTGTACTTTAAATGAAAATGTCAGTCGATGAACATCTAAGTGTCAGAAAATAGCCAATTTTACAGGTTCCATTTATTAGACATTTGACTTAACTTTCCAAACTAATGTTGTTATCAATAAGCTCCTATAAAACAGACTAAGTTTCCCAAAACCACTGTTGATTCAGATTTTGTAAGGGGTAAGAGAAGCAAAAATATCATTCCTTACCAAAGTTAATGAGATAATTTGAGTTCAAAACTTCTCCAATAACTCAAGCTGCCCCTTCCCCTCCTGACTTCCACTGACTCAAACCATTTTTCTTCTTTTTCTTGCTATTTGAGTTAGTGGGGTCTACCAAATGTTTATTTTTGTACTAAAATTAATGATGCTGTTTATAGGCTTGTGGGAAGATGTTGTTCCTGCCTTACCCAATGGTTCATTTGATGGCATTATGTATGATACATACCCCTTGTCAGAAGAAACATGGCACACACATCAGTTTAATTTTATCAAAGACCATGCCTTCAGACTTCTGAAGCCAGGTGGAGTTCTGACATACTGCAACCTGACTTCATGGGGTGAATTGTTAAAGACAAAATACAATGATATCGAAAAGATGTTCGAGGAGACACAAGTTCCAGAGTTACTCACATGTGGGTTCCTTAGAGAACACATATCAACTGAAGTCATAGAGGTTGATGTGGCACCAGATTGCCGCTACTATAGCAACAGGGAAATGATTGCTCCCACAATCATTAAGAAGTGAAACTGGCTTAAAGTCTTCAGCTCATTTCCATGAATTTTTTAGGGTGTACTTGACACATTTTATTATGAACTGTAAATCTAATATTTATGCAAGTGATATGCAGCATCCATTTCATTTCTAATGAATTTCTAGGAGAATAGATTATTGTCAGGGGAAGTTATAAATGTTTTTGTGGCTCTTGGTTGATGTTACTACGACAAAAGGAATATTATTGCTCCTATTTTTGTGAAGTATTAAAATAAGGTTAAGAGAATGTTAGTATTGACTTGACACGAATTGCCTTCCTTTTAGACCACTCCGCTGAAATATCTTAAAGACCCCAAAAAATTATCTGACTACCACTACAAGTGAATCCCAACTTAATAACTATCTTGTGGGATGAAAACACCAAATCAACTCCACATGTACAAGTACCTTTAATTCCATCATCCTTACATATTACTTCCATAATCATCAATGATAATCAAAACTATTTGGAGAAAACAGAAACCTGTACAGCTGCCTTGCTTACACCAAATACTTCGGAGATTTACCCAAACACAAACCCTAAGGTAATGGGGATTCACTGATTTATCCCATGAAAAAATTTATCTAAGGTCCTTAAATCGAAGACCCATAGGACTGATCAGGCAAACAAGAAGAAGCAAGCACTTAAGCATCCTTTGGGGGACAAGTTCAGCCTGTAGCTTACCTTCAGCGCATCATCCCCCAATTCAAGAAACATAAAAAATTGACGGCTAACCTTTACTTTGCTTAGCACTTGTATCTTCTCCCTAGTTAACTATGCTGGGTAAAACTAATGTTAGATCTAACCTACTAACCTCTGCATTATCTGTCTACATGATATATATAAAAAAATAATGGTAAAAAGGCAGTCTTTCAGTACTGCAAAAATTATATTTAGGAAAACAAGGAAAAATGAAAATTAATAACTAGAAAGTTTTTGTTTGGGGTTAATATAGGTTTTTATACACAATACTGTAGGCAGTAGTGGGTAAATTTAACAAATAGATTCCAAGTTGCTGTGTGTCTGTTCAGTAATAGATCACAGATGATGTCAAAATGTGGTAAGAACAAAAAAGTGGCACACGAGGTGCAGCCAAGTGTGTCACTGATGTTCTTACCACATTTTGACGTCCTCTGTGATCTATTATTGAACTAATAATATACATGGAAAAATTACTTAGTTCTGATTGGTTAAGATAAATGCAGTTTTCAGGTAATTCAGTGCAGTAGAGAGTTAATTTAGTGCAGAAGAGGGTTAATTCAGTGCAAAGAAAGAAACAAATCAGACATTCTGATTGGTCAATAATCAAAGAAACTCATAGATAGCCAATCAAATGCGAGCCTTGGATGTCGCAACAAAATTTGAAAATTTGAAAATTTGCGAGCGAAACAATGGCCGGTGTTTTAAGTAGGCTTTCTTTCGCCACCGCAGCTGAAAAACAGCTTAAACAACAAAAACACTGTAAAAAGCACTGCTTTTTGGTTGTCGGTGTGGAAAAAGTGGTGTTTAGAGAAGGGAATTGCCGAGGAAATCGAAAATTACACGAGCCGACCCAGCTTTACACTTTGCTCGAGCGATCACACGCCGAAATTAAAAAACAAACATGGTTAAACCTCGGAAACGACGATTCCATTTCATCGAAAGTGATTCGGACACAGACTGAACAATTCCTTGAACTGTTTAGCCGGACTTTGAACTTTTTTGTACCTTAAAGATGTGAAGATATCATTGCATAATTTTTTATTGTTTTGATCGTACGCGGTTGTTTTGACCGAACGCGAGGTTTGAATAAATTATCTTTGCACTTGACGTGCGCGCTTTGCTTATGTTTAATTATGATAAGCCATCTCGTATTTTTCCATGTATATTATTAACACGTAACCGCATTATTTTTCTCGTGCAATTTGGAATAAACAAGCACTTGTTAATTTTTTCAAAGACCACAAATTGCACTCGCCCTACGGGCTCGTGCAATTTTGTTAGTCTTTAAAAAAATTTACTCGTGCTTATTTATTCCAAATTGCACTCGAAATCATGTGATTACCTATACAAACGCACGGCAACTTGGAATCTATTTGTTTTATATAATAAAGAATTAAAATATACGGGAAAAAAGTGAGAACCAATCAGAATATGTGCATAACTAAGCTTATATAATTAATCAACATGATCTGCAAAGTTAGCTTTCTTTGCTAATGCCTTTAAATTTCAAGATTTGAGAGCATGCATAATGCTCCACCATCTGGTTAAAACTATAACATCTAATTAATATTAACAAACTTATGTTTTATACTCATAGTTATCTATACACGATTTTAATTTACTTATGTGATAACAAATTGAACTAGACTACTAAACAGTCATGCTTCTTGCTAATTTATTGCTATAAAAAATGTCCAGTGTACTGACTTGTTTCAAGATTTGAAACTGAGGAGATTTGGAGGTTGGAAACCAAATGATGCATAGAACAGAAGATAACCAGCTGGTGTCTGAAAAGGAAATACACTAGTCTTGTTAGTATGAAGTTCAAAAGGGCATATGATTTAAAAACAATCACTTTAGATTTAAAACTAGAGAATATAACTGCTCCTACTTAGTTAAAAAGTGCAAGTTGAAAACAACCAAAAGGTTCAAGGCTGCTTTTGCAGATAGTTGATAATTTTTGTCATGAATTCGTTTTGTAGTTCTCTAAGGCCATTGTTTGGCAGTTTGTTTCTCTTTTTCTTTTTTTTCTATAATCTTTATGAGTGCAAAAATATAAATTTGTATCTATTTCACTGTTTCAACCTACTGTTCTAAGAAAAAAAAAATTATTTAGGAAAGATTTTTGATCAATGCTTGTGTATTGTTCATTTTCCCACCCATGTTTCCTGTTGTAGCTGTATGGCTGTGGAAATGTTGCAATCAATACATGATTTATTCGCCTGACATTTTACATCGTCAGGCAACTGATCAAACATTTATCTTTAAAACCATGATGAGCAGCAGCACTCTCTACAACAATGTAACATATTTCTCTGTAAACATAACTTGGTAACAAAAATACAGCAACACTGACTAGAGAGGTGGGAGAGAAGGGTGTTTTATTTAATTCAGGCATCAACCCTTTAACTCCCAGAAGTGATCAACATGAAACTTCTCCCCACAATATCCTTACATTATCCAACCAACAGGTAATGAGAATATTCAAACTTGTCAGGTAAAAGTTGACATCTTAATCTTAAACCAAATTCTCATAACTAATTTAAAACGATATGTGTAGCAGCTAGAGGGGAGAATCAACAATCAGATCTTGGGAGTTGAAGGGTTAAGATTTTAAGAACTTAAGCAATCATATTCCCGTGAACAAATTGTCTCTAGAGGTTTTTTCCACAAATGTAGGTTTTCATTGCTTATCCATATAGAGAGCACCCTTAAAATGTGGTTTTTTTTTACACCTTTTCTCAAGCAACATGTTGGTAGCAAAAAAGAACAAAAAACCTTTCAGTCATTTTATGCCTTAACCTTCTCATGTGACTAAGATTGATCAAGCTTAGAATGCTGTTGAAGGTTGTTCAGTTATTAATATGATGCACAGTTTATAGCACCTTAAACAAATCAATAAAAGATAACAAGAAGAAGACATACCACAACATCTTGAGGAGACATCTCAGTTACATATTGGTCATCAAACTTGTACCATTTTTTATCATAAACATTCTTTGCAAATGCAGTGTAATGGCCCCCATGCATGGTTCCATAATGATTGGATACTGCAAATAAGTTGTAAGGACGTGCAGCAGACTTGGGACCCACAACAAAGGCAGACATGTCCAGTTCAGTCATGGGGAATTTCACGCCTGTCTGGAGCTTTTGACGCCACATTCCTTCATACTGAAATCTTCAAAAAAATTAACCAAACAAATGACAACATCAGCCAAAATTTAATTTGAAATATTACAGACTGAAGTAGCAGAAACCATCAAACTATGAACACTTTCTTATAATACTCTCTTGGCAGAATTTAAGATATAATAGATCAAGAAATGATTTAATGGCAAATTGAAAATGATAAAAAACAGAGAAATTTCAAATTTAGCATTGAAAGTAATCCATAAATGCATTGTTTTGATTTGCAATGCTTTGTGGTTGGTCAAGAAGACTTAAGCCACCCTCTGCAGGCAATAATCAAAGTTACCTTTTCAGGTGGACCACAAGAATTCTTGGAAGCTTCCAGATCTGGATTTTTTTACTGGCTTCCCTTCTTTGTTGACACTTTGGACAAAACCTAACAAGAAAATAAACATTAATTAATATTTCTTCAAGAATCAGCAATAAAAAAGGACACCCCCCCCTCCCAGCACAATACCTTAAAGAGTACCTGATGTAAATGACTAAACTTCTCACAAATGTAATCTACTGTAAATACATGGTTATGTATAAATTTAACCCCTTGCTCATATCAAAAGGACTTTCACAATTATATCAAAAGAAATGTCACAACAACATATAAGTAAAGTCATTTATTCATGCAGCAACAATGAGCATTATCCTTCTTTTTCATCATTGCATGGCCTAAAAGAAATTTGTAATAGTTTTTTAAATTCAGAACCCACCCTTAATTTAAAACAAGGTAATCAGAACTTTATTTTAGAAGGAAATTATTCACACCTAACTTTCTGGCCTGCTGTTAGAGGATTGGACCTCAGTGTTTTAAATATTAAAATATTTTAGGATTTAGAACACACGAGGCTTTTTCGAAGTAAAAGTTATATTACGTTAACTAACTAGAAACCCACCTTATAATACCTGGATATGAAATCAGATGCTTGGGTTAGGAATTCAAGACAATTATCAAGCGAACACATGCATCAAGGTTTTTCCAGTACAAAAGCTTTTTATTTACTTCTTTCTTGGCCTTACTGACCAACCCACTTTCACAAAAAAAAAAAGGTAATCAGAAAGAAAAACTTTTATACTGTCTTACCACTTGTCATCCCCTGCCATTTTCTCAGGTTTGGTGAACAAAGTGAGACAATCCTAAAATCATAATAATATAAAATAATTCTAATTACTGGACTAAAACCCTACCATATGGTGATACCTGAGATGACTCAGTGGGCACACATTACAATTATCACTATATGATAATAAAAAAAACTGCCATTTAGCCTCAAGCACATGCAGGGCCATTTTCTCGAACATAATTTGTTCATTCAGATGATGCTTATTCCACAGACCAAAGAATAACTTCACAAAAAACAAGTCATGGATATCTTTTTGCACATAGATATTCTTCTCTATATATAAAGTTGTGAGAATACCTCAAGTGAACAATGACTCTTGTTAGGAGGCAGTGGAAGAGTGAGGTTGGAGAAAGAATCAAAAGTTCTGGATTCTTTGGAGCAAACCATGCAGCGCACAGTCGACATGAAGAGGCCCTGAAAATGCAAAACATAGCAATCTAGTTGCTTTGCGATGTTATGCAACATTTAATGATTCAGTTTGGCTAATAGAAGTTGGGAAATCTTGTTGAAGCAAATATTTGTAGAATTTGCCATCAAATTCTCTATTGTAATTGGATTACCTACTTGTATAACAGTGTACCCACTCATAACTCAGTACTAAAACTTAAAACTTACAAAACTTTATTTCTCAGTTTCACTCATAAACAATCCTATATATTATTATTAAACATAATATCAAAATGAATAGTAGTGTCAGTAGTGATGTTATCTTACATCAAACAACTCCACCATAATTGACTCATTCCTCTTCTTGTGGTTTTCCCAAGCCATAGTAGCAGCTGTCTGGGGATCTAAGTCATCAGCAGGTGCTCTAAGATAAGGTTTGTTTTTCACCTAGGAGACAAAAATATGATGGAATAATCTAACAAACCACATTATGAGAAACATTGGGTGTACTTTGTGTCATCTTGCCTTCAAAACACTAGTAGCAGGGCTGAAAGAAACATTTAGCTCAAGATGGGATGAAAAAAGCTTATTTCCCATTATCCGTTCATTTCCTTACTCACCCCTTGTTGCTTGTGTTCAAAAACACAAGCCAAAAACCATGCAAGACAAATTACTTAACTGTGTTAATAACAGGCCATTAAAACATCTCACATTTTTTCAATAAAATTAGCATCAAGGTGTTCTCAGAAGACAAGACTTCAGACACCTGCTACTGCAGTACCTTGTTGAGATCCTCCTGCAAACCATCCATTAAGAAGGCTAAGAGTTCTTGAGAATCTTGTTGGTCATACCCTGAGAACTGTGACTTGAACTTTCCAACTGTCCGTTTAAATTCTATTGCAGAAACACATTTATACTGCCCAGAATGCAAGACTCTGACAAGAACTGAGAAGCTTTCAACAAGTTCTCCTGAAAATAGATGTGAAGTCAAGAGTTTGAGCTAAAATTAAGAAGCACTCCAAACACTCTGATATCTCAAAAGCTGATTTTCAAATGAAAAGTAATTCTTGATGTTATTGAGAGCCAAAACACATAGAAAAAAACACTACAAAAAAATCAAAATTATAAATTCAAATTAAAAGAATTATTCATGAAATCTACCTACCCTTTGTTCCATCTCGATTACTCCTATTAATGTCTTCCCTGAATACTCCTGAAATGAAATATGTTGCCAATGGTGCCACACTGCTTAAGCACTGCACCACAGAATTCATATAACAGGTATTTCCCAGATTACGTAGTCCAGTTAACCCTATTCCTGGACCACCATAGCTTGGATTAAAACTATCAAGCTGATTGGCAGACAAAGGTTTGGCAACGCGGTTCACAACTGGCCTTGCAGGTCCCTTTTGTCCAGAATCTGGTTTTGATAAGCGATCAATTATTGGCTTCTTGGGACCAGAAGAGCCTTGATCTTTGACCTTAGCAAGATTTGGTGAAGAATTAGATCTGTGCAATTTTGGCCTTTCTACTGAAGACTGTCTTTTCACTGGAGACTGCTGCTGCCTTTGTGCACCAGACTGTGGCGTAACATATGCTTTTCCAGTTGTTGGTGGATTCCAATGTGTTGTTTGTGTATTATGATCTTTGTAGTAAGTTCTGTTTCCGTCATCAGTAACCTTTTCCCATCCATGTGGCAGTCCTGGTGTGGTGACAAAGTTACTTGGCCGGCTATCAAGTTTTTGAGCAGAGTCTGAATTCTTTGGCAGAGCTGGGGTTGCAGAGTCTTTACCAACAGTTGTGGTTGGTTTACTAGCCCCATTCTGGACAGGTCCTTGCACGAAATGCTCTGGGCTTCCTGATTGAGGTGCTGCACTAGGTTTCACAGCAGTAAAATTTGTATTCCTTGTATCTGCTCCTGAGATAGAAGTTGTGATTACTTGATGACTTTGTGATATGGGAATAGATGACCCATCAGGATCTTGCCTGCCAATATGCGGCACCTGACTCACTGATGGAGCAACAGGTGGTTGATTTTGTGGTTGTACCCTTTGTGGTACTTGCTGCGACACATTGTCAGGGTAGGGTGGAGAAACAAAACCTGAGCCTTGTGGGGAGGATGAAGTTGATACTGCTGGAGTCACTTTCACAGAAGCCAAAGGCATTACTTGAGAGGAAGTAGAGTTCACACTGGATGGCTGGGTGCCAGGAATAGATACACTGGGCTGTAGGGTAGATTTTGTGTTGGGGGGTCCTGACTGAGCAGACAGTGTATTTGAAGAGCCTGTGAATGGCACACTTGACTGTGGAAATGGCTTTGTAACAGTTGCGCTTGACTGAGAAGATGGCTGGGTACTTGGCACTGTTTTGGGAGCAGTAGTAGGAATATTGGGCTGAAAAATAGGTTGACTTGATGGATGGGGTACCATTGTTTTTGGCACAGGGCCTGTTGCCCTCAAATCTGCTGAAGATGGAACAACTGCCTGAGGAGCTACTCCCATATATGACTGTGGTCCTGCTGAGGGAAGTGGCAAACCTTCAGATGAAGCAACAGATTGTGTTGGTGGCAACTTCAATGGTTCTTGTTTTGGAGCTTTATCTTGGGGAGGACCTGCATCAGCAGGTCTTGGCAATTGAGTGTCATTGGGATGTTGTGAAGGAGGAACTACAGGATGAATTCCTAGTTGCTTAGACTTTGCTCCTGGACCATGATTCCAAGCTGCTCCTGATGGAGTCTCTCCAGGTTGTCCTGATAGTGGTACATTAGAATTGAATTCTGCTTGTGTTGGGGAGGGTGGTTTGTTTTGTTCAGTACTGCCTTTTGGACCTTGCATATTTTGAAGGTTGGCAACTGGGACACCAGGATACTGCAAAGCGCTGGATGTAGGATCAGTCACAGTAGACTGAGGGGTTAATGTCTTATCTTCAGGTAGTTCAGGATAGTCTAAAGATGACAAATCCACAGAATTTACAGCTTTAGGTTGTGTCCTTACCTAGTAAGAGTAAAGAACAGCACACATTAGACTAATTAACATGTAAAAGTGCATTTATTTAACTGGAACCTTCCGCCTTCTAGTGTGCTATTTATCAAATTAAGACCATTTGCCTCATCATAGTAAAACTAACATTTAAAGACAAATTTATAGTATTTCTACAAAATTAATTTCAATGCTTTCTTCACCCAGGCAAAACACACCATCTGTCCCTGGCCAATAAATCATGTCTAACAAGGGCTCAGAGTCATAAAGCACCCTCAGTGGTCAAAACTGCATTTATTCACAATGAATATGAGTAAGCAGAGGTATAATCAAGTTTTAGAGTCATAGGTAAGTATCCTCTCCAAGACATGTCTCAAACTATTTATTCTCAATGTACAAATAAGTCAAAATCATAGAATTTCCAAAATACCGCTGGTAATTCTGGTTTCAAGGCCAGTGATGGATAGTGCCAAAGCCAGCTATGGAATCCACCATCAAGAAATACAGGTTCACGTTTCAATGAGCTGTAGGGGTCATAAGTGAATATCACATCTTTGAGCCTCTGAATTCTGCATTCCGGGGTTATCTCTGAAACCTTGGTTGATTCATCCATTAAAATAACAAGCTCTTTTTCTCCTCTCCTATTCCAAGTCTTTCTTGTTAGTTCTAGCAGTCTTCTCTCTATGCTGCCAACTGAAACCCTTGAAAAGAAAATGGATTTAATTCAACTCAAACAGTAGTTATACTTTAACTATCTCACTAATAAAACATAGCACTTACCAAAACCTTCTGCAATGTTACTCTGTAACACAAATTGGCTTACCGGTAATTATCAAAACTTCACCAACATTAACTTTAGTTTGGAACTTGCTGAGAAATAGATCTGACAACTAATTGTTCAATTTGGATACAACCATTCCAGTGAGAATAATAACAATATATGTTTCATACCCTTGATCCAGCAATTCAGCAGGAATATTAATACAACAAGAACACTGGATTCGATTTTCAGCAAACTTGGCACAGGGTCGACAATCAAGGATCAGAATTTTGAACTCAGAATTTTTTATGCGCTTGTACAGTTCTTGTGCTGATATAAACTTCACACCATCTGTGACAAGTGATGAGGTAGGAGACTCCACTCCACTTATAAGTGCACCTAAAAGAAAAACCAATGAAATGCATGCCACCAGCATTCAAGTTAAACAACCAATAATTATTGTAAGGGGTGCCTGACTCTCTCATGAATCTCTTCCAGAAAAGACATTCATTTACCATCTTTACTGATCTAAAGAAGCATAAGATTCACATAAACTTAGACATACATGTATTACGTCTCATTTCCAATTTGCAAATTCTTACATTGCTCAAATTTTGAATTCCCTGTTACCTAAAATATACAAATGTTTAAGGTGAATCTTTCATGAAATTGTAAAACTTACCACTGTCATTTTCAGTTGTTTTTGGAGTAAGAATAGAATTATGGTTGACCTGAAGTTAAAAGGCACACTTTATGAAGATTATATAATTCCACAAGTGGATGAAAACTTTGTCTCCTAACCAATCATATTCTTTTCAACAGCCTTTACCTTCACACATTAACATTTCCCCTTCTTTCAATCATAATTCCCCCACTCATGATTGGCAAAGAAATTTTGATCCTAAATACTGCACACAATTTTAAAACTAACATATTTGAAAGCTGCAGGTCTACTGATAATCTTGTAATTGTGATACTAATACTTTACTATTCAAATCCACTTATAATTAACTTGAAGAGCCTCTCAAATGTTTTTTTTGTTAATACAATCAAATGATAGAACTCTTCAGAGTGGCTCATATTGTAGCATAAAACACACTGAATTCATCTTTTCCTTTATTGTACCAGCCAGATTTAATCTCCCAAGTCCTAAACTCCAGAGATCCAACTAGTAATCCTCCTAACTGACTGCCATACATTTCCTTGTATATTAAACAATAGAAGTTGGTGTAACATTGATTGAAAAAACACTTTAGCTGATAAGCTTAGAAGTCTTAATAGATGAAAGAAGAAGACAGAAACATCACTTCTCCACATGCATGAATGTTCACACCTGAAGCTTGTTATAAACATCAGAGGAAGAACTTATGCCATTTCCATTTTGGAGAGAATCAACATCACTCTCAAAGCCACTGTCACTAACAAAGTAATCAAACAGAAAATAAACCCTCCTGAAGAACTTAAAGTATCACTGTGTCATGGTATTTGACATTATACAATTTATTTACAATGCTTATCTGGGAGAGTAAAACCATTCAACAGATGTAAAAAGTGTAAATGTCAATATGTATGAGAATCTAGATTAAAAAAAATGAAATTTCAGTTTTAAAAAAGTGTTTATTAGAGAAAGGATTCCTTCTATTTCATGGAGAGTCCCTAATTTCCACTTTATATAGTCCATTAAGAATAACTTTGTACAGGAAAGGTAGGTTAAGTCTGTACTGGAGCCAAGTGGCTTATCCAGCCAGATCTTATTGAAGTTGTGATGGAATGAAGTGACTGGGAGTTTTACTACTCCCCCCTGGATGGGCTGTCAGTCCATCACAAGTTTACCCCCTGCATTTCATCAGGCTTCCCTCATGATGCCCCAGTATCCAATTACACTCCTGGGTGGTGACAGGCACTGTGAAAGTAAAGTTCTTTTCCCAAGAACACAACACAACAACCCAGCCAGGTCTCAAATCCAGACCTCTTGACCTGGAGTCCAGCGCACTAGCACTAACAAATAATTCACCAAGTCTCCCATACCACTGTCAGTACAAGTCCCTAGTATTTCTATCAGAACGTTTTCAAAACTTATTCTCAAACTCATTAATAATTCATGACCTTATAAGCCAACCAGAGAGCCCCATTCAGGTCAGGTGGATGACTTTGAAACTCAATGAAACACCAGCTTAAAATAACTAGTGTTTCATCACATTTTCATCATTAGTGTTTCATCACATTTTCATCAGTAGTGATAAAATTGTTCTTAATCTGCATGAATCAGAAAATGCTGCAGACAATCTGGTACAATTTTTTGGGGGTACAGATCTTTGGAACACTTTGCCAACTCTTGAACAAATTTGGATAACCAATAGTTGAGCATCAATGCATCCATCTCTGTTATGGGCTGAGTAAGCAGCTGAACTTTGTCCAATTCATACTCTTTAAAAACTCCACCAACTTCAACTATTGGAAACTTGACACTTTGCACTCATTGCCAATCCTCAAAAATGCCTACTGCCCACTTATTTTATATCTAATAGACTTCGGTACCACTCTCTCTAAGCAATGTTTTTCTTCCTCAATCGTTTTTGGGAAGCGAAACCTTCCTTTGTCCATGGCAAAAACAACATGTAAATCACTTCAAGTTCACAATGCTTTTGGAATACAAATTTGGTGCAACACAAAACTATTGGATAATTTAAAACAAAAGCTCACTGACTGAATACAACAAATCACACATACAAGCCATTTTAAAGAAAAATGGGAAAAACAAAACACTGCATAATTTTGTATTGTTTCTCTGGAAAAGTCATTTCAAAAACTCATGCTTCAGGTTTCATCAGGTTTCCAAACACTTGAAAACAACAAAACCGCTCGGCCTGCAGCCGTGTGGTTTCAAATGTTTTCTCGCATTTGGAAACCTGATGAAACCCTCGCACTTGTTTTTGAAATAGTACATCAAATTTAGTTCACTAATGTCCAAAGCAAACTGACATTTTTGGGATTCATATACATATGAACAGAATGATACAGTAAATTGACATCTTCTTGTGCATGTCATTCATGATTCAAGATCATGTTTTGTTTACCTGTCTGCTCCCTTTCCATTCCTTGCCCTTGATGCAGCTAATTTTTCTACAAACCAAACAAAGAAAAACTCAAATCATTACTATTAAAGGATAATGTGATCTTATTCTTAAATAATTCAAAAGACTGTGGGACACCTTAATTTGTAATCTAGTAATAAGGCTTATTCATTTAAGATATGATTTTGTGTTACATTCCAAAGTTTGTTTTAAAAGCATATTTTGTAAAAGATGAAATTCAACTGGATTATAAATTAAACCATTAAGAGGGAAAAAGTTAAAGAAATTCCAAGGGGAGACAACCTCCAATCAGCAAAAAAATACAGGTATTTGGTACATAAAATCCATGTAGCCAAGTTAAGGGAGGTATTTATAAATGAAATTTAAATTGAAGCACTGTTAGCTTCGCCTCTTCCACTCCTCAAATGTGTGCTATTACAGAATCACAGAAAACAAGGTGCACCATTGTACATGAAAAGAAGGGTTTAAAGTAAGGATATTAGGGATGAAATAAATGTGCTATTTTAAAGAGATAATAATTCAACTTTTGGCAATTTGTCTACAATTTTGTAACTTATTGTATATACCGGAGTTGAGACAGTACATGTAACCACATACTCACAAAAAAAATTTTAAAATTATTTAACAATGACAAAGTATATCATCCAGTTATGAATAGTGTGCATGAATAACTATATGGGCCATACACAATACACAAAATCACCATGATGAAACTTAAGCTACACTCTAAGACACACTTGTTGAGTCACCTACAACCTTCAATACCCTGAAATCTGAGGGGTGACAGAGATACACTGACAAACAACAACATTATTGAGAGAGAGAGAGGGACAAACAAACATCATGAACATCTCTCTGGAGAATTGTCCAAACTAGTTAAAGATGTCTAGGAGTGTTCATTTTGTTTTACTTTTGTCTTCCTCTTCCTTTTGCTTTGCTTCTTCCTGCGCTTTTGCCTCAGCTTCCTTTTGATCTTTTAGCTTCTTATACCTGAAGAAACAGGTTTTCAAAGGTTTTGTGATAGTTTCTTTGGCAACAATACAAAGGTAACTTGTAGTAACTTCAAAACCTTGAATCAAATCTGATTAGTTGAACAATATCTTAGCAAATACATCATTTTAATTTTGTTTTACAATGAATTACAATGTATTGTTCTTAAAGTATCTAAAAAATGTTGGTTTGGTTTGAGGACTGTTGTAAATTAAGTAAAGAAGGTATTTTTGGGAACAGTTATACCTTAATTGAGCATTACTGCATCTCATATGCCAATTACCTACCTTTTCTTGAGGTTTTCTTGTAACACTTCTGCACGCTCAATAGACCTTATAGTTTTGTTTTTCCCCAACAAATTATCATAATGCTTCTGTGAATTCAAACAGGACAGAAATAGGCTTATCAGTATGTCAGATGTAACCATGATGCATAGAAGTATATCATTGTATGTACAGTGTACATGCAGACAACTTTACAACAAAATAATCCTTCTATCCCATTTCTTGAGGTAATTTCCTCAGTTTCCCATTATGATTTTTCAAATGTAGTAACAGTAACTGTAGATTAACATTTTCATTTTAATCTGCTAACACTTGAAGGAAAGCCTTGGTACACAGTAACATTCTCACCCCTAAGAATGACTAGCTTCTAATTTCACCCCTGAATCAATTGAGAAGGTCATGAGAATAAAGGAAAAAATCACCAACTCAAGAAGTCCCTGATTGTTAAACAAATTCTCCCTTTCAGTACCATAGGAAATGTATAGAGGACAGTGAGGAGAATATAATTGTAAAAGCTAATGCTAGGGTGTAATAAATTAAGACATTGCTCATTACCCACCTTGTTGTCTGAGTATTTGCTGCTTTTTTTAATCAAGCAGATGATGTTAAAATAACGCATGTAATATACATATGCACTCTCTTCGTCACCTTCCAGATCATTATCTTGAGCTTTCAGGTAAACTTTATCCGCTGATTTGATGTATCTATGTTTGCAACAGGAAACAGGTTTTTGGCACATTGGCAGTAGTTTAAATTATAAATTATTACGCTGAGTGAAATTATTTCAGATTAGCTGATTTTCAATTTCCATTGATCAAGAACCACTCTAGAATTAAAAATTAAGCAATTCAAACTTGTTTCGTTCACTTTCACCCTTGATTCAATTTAAACTAAGAAGCAAAGTGCATGCAACTTATAGTGAGAGCTGAACAGAAACAGTGAAAATTTAAATCGGAGGGTAAAGAAGAAAATTTCTGTGCCCAAAGGAGAAACTTGTGCTTTCTTAAAACTAATCTATATCTTTAGAACATCATAATCTTTGGAGATGGGACTTCAACTATTGCTCTCTGATAAAACCTAAAACCAAAATGTAGATTCTATGCGTAGATACATTTTCCTTGTGAAGGTGAAGTAATTACGTTTTAAAAATTATATTCAAATTGAAACCAGATCACTCATCAGGGTAATGTAGATGTTGTGGTTCAATTTTATGCTTTGTTCAAATTTTATTTTCCTTTGTTTCAAACTCATTATCATATATTTCAATTCCCAAAAACAAAAGAAAATAAAATTTGACCAGAGGATAAAATTGAACCACGACATAAACATACAAGTGTTTGGTAGACAATGAGAAAGTGGATTGGTGAGGCGACCTTGGACGATTTTTAGCTGCCTAATCAAAAGTTTAAAGTTATCATAGGCAAAGTCATGACCCTAGATTTTCGGAAAGCGAAAGATTTGAGCGTAGCAGGAACTGAGAAATCTGACAACGTAATAACGAAGTATGTCGCTTACGGTGAAGGGTTCGCATTTCTGTCGACGGGCAAGCCTGGATCAGCTATTTTGTTCAGTTCCTCCAAGTTGGAAGCCAAGTGTAGGTCCTTAACTTTCTTTTTCTCTGACGATGGCATGACAGGTTAAGACGTAGCCATCAAGATCAACATTACAAATTTTTACTTCAATGTTTCCGCAGCCATTTTGAAATTCATGACGTCATCGCATATAATAGCCCTATTTTGATTGGATTCCAAGCACACCAATCCAAAAGAACTTTCTATCGAGCCAAAAAGAGTAACAACCACCGCATAAACAAGATATCTAACACTGATTGACAAGGTGAAAGGGCAAACGGCGTTTGCATCCTTTCATCATGATACGTTTCTTTCGATCGCGTCGAACGAATTATCAGTTAGTGGAGGGTATGTACTGTTTGCAGATATTTAGCGTCCAGAGTGAGAAATGTTGTTGATTGTCCTTTCGTGTTCTTTGCTCGTGTCTGAATGGTCATGTTTAGTGCATAAACGTGTTATTTAAGTATGCTAGATGCTAATTCAGAGCTCTACCAGTTTGCTTTGGAGAGCTGTTGTTTCATGAACGATATGCGTTGAAACTTTGAAAAGGTCTTAGTTCTCAAAACTTTGTTACGACGCTGGAAGAGCTGACCTCTTTCGCTAAGAATTAGACAAATTTATTTTAAATTAAGTAATCGCGCGAGCATTGTGGTGCGTTCGAGTTTTGTTTAAAACCGTGTTACAAAGCATGACTTTTAAAGGTAAGGCAAGAGGTCGTCTTTCTCGGTGCTTTCCTATTGAATGCACTGAAGCACGTGTATTTTATGGGCAGTGACAAGACAAAAGCTCGCTTAGACAACTATGATACATAATGCTATGAAATCGACAACATGTGACATCTTTTAGCGCTACGTAATTTACTGAAACCAGTGTCAAAACATATTCGTCGCGAAACTTGAAACAAGAGCATGAGGATATTTATTACTTTACGCAAGCGAATTCTTATAATATAATTTACAAATCCACGCGGGTAGCCAAAAATAGCATATTCCGGCTTGAAGACTTGCATCACTGACTGTTATAGCGAGAGAGAGGTCTTCATACACACCCCCGACCCCACCCCCTCGCTCTGTGTTTTGGATTAGCGCGTTGCTTTGTTCAAAGCGAATTTACAATCGAATTTCTTTGGTGATTTTTTGTTTGAAGTGAGAGGAAACAGAAGATCAGGTCCCAATGAGGGGCCTTACAGCTTTAGTATCTCCAAGGTATTATACTTTGATCTAAAATTTTAGACAGTGGCCCTTTTCTGAGCGATTCGTCACCTTTCCTGACAAGTATTAAACATGCTCGCCGCCTAACACACGATATTTTGTTGTCAATCAGCGATTGTCATACATCAAGCGAGACAAATTTTGATCACGCAACTTCTGGCATTAAGTTAGTTCGATAACGGGCAGTGAAAAGGAAAAATCCGGATTTCTAAAACTTGAAACGAGGTCATGTGGTTGGAACGACCTTTGCCTGCGAATGTCAGGTTTCATGGGTATTGCAAAATCTTTTCATATGATATTCAAGGTTTGCGTAAATGCTATATACCTCTCTGTCTCGTGATTGTAGATTTATTTAGTCGATGACATATTTTTCGCTACTGCAGGGGAATAAACTCAATAACTAGGGAAGTAAAATTATTTTCTGTAGACAAACATAGTCCACAGGATTAGCACGAGTTTGAACTATCTGTGTGTGTTTGGTTTTTGGTCAACAAATACATATTTCCGAAGCCCTGACAGAGAAATTAGGAACTTATTTAAAATTAGATGCGCATCTATATATCATTTCGAAAAAGGACCGCGATTGCTCTCTCAATGTTTTCGTAAGTATCAGTAAAACTGTTTGTATATGAGTTCATTAATATGCATTGTGATGTTATGAAATTAACAACGACAGAAAATTTGTCACGTTTATATTGTCACGCAATCGTCACGTCAGGTTAAACGCCACCAAAGTATTCTGGATGAGAAACCATGATAACGATTGCGCGAAATACTAAATAATAAATTAAAAGAATAAGAGAGATGGTAAGTTTTAAATAATTAGAGAAATAATTTGGATTGATATTTACGGAGTCCTCGTCTTAAAAAAGTAGACTTTCAAAAGGAAAATTGAAAAAGGAAACAAAGTAAATAAAAAAAAAATTAAAAATCTTCCATCTTGACTTAACAACATTAGTAAATAAATGATTAGCTATTTAGCAGAGAATGTAAATTGTGGAATTTCCAAACAAAATCTTGTCGAAGTTTTCTTTGTTCAGTCCAGTAATACGTTGTGACTGTTTTTGCCGGGGTACGTTTTCCCTGCAGCAGTGATAATTTGCCTAGAAGTTACGAAGAAATCAATCGAAGAAGCGAAGAGCACGGTTTTCATTTGCAGGATTAATAATAGTAAAGGGACCGAGTGGAGTCCAATTCGGTCCGGATTTACACGAGTGAATAACAAAATCCGACGACTGCGAAGCGGGAATTCGATTTGTTAATCACGACTATGATTACAGACAGAATTGGACGACAGAAAGTCCTGTTACCAATTTATCATAACCATTACAATTTTCAAAAAAAAAAAACATCTACACCAAATATCTCCAATAGAGACAATGTCTAAAGTTAAAAGTTCCTCCATTTTGGCAAGTCCCCATTTTTCTTAGGATAAGTGATTGTTGCTATGGTTATTGTGATCAATTCTGTGATTGGTGGATTTAGCTTAATGGACTTAGTATGATTGGCTGCTTCAATTGTCCCATTACAGGTGTTCGAGTAAAACTGTACAGAATGATTAGTGAAAAATGAAGCTGCTAATGCACAAATCACATGTGAGAAAATTGTAATCATTATGATTAATCTCGCAATCCCGAGTGTGTAAGGTGGGCCAATGAAAACACAAGTTCGCTTCAACGTGCCCGCTCACGAATCTAGACGTGTGGTCAGGCACATTCCGTTTAAGGTCGCGAACCAAAACCAAAGTGATGAAAGCAGCCAATACGAACAAAGAGAATATCCCAAGGAGCCAATAATAAATCAAAGTTAAAACATGCAAACTGTTTAAAGCGAGGGAAAACACGACTTGCCAAGTTTCATTTGATTTTAGTTCTTCATTTCAGCGGTTAGGGAGTTTGCGCGAGTTTTCCCAACCAATCCCTTAGCTTAGTGAGAAACTTTCGAGAATCAATAACAATTGATTACGTAATTTTATTTAATTATTTCAGAGCAGTCACATAAACAAATGGAATAGAATGGTGCGGGAAGAACCGCATTTGCCCACCAGGATCATGTCCGTGGCTCAAGGCAAAGTAATTGAACGAGAGAGCATTTACGGATCTCTTCATAACAGACACGTTGAAGAAGATCAAGACAGTAATGAGGACGAAGATAACGAAGGAGATCAAATACCTAAGATCAGAATTGGTATCTGCGCCATGAATAAAAAGGTGATCCTCAGAAGAAAAAGATTTATAATAAAACGTAACATCTCTCTTCATTGGACGACCGAACACAAAATAATACTGAAATTATTTTCTTAATAGAAGCTGTTTAAACTGATGTCTACTGACTTCAAATTTAGCACAATGAAAATAAAAGTTGGTGATTTCTTGAACTCTACGTAAAATTTCTGCTACTGGTTTTATTCAGTAAAAGCTAGTTTAACTAAGCATGTAGTGCTGGTGTGAATGGGGCATCAATATTTCTCGTTTTCCCGAACTACATTTAGTGAGTTGCCGTCACAACTTCCTGTAATGAAATGCTGTAATGCTAAATTTACAAATTTCCTCGCGTTCCAGACGTTCAGTAAATACCTGATACAAACCTCCCTCGGTTTTCGCCAGCCGTGTACTAACGCGCTTCGCTGGAAGAGGCTACAAACTCCTTAGAGGAACCTGGAAGGCAGCAAAACATTTCAAAAGATTAACTGCGTAAAATCCAAAGATTTTCATGCTGAAATTTTCTCTTTTCTCTTAGACAAGAGCTCAACCCATGCAAGAGATCTTGGGTCGAATGTCAGCATTTGATTGTATGGACATCTTTGTGTTTCCTGATGACATTATCCTGAATGTTCCAGTGGAAGAATGGCCCATCTGTGACTGTCTGATTTCATTTTATTCGAGTGGATTTCCACTCGAGAAAGCTATTGAGTATACCAAGATGAGGAAACCTTTCAGCCTTAATGATCTGGAAATGCAGTATGCTTTAATGGACAGGTTAGTAGAACGTAAAGCCAAATAGACAATCCAGTCAAAATTCGCTCAAAAAACTCTTCTGAGAATTCCATTTTTCGTGTTTGTGGGCGTTATTGTGAGAAGTTGATCTGACAGTAGCCTTATTTCAACACCTCAAAACTCAACGTTATTGAAAAAAAACTCCTAAAGAACCTTCCTTGAATAAAACCAAGCGCAAAACTTTTATTCTCAGAGGATTCATTTGAGAAGTCTCTCTTGACATTTCAAATTCACTTCAGTTAGCGGTTCACAAAATCTGCGAAATCACCCATAGAGTTCAGCATCTCCTCTACGTATGACTACAAGGCTACAGAGTAACGTGTTCTATATAAGAACATTTACGTTCAGAAAGATCAAACCCAAGAAACCCTTTTCTTCATTGCAGACCGACAATGTACAGCCTTTTGGAGAGTGCAGGTATCGAAACACCAAGACACGCAATATTGCTAAGAGATGACGATGGAAATCCCAGCAACACGAAATTTGTCGAACTGGACGATTCAGTGCAGATTGGTGACATGATATTCCATAAGCCTTTTGTAGAGAAACCAGTCGATGCAGAAGACCATAATGTGTACATCTATTTCCCTTCGAGAATTGGTGGCGGGAGCCAGAGATTGTTCCGAAAGGTCGGGGACAGAAGCAGCGTGTACTCGCCAGAAAGCTCGGTGCGGAAAAAAGGTTCATACATCTACGAGGACTTTGTGGTCACTGATGGAGTGGACTTAAAGGTAAAAATAGTATTGGTCAGTGTTTAATCCGTGAATATTTAACAAATAAATTCCATGTTGCTTTGCGTCTGTTGAAAAAAGATATTCCAGATGACGTCAAAATGGGGTAAGAACAAGAACGTCGGCACGCTAGGCGCAGCTGAGTGTGTCACTGATGTTTTTACTACATTTTGACGTTATCTTTTAGCTATTAAATGCATGTAATTTCTGAACAGACGCACGGAAACATGGGATATATCTGTTTTATATGATAAAGAAGAAACTTTTATCAATGGTGACGTCATCTATGCTTCTGTAATCAAAAAGCGTGTATAATTCAGCTTATTGTATATAATGCTGTCTTTGACTCAGGTGTACACAGTGGGCCCAGAGTATGCTCATGCTGAGGCACGTAAGTCTCCTTCACTCGACGGAAAAGTTGAACGAGACAGTGAAGGAAAAGAAATACGTTATCCCGTTATTCTTAACCAATATGAGAAAGAGATGGCGAACAAAGTTTGCAAGATATTTAAGGTATGATGTGATAATCCTCATTGTGATGATACTCACTGCGCGTATTTTCCTCGCCCGTATGGGACTCGGAAAAATACAACGCAGCTGGCAAAACATCTGCGCGTATTAAATATACGCGTTAATGACCACGCGTGAGGTCAAGATGGCTAAATATTAGCCTAGTTCTTTTCGTCTCGGCCCATAAAAACGCGAAAGGGAAAAAAAAAAAGAATGAGGCCGATATCCAGCCATCTTGACCGAACAAGCTTGGTCAATGAAGGATTTGTTATGGAGCAAAAAGATTTCGTTCGAATAAGAATCAAGAATGACTTGTTTATTTCGACAGGCCGGAGCATGTTGCCTGCTCGATTAGCCAATCAGAACACAGGATTCGCTTCATATTGCCCACGAAGGGCTGCTGGTTATCTAACAAGTGAAACTATCGAATAAGGTGTTTTTATTTCTTCTCACTTAGCAAACTGTTTGTGGATGTGACTTTTTGCGCACTCATGGAAAGTCATACGTTTGTGACGTAAATGGCTTCAGTTTTGTCAAGACATCAAAGAAATACTACGATGATGCTGCTCAAGTGTTGATTGACCTGATAGCACATACACTGGCCCCTCAGTTGTATAAGCCTTACAATTTCGCAGTCCCTGAGGAGATAGGGAAGGCTGAGGTTACGGAAGGCACCATGTTAGAACTCAGATGTGTGGTGGGCATCATCAGACATGGTGATCGAACTCCCAAACAAAAAATGAAGATGGAAGTACGGCATCCGAGGTGAGAAAATCTTTGATCATCTTGTTCTCAGTCCACTGATGTCTTGTTTGTTAAGTTTGCAAAATTAGAACTTTTCTACTAGTGATGAAATACAAGTCATTGCAGGTCGAATTATCTCTTTCCTCGGATATTTCCAAATTTAATTTTGTAAAATCATCACACAATAATAACGCAGTGTCCTAGTAATTCAATTAATGACCAATGCCTACCATCAAGTAGTTTTCATTGCGTTCAGAGAAACACTGTCTCAAGGGATGTACATTACATGGGTTAAATTTTAAGATAATTTGGTTTTTATCAAATAAGTTGATAGTGTAAATTGGCCACCGTAAAGAGATTCTAAAGCTGACGTTTCGAATGTTACCCCTTCGTCATTTCGCTCTGACGAAAGGCTAACACTCAAAACGTCAGATTTAGGAATTCTTTACGGTGGCCAAGCTACATTATCAACTCAGTTCATAAAACCAAATTATCTTTTTATACCCCTCACCGACACATCACCACAGTTTCTTTAAAAATTGACCATCTTCATGGTTGCTTTTTAAGACCTAGTGCAAGTTCGAAGTGGATGATTCTTCTCTGATCATGTTTAAGCCTTTGCCACCCTGATGGGGCAAAGGCCATTGATGATTTCCGTCCTCTATATTCTTCGTCAGAGGCTGCTTTTTTCGGCTGGTGCCATGTGTAGCTCCACCTTTTCAGGTCTGACTCCATATCTCTTCTACACGTATTTTTGGGGTGACCTCTTCTCCTCTTTTCTTGCGGGTGCTTGCCCCGTGATGTTTTTTGCAGGCTTCCCCAGGGTATGTCCTATCCATCTCCATTTTCTCTTGAGGATCTGATTTTCCATTAGCTCCTGTGCTGTGCCTTCCCATGGCACTCCATTAGATACCCAATCTGACCATTTGATTTTCAAGAAGCGTCGCTGACAAGGATCGACGAGTATCTGGATTTTTTTGGGGTGGATTTCTTCGGATCCGTAGAGCAGAACATACTTCACATTTGAATTAAATATTCTCAGTTTGGTTTTTCTCAGTTCTAATCGTCTGGGCTGACCATACTTTCTTCAGCTTGTTGCCTTATTTATCTTGCATGTGATTTCCTCGTCTGTCCCACCACTAGCTGTGCTCACAATACTCCCAAGATAGACAAAAGATGAAAGTTTCCCCTCAAGATATTGTCCCTGATAGTGGCAGTGTTGTTGTTGCAGTTGATGTTTATTATCTTGGTTTTAATCACATTTTGTGGCAGTCCTAGCTTGCTGGGATTTATTGTCTTTTTCTTTCTATTAATAAATACTAGCAAGCGTTGTATCTTTTTCCGGCAGGTTTGTTGAATTGTTTAAGAGGAACGGTGGATTTGATAAGGTCGTGCCGCTGAAGTTGAAGAAACCAACTCAGTTAGAGGAAGTACTAAATATCGCCAGAGACTTGGAAGCTGACGTCAAGAAAGGAAAGCCATTGTTTGAAAACCCTAATAAAATCTATCAGCTGAAGACTGTACTTGAAATGTAAGTTAAAATATTAAATTTTCTTTGTTTTAGTGCCATGAAATTAGTCCATTTAAGCATAAGATTATAAGAAAGAGGTCTCTATCGCTTGCTGGCTGTCGAGGGCAGAGCCTCAATTAGCAGTTATGCTTAGAAATTGGGAGCGAATACCGTAACTGCCGCTTATAAGCCCTGGGCTAATTTAACGTAGTGGGTCTCTGGAGGGCTTATAACCCCCAGGGAGGGGGGCTTGTGTCCGAGGGGCTTATAAGCGTGTGTGGGGGGGGGGGTGGCTTATAAGCGGCGTTCTACGGTAATCTTACTGTTTTAGTATATAACTATTAGTCGTCCAAAACTTAATCAAGGCATTTTTTTAAAATTTTATTTTATTTATAACTGTAAACTGTCAGGCTGCTCAATTTTCTCACAGGCTATCACGGAATGGATAGCGAGTGGCGTAAACTACTCGTAAGTAAACTCATGTTAGCGGCTCCAAGCCTGGGAAAACTCCAGTGATGCGGCAATTAAGTTTGGTTTAAGTTTAGTTTTGTTGTGCGATTGAAAACAAATGAAATTCCAGATAACTTTGGACGCTCACTTGAAAAGTGCTATATCAACTATTCGCTGCTTGCTTGATTGCATTCCATTTGTTTTCAAAGTCAAACATGATGTTAATTCTGTAATTACTTGATTTATTGGTTGAATGGTAAATTGTTAAAGGCATTTACTGATTTTTCCAAGGTATAGTAATTTTTCTGGCATCAACGAAAAAATTCAATTTAAGTATCTTGGCAAGCCACGCGACAGAAAAGACAGCGAGGTACGGGAATCTAAATGCAAGAACGGCGAGAGAGAAACAAGAAAGGAAACAAAAGAAAACGAGGCCCTGGTGGACAAGGAACATTCTCTGCTCTTGATCCTTAAATGGGGCGGAGAATTGACCATGATGGGGAAAGACCAAGCAGAAGAGCTAGGTCGTGCTTTCAGGTATTGTAAGTTAAGTTAATTGAGTAATTACATTGAAGCAGGTTTTTGTTGAGTTCCGAAAAACTAAATCCAAAGTAATGACAACACTAGATCAGAGTGATGGTTGGCATCACAATTAGAAAATGTAAAATTAAACAAAATACAGGCAAAATGCATGAAATGCTGGAAAACGCAAGTGTCCAAAGCAGTATTGGTTTTGGTGTTGTATCTGATAGGTTGAGACGGTGGTGTGAGTCTTCTGGACCAATCACAGAGTGAAGTAAAGCAATATCAAAGCGATGAGGGATTACTTTCGATACTCAATTGAATCTTTCCCTCAAAGTAAGATGACCATGCTGGGTAGTTGCTTTGAGTTCTCTTCCTTGGCTTTTGGTGACTATGCTGGGTAGTTGCTTTGAGTTATCTTCCTTGGCTTTTGATGACCATGCTGGGTAGTTGCTTTGAGTTCTCTTCCTTGACTTTTGGTCTTTTTGTATTGCCATTCTGCCTGCAGCGCGTCGTTCAATCAAATCATCGATGCGACTGTACAATTCTAGCACGGTTTTTGCTCTTGAAACCGCACTTTTCATTACCGTTAAATTGTCTATCGACATTCTTTTTTTCATGATTATCACACAAGAGTCCTTTCTTTTATGTCTTGTCTTTATGGTGAACAGAATGGGGAGTCTCACTTGTAAGCTTAATACTTCTTGTTTTTTTTTTTTTTTCTTTTGTTAGGAGTGTGTACCCTGGTAGCCAGGGTCAATTCTCGGAATTACCCGGTTGTGGTTTATTGAGGCTTCACAGCACTTACAGACATGACCTGAAGATCTACGCGTCTGACGAGGGACGAGTCCAAATGACGGCTGCAGCATTTGCAAAGGTAACGATTCAAAAGCTACGTTCAAAAAGTTGATTACTGTGTCGTGAATGTCAAGAATCTGTGCTGCTCAGTTTAAGAAACACAGCAAATTTAATCAGAAAATTTCATTATACTTCTCTCAATTCTTTGAAGTTATTGATTATTCCGGTGCAACCTTTCGAATGAAAATAAATAAAGCCATCCACTTTTTTGCTAAAACCTCTGAGTCAACAAATTAATAATCAAAATAATGATAATAATAGTAATGATGTTAAAATCTGAGAACTATAGGTAAATCGCTGGCGTAAACCGCTGACCAATATACAAAATATATAGGACGATAAAAATGGTAAAGAGAAAATTGAGAACAATTATGAGAAAGAGTCCAAGCACTACATTTGTGTTCAGTCTTATCTAAAGCCAATTACGAAATTAAAAAGTTTGATTTGAAAAGTTATCAGCATTTCACAGGTGCGAAGTTCTTTGGAAAGGCATTTCCATTCCTTTCCAGGGGTATATTGAAATGTGGATTGGCTCACAGCAGTTTTATTTCTCGGAGATTAAGTTCTCTACTGTCTCTCAGGGTCCTACCACCACGGAAGTTCAGATCGTAATACAAAATATACCGCACTTGGTTAGCTCACGTCGGACTGCCGTGTTGGAGGTCGAGGGTTCAAGCCCCAGACCGGGCAAACTCTCAGGGTCTTAAGATCACTGAGGAAAATGAGCTGCCTTTGCTATGACATCCGCAAACGGTTAGACTTTCTAGTCTTCTCGGATAAGTACGATAATCTGTGGGGCCAGTCTTCAGCATCTTTGCTGTACTCAGGTTAGCTGGGGACGTAAAAAACCCACGCACTTCTCTCAGAGAGCTGGGAACGTAGCTCCTGGTGTTGTGGTGTGGCCTCGTTATTGTTTATACCGGTCCTCTGTCTAAATATCGTAGATATATACAATACATACATATCCTTGCAGTTGCCCAGGCTGAGGAAGCATAAAATGCCGTCTATTGTATAAGTTTAATACTCCAGCTGTGTGCGCGTTAAGTTCACTAAGTTCATCGCTTTAATATAAAGTCTCTTCTTAAATCCCTTTTGTTCCACACCCTTCATTTGTCACAATGTAAAGACAAAATCAAAACCGGAGTTCCCCTTAAGGAAAACTGTAACTCCAAATCTTGGGATTCCACGGTTCCGATGCTGTTTCACTGAGCCAGAGATACTCTAATGTGAGCCACATGGAAATACACTAAGTTCATATGTGGCATTCGCCAAAGCAAAGCGAACTGCTCGGATTAGCAATGTCGAAGCCTTTTCTGTTGAAATAAATTAGAAAATACGGTAAATTTCGAGCTCATCGAATAAGACGAATAAAGAAAGATGTTATCTGTTTTCCAAAAGCGTGCGACGAAATCTAAGATCTACCATCTTCTTGATGTATTTAGAACTGTACTCCAATTATAAGTAATGCGCCAACATCATCAAACAATCAGTTCCTTTGTGACCAGCAACGAAAAAGGCGGAACCACTTTATATTGAAGGAGATTTACTGACTCAAAAACCACCAGTTTAAGGAACTGATTTTTGTTTATTTGCAGGGATTCCTTGCACTGGAAGGTGAACTTGCACCTGTGCTGGTTCATCTGGTACGAAGCGATAAAAACACAACAGAAATGCTTGACACACCCAGTGACGCTTCTCGAATACTGGGAAAGTAAGTGCAATTGCAGGAAGCTTGTTTGTATGTCTGCTATGCTAATTCATTCAGTTTTGCTAAACTGAGCTGCTGAAACAGGCTAATTTACATGGCCGTGAACAAGATTAAATAAATAGTCACTGGTAAATCAAAGCAAATGATGTTTGCTGGAAAGGGGATAGAAGCTTTGCATTTGATTTGTTGATAAAAAAAGAGAAAACATCAAAATATGGACATAAGATTAAACCGTAAATCGAGAACGCAGAGTTTTTGGTTGGGAAACCAGTGGACACAAACGCTTTTAGTGTCAGGAACACAATTAATAGAGGCTTGTTAAGTGGCGGGAAAACAGTCGGGCTTGTGTAGTGGCGGGAAAACAGTCAGCAAAGGCGCGTTTATTGGTGGGAAAACAGTCAGCAAAGGCTCGTTTAGAGGCAGGAAAACAGTCAGCAAAGGTGCGTTTAGAGGCAGGAAAACAGTCAGCAAAGGCACGTTTAGAGGCAGGAAAACAGTCAGCAAAGATACGTTTAGAGGCGGGAAAACGGTCAGCAAAGGTACGTTTAGTGGCGGGAAAACAGTCAGCAAAGATACGTTTAGTGGTGGGAAAACAATCAACAAAGGCTCGTTTAGAGGCGGGAAAACATTCAGCAAAGATACGTTTAGAGGCAGGAAACAGTCAACAGAGATACATTTAGCGGTGGGAAAACAGTCAGCAAAGGCTCGTTTAGAGGCAGGAAAACAGTCAGCAAAGGTGCGTTTAGAGGCAGGAAAACAGTCAGCAAAGGCACGTTTAGAGGCAGGAAAACGGTCAGCAAAGATACGTTTAGTGGCGGGAAACAGTCTGCAAAGGCTCGTTTAGTGGCGGGAAAACATTCAGCAAAGATACGTTTAGAGGCAGGAAAACAGTCAACAGAGATACATTTAGTGGCGGGAAAACAGTCAGCAAGGACGCGTTTAGTGGCGGGAAAACAGTCAGCAAAGATACGTTTAGTGGTGGGAAAACAATCAACAAAGGCTCGTTTAGAGGCAGGAAAACAGTCAGCAAAGGCGCGTTTAGAGGCAGGAGAACAGTAAGCAAAGATACGTTTAGTGACGGGAAAACAGTCAGCAAAGGCTCGTTTAGTGGCGGGAAAACATTCAGAAAAGATAAGTTTAGTGACGGGAAAAAATTCAGCAAAGATACGTTTAGAGGCAGGAAAACGGTCAGCAAAGATACGTTTAGTGGCGGGAAAACAGTCAGCAAAGGCGCGTTAAGTGGCGGCAAACATTCAGCAAAGATACATTTAGCGGCGGGAAAGCAGTCAGCAAAGGCTCGTTTAGAGGCGGGTAAAAAGTCAGCAAAGATACGTTTAGTGGCGGGAAAACAGTCAACAAAGATACGTTTAGTGGCGGGAAAACAGTCAGCGAAAGCCCCTTAAGTGGCGGGAAAACATTCGGCAAAAGCGCGTTTAGTGGTGGGAAAACAGTCAGCGAAGGCTCGTTAAGTGTCGGGAAAACAGTTAGCAAAGGTGCGTTTTAGTATCGGGAAAACAGTTAGCAAAGGTGCGTTTTAGTGTCGGGAAAACAGTTAGCAAAGGTGCGTTTAGTGGCGGGAAAACAGTCAGCAAAGATACGTTTCGTGGCGGGAAAACAGTCAGCGAAAGCCCCTTAAGTGGCGGGAAAACATTCGGCAAAAGCGCGTTTAGTGGTGGGAAAACAGTCAGCGAAGGCTCGTTTAGTGTCGGGAAAACAGTTAGCAAAGGTGCGTTTTAGTGTCGGGAAAACAGTCAGCAAAGGTGTGTTTTAGTGTCGGGAAAACAGTCAGCAAAGGTACGTTTAGTGGCGGGAAAACAGTCAGCAAAGATGCGTTTAGTGGCGGGAAACAGTCAGCAAAGATACGGTTTAGCGGCGGGAAAACAGTCAGCGAAAGCCCCTTAAGTGGCGGGAAAATATTCGGCAAAAGCGCGTTTAGTGGTGGGAAAACAGTCAGCGAAGGCTCGTTTAGTGTCGGGAAAACAGTTAGCAAAGGTACGTTTTAGTATCGGGAAAACAGTTAGCAAAGGTGCGTTTTAGTGTCGGGAAAACAGTTAGCAAAGGTGCGTTTAGTGGCGGGAAAACAGTCAGCAAAGATACGTTTCGTGGCGGAAAAACAGTCAGCGAAAGCCCCTTAAGTGGTGGGAAAACATTCGGCAAAAGCGCGTTTAGTGGTGGGAAAACAGACAGCGAAGGCTCGTTAAGTGTCGGGAAAACAGTTAGCAAAGGTGCGTTTTAGTGGCGGGAAAACAGTTAGCAAAGGTGCGTTTTAGTGGCGGGAAAACATTGAAAATACACGAGTTTAGCGGTGAGGATTAAAAGTTGCAAAATTCTATAGCTGTTTGACTGACTTACTGTCTCGCTTCAGGAATACCTTCCGTAACTGAGACAAGTTAGTTTTTCTTGTTTAGAGTCAAGCACAGACTTCATGATCTACTTCACTCTGACGAGGATTTCAAAGAAGAAGATTTTGCCAAGGTGTGTTTTTTATTTTCATGACGGAGTAAATTCGTGACTTGATATCTAGACGCATGCTGATACTTGTGTTCTTGTCTTATAGAAATTTGTTGACCCGGACCCGGTTTTTCGAAGGGTAAATAACTCTATCCATTGAATAAATCGGATAGCGCAATGATTTTTGCTAACACTTGTCTACCGGAAAGACAGCGGTTTATATGCTGGATCGCGTTATCCGTCCTTTGAACTAGTGGGCCCAGATTTGAAACTACAGTGCTAGTATTCCTCAGTGGTCCATCATGGTATAATTTTTTCTAGCACTTCGGCACCACGGACTGCATGGGAAAAAAGAGAAATGCTGTCTGTTTCGTTATTGTTTATAGGCAATTCGTCATTATTTCTGTTTCATTCTTGTTAATGTTATTTTCCAAGATGTTTAAAAGGTCCTTTGAGGGGGTTTGAATAATGCTGAGTCTCAAAATTTATTGGTTTACAATTCATGAAATAATAACGACTTCACTTTGAGGAAATTGTAGGGGGACCAAAGAAACTACATGTTATACAATTTGCACATTTTTCCCCGCATGATGTTCAGATGTGCACTCAAGACACGCTTCTAATTTTGAAACTTTGTTACGACAGCTTGCGCCAACAAAGAATCCATCACTAATCAATGCCATGAAAGCTATCAAAAATCCCTACAAAATGTGTGAAAGACTTTACAAGTTGGTGCAGAGCCTGACTGGACAGTTAAAGGAGTTGATTAATCAGAAAGTTTATGATCCAAGAGGTATGATTGTGCCTTCTTAGCTTACAGTTTAAATTCTTAGGGCTATCGCATCATTCCTCTCTTTCCGAACAACCAAAAGCTTCGCACTTAAGGGAGTCAGAGAAGGGTACCGGTGTTGCAAGCAACCTTTCTCTCTTGGAAAGAGTGTGCATCATGGAGTTTCGGGTTCGAAATTCCTATGAGCTCCGAATTGGCATTTTCCGAAGGATGAAACAGAGCAATTCAATCCAACTTTTGCGCAATTTAGAACGAAATGATTATTCCACGTCTTTCTCTATTGATTTCAATTTTTTTTTTATTTGAAGACCCATATTTGTACCAAGGTGAAACACTCGAGCTCATGATGCACAGATGGACAAAATTAGAAAAGGTGACTTTTTTTTAAATAAAATATCGACTGGAATTAAGTTTGTGTAACCTAACTTGCGCGCTGAACGATATTCCTCTCTTGCAGGATTTCAAGCTTAAAAGTGGTCAGTTTGATATAAGCCTCATACCAGACATATACGATTGTATCAAGTATGATGTACAACATAACAGGTTTGAAAATTTCGTTAGATCATTTGAAGAGAACAGGTATTGGTTATAAACTAAAGTTTTTTTTTAATTGTTCCGTTCCGCTGTTATAATTACGATGTCTACCGTTCCAAAAACTAAGTTTTTTTATTCTGTTTGATTGCTATGAAATTTTAGTGATCTAAACCTGGAAAATAGTTTGGAGTTATACAAGTGTGCCAAAGCCTTTGCCGATATTGTTATTCCTCAGGTGGGTTCGAATCAAACAACTTTTTTAGTATAATCTTTTTTTTCAAACGAAAATTACATTTCCTTTGCGAAATTTCAAACACCAAGGCTAGAAAGGTTTCAGAATACCTCAAATAACCTAACCTTGCGTCTTAAGCACACATTCAGCACAAATAAACTTCAACATTGAGTAGTAAAACAACTAAATAGATACTTATTGCACTCTCTAAGCTTCTTCAATCTTCTAGAAATGTGGAGATACAACATTTTTCATGTCAGAGACACTGATCTATATAGTTTTCCACGAAATAACTATTGAAACGGCATTTTGCGTCATAAAACTAATTGACGTATGGCAACTTGATTCATTAAGTCAGAATGTGCGAAACACAAAAACAAAAGATTTAACGGTGAGGGAGCCCCCAGCACCCTTGACCCATTACGCCCCAACACTGATCAACATGTAGATTCTCCACACTTTTCCCTGTACATTTCTTGTGGTATTAACAAAGAGAATTTGGTCGACAATGAAGAGCCTCTTTAATGAGCGATCATTTCTTAGCGCAGTACCCAGACTTTTCACGGTCACAGTGATACATTAGATCTGGGTACAAGATAAATCATTTCCTCAATACTCATGACCTTGATGTTCGATTCAGAGGTGATACTGTACGGAGAAACTAGATGGCGGTCACTGTAAGGCGTTGATGGGTTAAACATTAACATTTCTCAATTAACAAATAGAGATTTTTTTTTCAGGAATATGGGATCACAAAAGAGGAGAAATTGGGTGTGTCCCAAAGTGTTTGCATGAGGCTGTTGAAGAAGATCAGAGGAGATTTGCGTCATGCCGACAAGACAGACATCCATACTCGTCTTAATCCTGAGTAAGCGCTTTAAGATGTCGTCAATTTACTTTAGATGCTTGTTTGCTGAATGGCCAATCTCTACTCTGGATCTAAAAATATAATTGTAACTTTGTGGCCCTTGTACATGTTCGCGTCAGAATTGCCAATTTTACCTTCCCTCTCAAAAAACCCGCTATCAAAGTGCGTACCAGAGTGGAGAAATAGAACCCTTTGAAAGATTCTTTGTTAAGGATTGGCGAAGCACTGTGTTAAGTTTTATTACAAACTTGTAATATGGTATTTTGAAATCTTTTTTCCATAGCTATATGCAGAGTGTTGAAGCTCCAAATCGTCACGTGCGGACAAGGTTGTACTTTACTAGTGAAAGTCACGTACACTCGTTGGTAAATGCCCTAAGATATGGAAACCTCTTTGAAGTAAGATATCTATAAAAGTGTTGGCTCTTCTTAGTGCAGCTTACTCCACATCTTAAGAACTAAGACCAAAATTCTGACGGTCACAACAACTTTTATGCAGTACCAAACGGGTCCACTCAACACAGCGGTCAAACGTCGGGCATGCACGAGGGGATGTATTCTGGCCGACCTCATGCCTATTTCAGTTCAAGGAGAACATAAGAAACAACTGCTGTCTCCCAAAATAAGTTAAAGAAAATTGAAACGTTCGTAGAAATCTGAAATATTTTCGAACACAAAGCTTATTTAAGTACACGTATCCTGTTGATTTACAATTTTGTTGGGGCTTAATCAAAAACGTTTTGGCTTTTAATACACCGTGAATTACTGGCATGTGTGGTTATTTGTAATTCAACTTTTGTAACTTTTCTCTGACAGCCTGAAGGCACGCCATCCAGTTGCTCCACTCTGTGTTCAAGGCAACTCTAATTAAGGGCTTGATTAAGAACAAACGCTTTAAGACATGTCTCTTAAAAAGTAGGGGGGCTAAAGCCTCCCTACATGCAGCCCCTCCCTTTGCGCGGTCCCTGCAATCAGGGCTAAGATGAAATGAAAACGAGCCCATCAGCACTCCAAATAAAACAAGCTTACAGCTCGCCGTGTGGGAAACGTGTGCGGCGACATGGTCACGATTACTTTTAATTTTTAATGTGACTGTTCGAGAGTTTAAGAAGCTATTCAGAGAGCCTAATAAAACGAATCCGTTGTTTTGTTGTTGTTGTAATTTTGTGAATTAGTCAGTGTGGTTAATATTCTTCATGATGTGAAACCCACCCTAGGAAATTCCGGATAACCAGTGGCAGAGTGCTGTAGACTTCTTAGCAGAAGTTCCAGAGCTAAGCTACATGACTCAGATTGTGCTGTTGTTGTACGAAGACCCCAAGGCTGATCTGTTGTCTGAGAAGCGATTTCATGTGGAGCTGCATTTTAGCCCCGGTGCTAAGACTATAGATGATCCAGAGTTTTTAACAAGTGGTACCCCCAGGAGCTCCAGTACGACTTCTGTCCTTAGTTTTGCAACAACTGACACAGACCTGGATGAAATTGAAGCATTTGAGCCCTATGATGAAAGCGTTTACACCGGAAATGATACGCCACGGTCTGAGATTGGACTTGATGATTACACTGATGATAGCACGAGCGAAGGTACCAATCCTTCTTTAGTTGGCAGTGGAGATTTCCAGCGCAGCTTTGGTGAGTCAATCGATGATCAGCTTGTCACTTCCTCGTCCTAGCTTGAAAAATTGTGTCAAGTTACTTTCGAGTTCCGTTTGGAAGAATCCGCTGCTTGGTGATTAACACGCTGTACGCCGGCCTTAGGACCTGGTCTTTCAAGGTCCTGGTGAATGTACAGGCCCGAAACCAATTTTTTAATCGCGAGCAGACCTAGCTTTTTAAAATAAGTTTGCTTTTCCGAGTCATTTAAATGCTGCGCAGTCGACTCCTGTCATCATTTTTGAGTTAGCCATTCATTCTGGAGAGTGGTTATCGAGTAATTTATACCTGCCATGTCAACAGGTTTTATCCTTTAATATATTTTTTCGCATTCTTTCTAGAACGTTTATCAGACAAATCCAAGCTCGTTGCTGGAAAGCGCGTCAGTTTTGAACTACCACGCGAAGGAGAAGTTCACTTGAATTATTGTCTAAACCGGGCTGATGAATCATGGACTCTCTTGAGCCTGCCGAGAAGAAGAGGTAACACTGGTGAGAAAATTTCTTATTTTCAAAAACCGCTATAAAAATTACCTATGAGTGGTTAGAATGAAAACATTAAAGTAAAATGCTATTAAAGACTTTTCCAAGCTACCGTGGAATGACGCCATTTTCGGGGATAAAGTAAAATTAATGTTCAATTTCGTTCGCTTTTAAAGCATAAACGCTGTATAATTCTAGGAATTATATAATTTGCGGTCTTCCTTCAATAATTAAAAAAAAAGAATTGACTTACTGTGTCCCCCTCCTCCATCCCTCCCTCCACCAGGTTTAAGTATTGTTGAAACTGAAATTTCTTCAGAAACAGTCTCAAGAGTAACACCTGCAATAGAAGACCCTTTACCCATGAGGCCAAGTGCTCCGATGAAACTAACCCACTCTCAAGACGTCCTTTGATGAACAACCAAAGGAAGAGAAAGACGCTACTAGCGATAGTGGTACTGGAGAAGAAAGTAGTGGAAGATCTCAAAAATGTTCTGGTAAGGCCATCTAGCCTGTCTTCCGAAATCTTGCGTATTCATCAATTCATTTCTAAATTGGTAAGAGGTGATTAGAAAATGCTCCAAGACTTGGTGGTTGGCGCGGGGAATTTCGAACCGTGGGGTTCGGGTTCGAGCCTTGGCTGGGTCATTACGTGTCTTTCTCCAGCCAGAGGTAAAATGAAATGGGTACCGCCAAAGTGTCAGGGAAATCTGACAAATTGCAGAGGGATGACCTGCAATAGACTGACATTCCATCCAAAAAGAGTAGCTACAGACAAACATAACCTGTGGCAGTTATGTGTGTCAGTCTCATAGGCGGACTTATCTTCAATAGTAATCCACCCGATACAGCAATTTTTAATTGGGTGTCGAAAATAATCTGGGACTCTGTGATTTTTCTTTACTTCGCTCTTTTGATTGGTCCAGAAAACTCGCGCCTCTCTCTCAACCGATCAGATGCCAACCAAATCCAATCACAACTTGGTCTCCCGCGTTTTCCCGCTCCGTAGTCAGTTTGGTCGGTTTTTCTTTGAGTTATTATTGTCTCTAAAAGGTTTTTTTTTTCTCCTGATGGTTGTTACGATTACTTTGGTTTTGGTTTTACAACACTTTTTTTACGAAAAGTTCTCTATATTGCAAACTGATACTTATCTACTGGTTACTCAGATCCTTGTTATGAGGAAATAGTACAACAGAATACAAGTTTTACATGTAAAGGTAATGTTTATTTTGCGGATATCTTATCTCAAGAAGACATGTCTGTCGTCGTTCCTCACCAACGAGCGACTAGCTTTGAACTAGTACCCGGGGAAGGAAACAACAATCATGTCGGAGATCAACTACAAAAGTTTGATGAGTCCTATATACCTTCCATTGAAAGACCCTTAGCAAGAAGATACAGTTTTGGTAAGCAAAAACAAAAACTACCTCATGATGATAAAAGCAAGTCATAGTAATTACTTTAGGTTCTCTGTAACGATAAAATCGTACTGGATGCTTCCACGTCTAATGCTGCATAGCCATTGTCAGCAGTCCTAGTTCTTTTTTCTCATTTATGCAAATAAACCATGCAGACACCAAATTGCACTAAGCGTGCATACTCGAGTTACTCTCTCTCTCTCTCTCTCTCTCTGACGAATGTATAAAGTTCGAAATGTCAGCCTCATAAACTCTATACGGTTGCCAATTCACATTATCAGCTCAGTTGATAAATCAAGATTATCTCGTGATACACTCCCCCCCTTCCATCAACGCAGCACCTCAGTTTCTTTAAATTTATTATGTCTTTCTCTATATATTTCTTTATATGTAACAAATTGCTTTCCTGTTTTGACGGACTCGCAAAAAGACATCTATCAAGGTTTATGCATTTCGTCTAAATCTACACCTTTAACTACTACCAATCTCGTCGACTGGGTCGCTTTGGACGTATTGAAGGAATATTGTCTCGCAATTTCATTTGTCTGAATGGACGGGAACAACTCGTTTTATTTCTTTACAGAACATTCCGCGGAGTATGATTCTAAATCCCAATCTCTCGCAGCTAAAGAAGTTGTAGGGAACCATCGCGTTCGTAATGACAGGCAGATACCGTTGTGATATCCTGAATTTGTAAAATAAATATTTTTATTGTATAGATGGGAGAGATATTTTTCGTGCCACTCGACCATAAAATTCATATCTTCTCGCCACAGTGTAATATCCTCTATTTATATGAATGTTTCAAATAATATCTGCCGTTACAGAGAAAGATATGAGGATATTATGTTGTCAGTCTGTTCAATTGGATTAAATACGGATTTCACACGGTTTTTCGGTTTTCAGGCGTTTTAAAACCTCCGCCAGACGTATTGAACCCAGGCAAGCGAAAGATCAGCTTCGATCTGGTGCGTGACGATGGTAAAGGTTATTTTTATGGTCCCTCAGACCCAGCTGATGAGTCTTCTACTCCATCAAGAACATCAACGAGTAAACAAAGTTCAGGTCAAGAGAAGTTTTTTTACATGTTCATGAATTTTTATTTAAATTTTATCACTAGACTTCAAGCAGACCCTTTTTGGGCGATTTCTGTCTCGGGTCAAAAGCATTATGTAGATAACAGCGCGCCGAGCGGAACTCTGAGCGTGAGGCACACCAAAAGAACTACGTTACTTTTCGTGTGCCTCATTCCCAAAAGTCTGCACGGCTCGCTAACACAAATTTTCTTTTTCGTTATTTGTTTTTTTATTGACTCGCGCGACGGACTATGCCGTTAAGAAGGGACTGCTCGTAGAGCGAGAACGCTGCTTTGTAGTCTCTATTTACTTTCCCTTTTCAAGTTTAAGGTTCGGCTCATTCCACTTCGTTTAAGGCCCTTTTGTTATACAGTGGTTCCGGAATAAACCAATTATTTCGATGAGCTGTTTGATAATTATATTCAGGGTTTTCCGCTTTCTTTCTCTTCCAGATGACATATGAAGATTTTCAGCCTCTTTTAACCTTAACACCCTGACACCAGAATTCATATTCTCTACATTTCCTTTGTTACTGACAAGGAGAATTTGTTTAAAAATCAAAGCTTCTTTGGCTGTTGATCATGCCTTTTTTGTAAATGGTCTTAGTTATTATTATTAAGCAATGTTACTGTGAGTAGAAATTACATTCTGGATATTCTTAGGATCTGAAGGGTCAATCATCGGAAATTAAGAGCTTTTTCAAAGAAAACAGAATAAAATAGACAACAAATCCTTCAAACCTCGATTTATATTTTAATGTTTGTGAAATTACTAACATTATTTCTGCAGGAACGGCAAGTTCTGCTATTTTTGCATTACAAAGTCTGACGTATGCTATACAGAGTGCTTTGGTTGTAAGGCCCCATCCCTTCACGAACCGCATTTCAAAGAGCCACAAGCCACCTAGTAAGTGCTTTTTTCGTTTCCATTTTGTTATAGTTTTTACGCATTATCAAGTGTTTTTTTTCTTTTAATTCCGCCCCTATAGGTCTTATTTGCACTAGACTTTACTCAAATCTTTGTTACCCTATTCCTTTGTTCTAAGTCCTTTGGGAAGCTCTCTACGATTTCTCAGTCCGCATACGAGCGAGCTTTGAGGTTGAAGTTAGCTCTCCTAACGAGGATGTGTGTAGTACATCACAGAAAATAGATGTCACCCGTTTAGTCATTGCGCTTCTCAGACATTAAAACCGGAAACTTTAAAGTACCATTACATTAAATTTTTCTGTGACATTTGGGTAATCATAAGAAAAAGAGTAGTCAGACCTACCACCACTCCCCATCTTTGTTAGGTACAAAGGATCGAATACTGACACTATTCAACGTATTGTTACTATTTTTTGCAGTTTTTTTCATACTGACATGTTAAATCTGAATTATCTTTCAGTTGCATTGTGTTATGAAGAAATGACCAAAGTGGAATCATTGAACCCACTTCGCACACTACACAGTGCTGTTCCACTCAAAGAGATGGACCGTTTCTTTGACACCTTAACTGGGAAGAAACTTGTGTTTCCTACTCTTGCTTCACGCTCAAGGACTATCTCCAAGGAGAGTAACTTCTCAGAATTGTCCAAAGAAGCAAACGAAAACTTGGATTCTTCATAGCACTGATTTATCATTAAGAGAGATCTGCAACCATGGTTGACGGGAGCACCATTGAAAAGAGGGGAATTAAATTTATGCTGTCTGTCTTTCCGGTGACCGTTTATGCAATGTTAAGAATATGAATTTGTTTTGCAAATAACATATTTTTCAAGTAGATTTACCACAAGGATTGGAACAAATCATGAGAAAATTAGCCATTTGTGTGTGCAGCGAACGTAGTCTTTCTGGTGGCCAATTCTTATCATCAACTCCATTGATAAAAGCAAACTATCTTGTGATAGCCTCCACCGAAGTTTGGAAACTCACTTTATTCTCAAAGTATGTGAAACCTCGTTACCAGGATCACTCTTCTTCCCGGCCCGCCGAAGAAGAGAGAGTTTAGCAACTAGTTTGGTTGGGGTTAGTCAATTTTCCCCATCCACAGGCTCTTCTCAGGTTGTGACTCGTGCGCAGACATGTTACATAGAACACCTTCCTGATTTTTACCTTCCAAAGGTTTCCACAATCGAGTAAAAATAACCAAAAGTAAAGAAAAAAGACGCAGTTGAACTTTAAAAAACTTTGCTGTGCAACTTTCGGTTTTATTTCAAATTCCGATCACACTTGTGCGGTCGTAACTCTTTTTTTTCTTAGAAACTTCTTTTTTTAAGGGGTGAAGATTTATTATATAAATAGTGATTTATTCTACATGTTGTGAAAATTGTTTAACTTACATAGATGTATACCAGAGACTTAATAAATTGTAATTAATTGTAAAATTGTAAGATAAAAATTAATAAATAAAAATGACAACTTTTTTCTTTTCAGTGGTTCCTATGTCACTAAATGTTGTCGTGTGTTTCTCGCCTGCGATTTAATCTATTTTTTTTGTGTGTCAAGGGGCCGGTACAACTTATTTCTCATATGGCGCAAAATTTTGTACAAAAATTTCTTCGACCTTCTAGTTCAGAGGGGAACGCTTAGTTACAAAAGATGGTAAACTATGTAGATATGGTGTATTTTGCTCTTCGCTTACCTTCATCATCTGTTGAAGCTGGAGAGGGGTGGCCGGAAACGGGTGGCTTTGAAGGAAGCTAAAGACCCTTTAAAGGGAACCCCCAGTCTTAAATCAAATATTTCTCAAAAGGCTCTCAAATGTATCAAACACAAGATGCTTGGTTCTCAAAATGATTCCTCTAACCTTGTTAATTTTTTTTCGGCCTTTAAAACCGGCCTCCCCCTTCACGGCAAGTTAGAACTTCCCGCTCCCGTCGTCCTGTTAGGTGCGCAAGGTACTCTGGGTTAATTACGTGTACTGGTTGCGATGCCTCTGTTATTACATATCTAGTCATTCTCCCGTAAACGAAACTATCCGTACTTCCAGTAGGTACCATTCATGGATGCAATGGTCCTCGTAATGTTCCGAACACAGACGCGAATCGTTTAGAAGAGATGTTCTTTCAATAGCATGGAATCCATGCACGTCGTTAACTGTTGTCTTTTAGGAACCTTGGGATCGTGCTTGGTTATGGCCTGACTACTTCCCTCGAGAGCTACGCAATGATGTAATGAGGCATTTTGTTGGGGAAAACCCTAGGAAAACCCCAAATACGAAAGAACAATGCAAAATGCGAAAGAACGCAGCAACCATTACAACCCAATATGCCTTGCGCACCTAACAAGATGGCGGACTCGGAAAGTTTGAGCTTACCGTGATGGTCAGTTTTGAAGGCCGAAAAAAATTAACAAGGCTAGAAGAATAATTTTAAGTAACAAATTTCTTGTGTTTAATATATTTAGAGCCTTTTAAGAAATGTTTCCGCTTATCCTTGTGGGGCAGTATACGGTTACACGAAAGCTGCCCACACAGTGGTCCAAACTTCGGATATGGCACTGACGGGTTGAATACATAAGTGTCACCGTACATGACACATTTATCTCTTCCCATTTTACTGCTGACCGCAGTTTTCAAGGAGTGCGGTCGCTTCGCCTGAAAATTGCGAAGTATTGATAATTAAGTTGCAACACTTTCTCGTAATTAAGTTGCTACACTTTCTCGTAACTTGTTACAATAAGTAAGTTTGAAGTTAATGGCAGCGAACGGATTTTATTAGAATTCGACTTTCTAAGGCTGTTTTCCTGAAGGAAGGGTGACATCATTCATCGTAATTCACTCAGTTAATGTGAACAGCAGCATCGAGTTTTTATTCGGTCCTCATCTGGATATAGAAAAATTTTTCATCCTCATGTTGAAATTCGTCGATATCTTCTTTTTACGTCAGTTTTAAAATCTTTCTCCACTCTCAATCATAAGTCTAAACGTTTACGTTGTTCAAACTTCCCCTTGCAGAAATGTTAGAAGATGTCTGGCGGAAGGTGACAAGACGTTAACATTTTGTTAGTTACTACTATCGGTGGTGTGACGTCTGCAGTTTCGTACACAGCCTTTTGAACAGAGGAAATGGCTGACTATCCAAGACCATTTATTAGATATGATGGGGAAGATGACGATGAAGACGATGAAGAAGATGCAATTCCCAAGATTAGAATTGGGGTCTGTGCAATGAGCAAAAAGGTATATACATGTATAATATATAATATATAATATATATAATATATCTCTTTTAAATAAATATTTGTTTAGTGATGTGCCTTGGGCTTTCGACAGTGTCAATGCCTTAAGCGAGGTGCAGCTGAAACGCTTGATTGAAAATTTGCCCTAAAATTTGTATTTAATCATTCATTTACCCACTTCCTTTAGACCAACTCCCAACCTATGCAAGAGATCTTAAATCGAATGTCAGCATTTGACTGTGTGGACATATCCGTGTTTCCTGATGACACTATCCTGAATGTTCCAGTGGAGGAATGGCCCATTTGTGACTGTTTGATTTCATTTTACTCCAAAGGCTTTCCACTTGAGAAAGCAATTGAGTATGCCCAGCTGAGAAAACCATTCAGTCTAAATGATTTGGAAATGCAATATGCCCTGATGGACAGGTATGTGTGTTGTACATGTGATCAATCAGGTGAGGGTAGTCCTGGGAGGCACTGTATCTGTGATGGTGACTGACATTTTGGCAACCTAAGCAGAATTTATTACCAGAGTGGGGGTGATGAGTGACAACACTGATGATGACCTCCACCCAGTTGTCAAAATGTCAGTCGTCACTACCGACAACATTCTTTCTCAGGACAACTCTCATCTGGACCATCAGACTAGATGTTCAAATATTCCTTCCAGGCTCAAACCAATTTCTATATCACACTCAACTTTGTTCTTGTCATTACATTACCACAATTTTGGCTATTAATATAAAACACAGCTTTTTAGATACAAGCCAGAGGAAAGAGTTTTGGTTAAAACTGTGCCTATTTTCCTTTGCAGACCAACAATGTACAGTCTTTTGGAGAGCGCAGGGATTGAAACACCAAGACATGCTATTTTACTACGAGATGATGATGGAGATCCCATAAACACTAATTTTGTTGAGACGGATGATTCTGTACAGATTGGTGATGTTGTATTCCAAAAACCCTTTGTTGAAAAACCAGTAAATGCAGAAGACCACAATGTGTACATATATTACCCCTCATCAGCTGGAGGTGGCAGTCAAAGATTGTTCCGAAAGGTTGGAAATAGAAGCAGTGTGTACTCAGGTGAGAGTTCTGTGCGCAAGGAAGGGTCTTACATTTATGAAGACTTTGTGGTCACGGATGGAACAGATGTGAAGGTAGGCAAGACATAACAGTTTTTTACTGTCTGTAATTCTTTCTGTTTTGAAATGAGACCTTTAGAGGAGTAGGGTTCTCCCTTATTTTAGGCATGACAAACCAATCAATCAATCCTTTCACTTGTTGAATTTTTTAGTTTTGATAATTCTAAGGGATGTTAGGTCTGTGGTAATACAAATATAACAGGTATTATATGTGTTAAATTTCACTGTTTACTTCCTGAAAAGGAGGACACTGGAGAAGTGCATGGACATAAGTTCAATTCATTAGAAATTTGCAGACATAACATGTAGGTTATAGTTCTCGTTTTTTTCCTGGGTTCAAAGTTTATTTTTCTGTACTATGAGACTAATTGTAATTCATTGCCATCCTCAAAAACTTAGAAAAATTTGTTTTAGGTTAAGAATGTATTAATTTTTTTTGTAAAATGTAGTAAGAGACATGTTTTTCTTTTGTGGATCAATAAATCAAGGTGTACACAGTGGGCCCAGAGTATGCTCATGCTGAGGCACGGAAGTCTCCTTCACTTGATGGAAAAGTTGAAAGAGATAGTCAAGGAAAGGAAATACGTTACCCTGTCATCCTAAACCAGTATGAGAAAGAACTGGCAAATAAAGTCTGCAACCTGTTCAAGGTATTGGGATGCGTTGCTCATAAATTGGTACAAGTTAGGATAAGGATAGGACACAGATTCTGTTGATGGTAAAACAAAGTGCAACAGAAAACAGCTCAATGGCAATAGCAGTGCCAAAAAGGGGGGAATGCATGACCTGTTTTTTTTTTTTATTGAGCTGACCCAAGCCCTCTTCTTTTTACCTTACCACCACTTGCATTGTTTACCACTGTGCCTTGATTTACCAACTTTACACTAAGGACAAGCTCCAGATTGAAAAGTCGTGGACAGATTCTTGGTCATGGTCACTGTATTCTCAGGTTACTCTTGCCATGCTAATGTCTACCTTGGAGATTAAGGTTTATGTTCCTGGGAGGAGAGAGGAGACTAATGAAATGCTGGGGGATAACTTGCTGTAGACTTACACACTCCTTGGGAGAAGAAGTGACACGTCTAGCTTCTTCAGTCTATAGACACTAGCTGCAGCAGTGATGGAGCTTTTTGGGTCCTAGCACTGAATGCTTGCCCCCATGGTAGTGATGTTGGTATAAATGTACTTGAACTGTTCATGCTATTTATCTTATAAACTATGGTGCTACTGGTATGTGAGGATTTCAAGCCTAGGGAAAAGCCGTAACAACATGCATCACAAAATAGTGTATTTTTTCACGTGTGTTTGATATTGCCAATCAGCCTTTCTTGCCACTCAGTCAGGTTGATGAATGAACAGCAAAGCCTTCACCATTCTCAATTCATCTTTGTTTGTCAGAATTTTCTCGTATTGTGGTTGCTAAATCAGACAGTGATGTTCAAACTTTCCTCAGGGAGATTGTCGATCCTTTTATTTTCATACGTTAATAAAGTCGACTTTTCTTGTCAGTCAAGGGTTAATGTTTTTATATAATAAACAAAATAATACATGGTTGCTTGTAGATATGGAATTTCTCTTCTGGTGTTCAACTGGCATCTCGCGTGTTTGCTGTGCTTACTCATGAGCTATGGAGTATAACATATAAAGAGAAATTCCATATCTACACACATCCATGTATTATTCTCTATATATTATAGCATACTGAACAATCTTGAATTCTTTTTCCACTTAGCAAACAGTTTGTGGGTGTGATTTACTGCGCACTCATGGCAAATCCTATGTTTGTGATGTCAATGGCTTCAGTTTTGTAAAGACATCCAAGAAGTACTATGATGATGCAGCACAGGTCTTAATGAGCCTTATTGTACATAAACTAGCACCTCAATTATACACACCGTACAATCTTGATTTACCAGAAGAGACACCCACTGTTGAAGCCCTGGAGGGTACCATGTTAGAGCTAAGGTGTGTTATTGGCATTATCAGGCATGGTGACCGAACTCCAAAGCAGAAAATGAAGATGGAAGTCAGGCATCCAAGGTGAGATAAACACAGTGTTTACCCATTCACTTCCAAGATCTCTTTCAATAATTTTCTTAACTGTATGCTGCACAATTTTTATCTTCAGCTTGTTAGTTTGAAGAATTTGGTGTTGGATCTACTAATAATCCTCAATAGTCCATTTTACAGTTGTGTGCTTGGTTGCCAAGCCTTTGAACAGGAGTAAGGCTAAGGGTGACCTTATTATGATACAAACCTTGCTGCTTTTGAAATGCAAATTAATTTGTTATCATGCTAACTAGATTCTAGTCTCTAACACAACAAGGTCACCTTCAGCCTCACTCCAAATCAAAGGCTTGGCAACTAAGTACACAACTGTAAAATGGCCTATTGATATTTTTCTTTTATGTCATCTCTTGTGTGCTTGATATTGTAATGATATTGTAATGATATTATAATGATATTGCAATGATATTGTAATGATATTGTAATGATATTGAATGGTGCATGGAATTCCAGTAAGTGATGTTCATTGTACCTCAATCCATATAGCTTCCCGAAGATAGTTTATTTGAATCATATTTATGGGGACTTTTTGTGGGCCATGACTTGTTACTTGTGTATTGTAGTTTGACATGAATTGCAGGTCAAAAATATGTTTAACATGTTTGAATTATTGTCTCTGTCGTTCCATAGCTGGAAGGTGCATAACTTTAAGAAGGGAAAAGGAAAATAAAATTCAAATTTAGTTTGAAATCTGTTTGAAACTGCAACTTGAATGACTTACTATGTTGTTTGTACATGTATAATGTATATGCCTGTGAATGAGACAATCAACCCTTTAAGCCCCAATAGTGACTAGCATCTAATTTCTCCTAACAACATCACTGCCTGATTAAATGTACAGATCATGAGGATGAATGAAATGATCACCAAAGTTGAAATGTCTTTATGTTTGAACAAATTCTCTCAATCACTAAAATACGAAATGTATGGAGATCAGTGAGGAGAATGTACATGTTGATATCAGGGCTTAAAGGGTCAAGTTTCATGAAATGAAACTGAGTGTTTTTTCTATACCAGATTTATTGAACTTTTCAAGAAGTATCATGGCCTTGATGAACACAAGCTCAAGTTGAAGAGACCAACCCAGTTACAAGAGGTGTTGAATATTGCCAGAGATTTGCTAGCCAACATTAAGGAGGGGATTCCAATCTTTGAGAGGCGTAACAAGCTCCATCAACTCAAAAGTGTGTTGGAAATGTAAGTTATTCTTGAAGATTCACATGTGTTTCCATGTCATTTATCACAAATCTTGCACAAAATACGTAAGGTTTTGCTGGTACTTTTGAGTCGTTGAAAAGTTTTAGGGGTGAAGTCAAGGGAGTCCTCAAGCTATTATTCTGATTTATTAGGTGTGAATTGGGTTTTGCAGGATTTCTTGCCCTGAATTGTTTTTGGGAATGTATTCCTTGCTGTGTTGGTCATTTTTTAACTCAATTTTCCTAGGAAGTTATTTTTTTACTTCATTTTTGCTGGGTGGAATGTTAAAAGAAATTAAAAGTCAAAATGAACTATGTCAACCATTGTGCACAATATTTGGCTGGTTCTTAGTTATGTTATATGGAAGGGTTACTAGTTTTGAGTTGAAGAACAAGACATGCAAATGCAAACATATAAAAAGTGGGCCAATAGTGCATATTAACCTAGACTGTGCCATGAGGAAGATGTTTTGTAGGGGTACAAACTTTTATTTAATGGTTGTATTTATGCTGCTGATGGTATCATCTCTGATGGTATTATTGATTTTGCTTTTCTCTCATCAATCTTATTTAGGTATGGGTATTTCTCTGGAATTAACAGAAAGGTTCAATTCAAGTACCTTGGCAAACCTCGAGATGGGAGTGAAAGTGAAAACAGCGAGAGTCGACTAACAGATTCTGGTTCTGATGAGAAGAGTGGAAAACAAAAAGTAGGGAAGGAAGCAAAAACGAAAGACAGTAAAGAAGGCACAGGGCAATCAAGTGAAGAATCACAGGAAAATGAAGAAACAAAGGATGAAAAACTAAAGGTACCAGTTGACTCCGAACATGCACTGCTGCTGATAGTCAAGTGGGGTGGAGAACTGACCACAATGGGAAAGGAGCAGGCCTTACAGCTAGGACGGGCTTTCAGGTACATATATATGAAATAGCAAGTGATGAAAATTTTCCAGTTAATTGCATGGAGACTCTAGTTTGAAATGCCCAGGTTCAATCTCTGGATAGTTGCAATGTGTCGTTTCTTGGACAAGATGCTTTATTTTGGTATTGCCTCTCTCCTGTCTGGAGAAGGGAGAGGGGCTATTTTTAAACACAGTGGCTTCACATTAAAACATTTCATGTGTAGTCTTTTTTCACTTTCTATCTCTGATTAGAAAATGGAAGAGTTCTCAAAACTGCCGGTGAATTCTGATGTAATGTTGTTCCACCTCTCTGGTTGTTTTTTTCCTCTTCATGATTCTGTTCACATTTGGCCTATGCAAATATCTTAAAATTTAGGAGCATGTACCCTGGAGGTCAAGGGAGATACTCTGCAATGTCTGGCATTGGTTTACTGCGACTTCATAGCACCTACAGACATGACTTGAAGATTTATGCATCTGATGAGGGACGAGTTCAAATGACAGCTGCAGCATTTGCAAAGGTATCCAGCTCAAACAAACAGCTACGTACATGTGCTTCTATGTATAAACTTATTAAATACTTTGTCACAAAGAGAGGTCTCATGAGGTACTACATGTATGAAAAAGACTGAAGTCATCATCTTGCTCCTTCACTGAACTTGAGAAAAAAAATGGAAAGGAGCAAATTCAACTGTGAGTAATGTCTTGTAAAGATGTAAAGAGGGAAGTACCCAGAAAAATACTGTAAACCTGTAAAAAAATAGTGATAGTTAACCCTTTACACCATAACATCAGTATTCATATTAAAGTAAATGGTTTGAACCCAGGAGTATCAGTAGTTCGTGTAGTGTGATCGTCCGGGTGAGTGTAGTTCTGAAAAGAACTGTTGTTGGTGACTGACGTTTCGACTATCTGTGCGGTAGTCATCTTCAGAGTCAAGTGAAGAGTAGTTGTCAGTCGATGATGTTATAAAGTCTGGTCTGTTGAACGTGATTGGTCTGTTTAGCCGTGATGTGATTGGCTGGAAGACTCGTGTAGAGTTTGTTAACAGTCATTGGTCGGTTTCGATCCGTCTGTTGTTTGTCGGTCTGTTTATCGGTTTGTTCACGTCGTCAATGAGTCGTTTGTAAGGTGCTGGTAATTGTTGACATCTGTTAAGAGGCGTCTGTTCTAAGTTAGTAAACCAGCTTTCCAGAGTCAGTCGTTGAAAATAGTTTGTACTGTAGGTTAAGCATTTAGCAGAGTCCCAGTCGATTCTGTGATTAGTTTGTCGGTGATGTTCAGAAATGTGATTGTTTACATCGCCCTTTCTAGTTGCTCGTTTGTGTTCAGTTAGTCGCGTGTTAAGGTTTCTACCAGGTTTCTACCTACCATCACACTACACGAACTAGTATTCATATTCTCTATACTGTTCTCTATACATTTCCTGTGGTGTTGACAAGGAGATGTTGTTTAACAATCAAGAACTTCTTTAGTTTGTGATCATTTCCTTTATTGATGAAACTTTAATGTCTGATTCGGAGGTGATATTGTAAGGAGACATTAGATGCCAGTCCCTTTTTTGTGGTCAAACAGTTAATACTGTATTAGTTCTAAACAAGCTTGTACTCTGTTGGTCTGTAGGGTTTTCTTGCACTTGAAGGTGAGCTGACACCAGTTCTTGTACATCTGGTACGTAGTGATAAGAACACCACGGAAATGCTTGACACCTCTGATGCTGCTACCAAGATACTAGGAAAGTAAGTTCAAGTTTGATTTTCCAATTCTCGAGCAGTATTTGTGTGTGAGATATATTTGTTTAACATATCTAAGCTTTCTATGAGGGTGTATTTGTTAATTAAGTTTTGGAATATTCAAGGCCCAACGCTTGTGGTCAATTTAGTGAAAGTCTCTTTAATGTTCAGTAGGTGACCATTTATGTAAAAATTATGGAGAGGATGATGGTGAAATTACACTCAGATGTACTTAATAATTACAATGTTCACTGTATTTCTTCCTTTTTTTTAAACCCATTTTCTTGTTTTCATTTATTGACATGTTTTCTTAAAGTAATATTATTGGAATTTTCTATCTACAGAGTAAAACACAGGCTTCATGAAATGCTTCATTCCAATGATGATTTCAAAGAAGAGGATTTTGCCAGGGTTTGTCGGAATTTAATTCTAGATAGTGCAATTTTCAGTTGGGTATTGAAGGTAACATGTAATTGTTTTGTTCTTGCTTTACTTCGCTTTGTGATTGGCTCCGAAAACTCGCGCCTCTCTCGCTAGCAATCAGATGCGTAACTAGAACCAATCACGACTTGGTCGCCTGCGTTTTCCCGCGCTTTACTTGAGGTTCTCATTGGTCCTCAAGGGTATATTCCTTTCATCTGATTGGCTGTTGCAATTACGTTGGTTCTGGTTTTACGTCTCTTAATCAAAAAGCGCTTTTAAGTGATGATACGATCAAGTGATCCTTCTTTTAATTTTGTCAAAACGTGCGTTCTCTGCTTTCTTGTCTGATTGCAGCTTGCACCAAACAAGTCTCCTTCTGTGATAAATGCCATGAAATTTGTGAAAAATCCATACAAAATGTGTGAAAAGCTGCACAACTTGGTAGCGAATCTTACTGGACAATTAAAGGAGCTGATATCCCAGAAAAGTTATGATCCAAGAGGTGAGAATAGCTACATAAGGGTCAAAAATTATTGACTTCTCTCATTTAACACTCCCGCTTAACAACTGCAGTTTTTTTTAATATCAAGTCTACTTTTCTGGGGAAAAATTTCAAGTCGCCATAAATATGAGCAAATAAGTCTTATCAGGGACATTTGTTGAGGGAAACCAAGTGAAAGAAAATACTGGAAAAGTTTCTTTGAGGTGGCTTCATGATAGTGTAAGAACCGTTATTCTTTAAGACTTTTGTTGCGCTTAACGTAATTTGTCAAGCAGTGAGAAAGTGCAAACGCGTATGTAATTCAACTCCTGGAGTCCCTAACACAAGTTTGGTTGCTGAGTGTCTACAAGGCGTTTCTGTGAAAGCTTATTTCTAGGCTTCAATTAATTTTCTCCTTTGGTGATCTTTGTGTTGCAGATCCTTTCCTTTATCATGACGAAACATTGGAGCTGATGATGCACAGGTGGACGAAGTTAGAAAAGGTCAGTTGCACATGTAGGGTGTGAGTCCGTTTTCAGAGTCTCTCAATCGTTAATCTATCTGAACTTATGAAAGTGTAATTTAGTATTACCAACTGAGTTGATAACGTAAATTTGCCACAGTAAAGAGTTTCCAACCTGACGTTTCGAGCGTTGGCCCTTCGTCAGAAGGGGGTCTGACAAAGGGCTAACGCTCGAAACGTTAGCTTCGAAACTATTTGCGGTGGCCAATTTACGTTATCAACTAAGTTGATAATACTAAATTCCCCTGTTATACTCTCCCACCGACGCAGCACCACAGTTTCTTTAGAAACGTACTCCCTTTGAATAAAAATGTCTTATTCATTTAACGTTGTTCAGGATTTTAAGTTGAAAAATGGCCAGTTCGACATCAGTCTTATTCCAGACATCTACGACTGTATCAAGTACGACGTGCAGCATAACAGGTTCGTAAAAGCGAGTGGGATAATGGCCTGTTAATGGTTTTGTTTAATAAATGATTTGTTCATCACTGAGGCTCTAGTCTATATGAACGATGGTAGTAAAAGTGTTATTAATGTTCGACCTCTGTTTTAAAAGAAAATCTTAAGTAACTACATCGGTAAAACAGACTAGAAGTGTCAAAAGCGGGTAGAGAAAAAAAACATGTTACTTGCGTCAAGCACGGGAAATATGACTGAGCAGGTTGTGATTATTTCTAATTTTGCATCTGATTTGCAGAGAGGATGACGCTAGCTTCTGAGTTACTCATCCATTCGTTTCATATGTGATTATGAAATGCTACAGTGTAAATAAAATGTGAAGTCGTGGTACAGGTTTTTTTTATTTGATGAGCAGATTTATGTGCTAGATAGTTATGTATTTTTCAGTAGGCTGTTCTCAGTTGGAGGCTAACTTAACGTAGATAAAATTGTAACGATCTGTTTTGCAGTCGAAGATACTGATGTAGTTAATTTTTGTTGAATGTAGTAACCTGTGTTTGAAAAACGCTATGGATTTATACAAGTGTGCCAAGGCTTTTGCAGACATTGTTATTCCGCAGGTGAGAAAGATAAACGAGCAGACTCGCTTTCATAGCCAGTTTTAAGCCTAGATTTTCATCTGGTCTTCTCGATAGGTCACTGGCACACATTTACCATTCTAATAGGAGACAGGCACTGAGAGATAACATTTTTCGCTCAAAAACACAACATGTTGTTCCGCTTAGAGGCTCGAACCCAAATTTTTCAGTTCAGTGAAGCGACTATTAGACTTCCCAGTCTCCCGCAACTTTCCGGCCCAGTACTTTGACACACCCGGCCCCCCTTATTTAAAAACAGTCATTATACTATTTTGACAACCTATTTCATAACAATAAATGTACCCTTCGAAAAGGCAGCAGTTATTAGTTTTACCTTTTCATCGCAGTGGTGCCGCATCAGTTGACATATACCAATTATAGAATTGCCATTTCCTTACCATCGGGCATTTAACCATTTGCGTGTATTTGGAGGAGCTCTCTAGAACCCCTTCAAAATTCCACTTCCCAGTCTAATGAATGTAGCATTTTTTATGTGGTCTTCAATTTAAACAAATTTCATATTGTAGGATCTAAACCTGATTATGTCTGAGATGTTCATGTTATGACTTTACTAGTTTTGAATGACATTTCCCCCTTTTTTTTTAGGAATACGGAATAACAATGGAAGAGAAGCTAGCCATTGCTCAAAGAGTTTGTGTAAGACTTTTAAGGAAGATTAGAGGAGATCTCCGGCACGCAGACAAGTCAGATATACACACCCGCCTTAATCCCAGGTAATGAGTGCTCAATTTCGCAGGCGTCGTCTCATTTACTTCCCAGATCCCTCTCTTGATTAGGGAAATTAGCGCTTGATTAGGGAAATAATTGTATCACGGGTAGCTTTAAGTATTGTTTCACGTGCGACTTACGCGGGGTCAGTTAGTCAAGTCACGTTACGTAAATGGGTCATGAATCAAGCTACAATTGTGAAAAAATTCGCTGTCTTCTTTGTTTTGTAGTTATTCACAGAGTGTGGAAACACCGCATCGCCATGTTCGAACAAGGCTGTATTTTACAAGTGAGAGTCACGTGCACACAGTGCTAAATGCTTTTCGATTTGGAAAGCTTTTTGAAGTAAGTTACCTTCAAGGCTACATGTTGTTTTTATAAACGACAGATAGTTTGTAAATGATAGTTTTTTTCGCAGACATTTTGCTTACTATACGTTTTACCTTTTAAGCTTGACTATCTGAATGTTTTTAATAAAAAATTCAGACCCATCTTCTGAGGATAGCTTTTTTAGTATGATTAAATATTTTACCACATTTTGACAGTTCACCCCCCCTAGACATTTCCCTCAAGCTTGTAAATGTAACTTTTCCTTAATGTTTTATTGTTGAATTCTCTTGGTTCCGCCGGCAAATGTCTATCTCTATTCGATTAACTACTTACTCCTACAGTTTAAATACATCGAGGTTGTCTTTATACTTTCCTGCAAGTTCGCTTACAACTAAACAAATCCGTCTGAGGTAAGGTTTTTTATGATAGTTTTCATATGTCCTGACAGGATATTCCAGATAAGCAGTGGCAGAGAGCTGTGTCGTTCTTAGGAGAGGTACCAGAATTGAACTACATGACTCAGATTGTGCTGTTGTTGTATGAGGATCCAAAGGCGGATCCTTTGTCTGAAAACCGATTTCATGTGGAGATGCACTTTAGTCCTGGAGCCAAGACTATGGATGATCCAGAGTTTTTAGCAAGGAACTCGCCTACAAGGAAACGAAGTGAGGAAGATGTGAGAATCTCGTCGGCTGCTGGTGGTTCAACGACGGGGAATGTATATACAACGAGCAGAGGTGTCGCGGATGATGGCCATCAAGTTCAGGATAGTGTGGTTAATACGACAACATCAATTAACAGTCCTAATTCTTCCTCTGCTCCTTACGGAATAGCCACAAGTACTTATCCTGGACAATCCCAGACGACGGAAAAAACTGGAAGTTTTGTTAACGACACTGCAAATGACATAGGTAGCTCTGTAAGTGCAGAGCAGAACTCCGCTGTGGAGGAAGCTTTGGAAAGCGAAGAATTTGAACCGTACGATGAGACTGTATACGCTGGTAATGAGCGGCCACGTTTTTCAATCGGTATGGAAGACTATTCAGATTCTGCCGTGGGTCCGAGCACAGGTGATAGTACTGTGTCTTCGGGTACATCTATTGATGACTCGTCTGGTGAAGAGAAACCGTTAAAGAGGCAAAGGAACAGTTTGAGTGAAACAGAAATTAGCCCCGCCCCAACTGAAATTGAAAGGAGATGTAAATCGGACAGTGACGTGTTATCCGTTGGAAGTCCAACAAGGGATTCTCCTCTAAGAAGAAAAACGAAGGACCAAGAGGCAAGTTCGATAAAATGCATCGTGGAAGAAGATGATTCTAAACCACTTGTGGCCAGTCGAAGGCCGAAGGCTCATTCGGTTGATGGATCACCAGATGATTTTTGTTTTGGCAAGTTGATAGAAGGTATGTTTGTTTATGAGTTAGTTAAGACGATAAAGAAATGGCCATTGATCTTAAACACGAAAACGCACGATAAAACCAAGCGAAAGATGTATTTGTAAATCTTATACATGTTTGGTAAGTAAGTTCAATAAGTTCGGTAAGTCCGTTCGGTAAGTGTCGTTTGTTCGTTTGCCGTAAACGTGCGGATCGTAGGTTTGTCTGTCTCCTCAGTGTAAACGTAGCTACAGAGTAACCCAACAGTTATCGCACTGGAATTGGGATCGAAACATATTATAGTAGAAAAGGAAAATGGTCGACACCAAACAAGGTGAAAGATTTGGGTAAAAAATGGCTAAGGTGGGGGGCGAACTTGTATTACTTCAAGGGGCGAACTCGCAAAGGTGGTAAGGGCGAAGTAGCAATGGGGCGAAACCTCCAGATACCTCCGGGACAAGTGTTCCTTGGCAGTTTACATTAGCTTGTTCCTCTCAGACCTTTTTTCTCTCAATAACCGTCCAAATAGCGGGAGGAATAATGAACGTGAACACAAGGGTTTCGCGTTCCCCCTGAGTGTCCAGCTTTTAAAAAATTAAACTTATCAAGCTACTATTCTTTAAGGACGGAATTTGGCTTGACAAAGGTACCAGCTGGAAATTGCTAACGCTTTTAAGGGAAGTTAAACTCAAACAAATGTTCTGTGATAAGTATTTTTCGGATAGTCTAACCGTGGGAACTGTCAATGCGTAAAAAGGTCAACCTTATGTGGATAAAAGGAAGGCATGTTTACGATTGATAACACGTTGGTATGTCCTCATTTATTGGCATTGCGTATTTGTCGCTGTTAAGGGTCGAATAAGGTAATTGTTTTGACTACTTTTGTACTAAATCATTAATATTTACCCATGACCTGTTTTTAAATGTAGCTGCGTAAGCTTGCCTCAGATTATCAAATAACTTTGAAGTTTATTGAAGGTGATCACAAACTTCCAAATAAGGGCTTTCGACAACAGGGGTTACTGCATTTTTCTCGCCTTTGTTTTCGGCTTTTTTTTGGTTGTTCTCATTTTTTCATTTTGCTATGTTTTTCCTTTTGATGAATTTTAAATATAAATACGTTGTTGCGCCATGCTTTTGCCTAAAATTAAGTTTCAATATCGCTTGCGCTGTCAAGACATTTTCAGTGTCTACAAATTTTGGGGAACATGTTTCCAGAAGGCCTTAGCCAGACTAAATTCAATTGCCTGGTAAAGTTTAAATGACAACGGACCTCAGTTCCTGACGAATAATCTTCGAGCTTATGCCTCTTCTCCTTGCCTTAATGCTTAAATATTTACCCCTTCCTTAGCTTGCAAAAACATTTTGATCGTAATGAAGTACCCCTTGCCTTGCCTGGCTCCTAAGCATTTTAATTGCTAAGCATCACGCTAATGAAAGCCTGCAGGTTCGCTGCGCTTGTAGGTTAGTCTGCCATTATATGTACTTTAATCTTACATTAACAGTAAATTTATAAACATGGTTGCCACAGGTCAGAACCTATTATGAGAAATTCCTCTCGATCAGGAGAAAGTCCGTGAATTTTATCTTGAGTCATGGAAAGCGAAGTTCTAATGAATTGTGTGGCGTGAAGGAGAGTTTGAGTTTCACTTTTAATATAATACAACTGAAGGCTTAAAGAACCTTCTATGATGACTCCGACCTCAGTAAAGTTTCCTTTAACGAAGTTGGCGCTGTTCTGTTGTGTTCTGTCCTGTTTTGTTCGTTTTTGGTTTGTTTTGTTTTTTTTGTTGTGGTTTTCATTCTTTCAGCCTTCATTGTTTTGTTAACTTGAAAATAGGAACGCTCTATTTTTCTGTTTGCTGAAATATGTCTACGGGTGAAATGGACAGCTGTAAGGGAAGGCAGACGGCCGATGAACTTTGCATTTTATCGTTCAGGGACATTTTTTTCATTATTTATTGTGGGAAAGTGAGGGAACTTTGAAAATCGATGACTTTGGCAACCATGATAATTTTTCCTGAATGTTTCTTGTTTCTGCTGCCTAACATTTCATTTGGCGTTAAAAACTGTAATGACAACAGGAGTCAGGACTGATTTGCATACCGTTGACGAAGAAGATCAGGAGAATGAATACGGTTCAACTGATGATGATCAGCAAGGCAAAAGAAGTGGTCAAGACGATGATGACGTGATTCTTGACGAAGAAGGTGAAAAAGAAGGTGGCACAGATAGCATCAGGAAGACAGTAGTTCAGTTATATTTTTCAGTGTGCTCAGTATTCGTCAGAAGGAGCCTACTCCACAGTTTGTGGGGCTTAACTTTTGAACTATCCGTTCTAATCGTCTTCTTCCCTAAACAAACTTGTTTCTTTTCTGTTTTTTTTTCCCGTCCCTCGTTGGTGTTTCCCAGTTGTCACAAACTATTAGACATCATTTACTAGTAATGAATCAAAGAAAGTTCAACAGCTTTTTAGAACAAAGGGAAAGGTCAGAACAAGCCAATAAGAAAGCAAAGCTAAAACACGCGAACTCCCCTGAGCGCGGGGAGAGCGTGCGAGAAGCGTGGGAAAGTGCGGGAAAACACGAACGACTCCGGCACGAAGTTTTGATTGATTATTGTCTCGCATCTGATTGGTCGAGAAGGTGGTGTTAGTGTTCTAAACCAATCAGAGAGCGAGGTAAAACAAAATCATTTGTTATCCCTGATTACTTACGTCACTCAATTGAAATTTGTTCTTTTTCACTTTAACACCTCTGCGGCCTTAATATTGCACCTTGAAACTTAAAACAGCGGAAAGAACACTTAAATAGTTACGATAACGAAAAGATAATTGAAGGATTCTTTTTAGTTAATTGTCGCACAAGTTTGTTACTTTTTAGTTGTGTTTTGTTACTTAGTTATTTACCGTGTTTTGAGTGTCTGAAAATCTCAGGGATAAGTATTAAGAAAGTTTAAAATGTTAGTATATAATCTGTAACGTCCACTGAATCTGCCTTGTGTGTAAATCTAAATGTAAATCTCGTTTAACCTAATATCTCAGTATTAATATCTCAAGTATTTTAATAACCTCTCTGTATTTCAATTTATATTGAGCAGTTAATCTAAAGCTTCTTATGCAGCAAAGACTAACATCCAGTACTTGTGTAAATGCATGAAACTCAGCACATTATAAAACTTTTATTAACCTTATTTTGCTGTCACCTTGTAGAAATTCCTTTAAACCTAAGTTCCCGCGTATTGACAAGCACCTCTGATGACTACTGATTACTGATTAAGAGTTGATTGTACATTGTTTATTTTTCATTAGTTGCTTTCTCATGTATGCGCATATTTAATTGCTTAACGTTTTTTCACATTCTCGTTCATTCGTCCATTTGGGAATGTGCACATCAATGGCTGATTACTTTCGAGGACAAGTTATCTAAATAGTATTTGACTTCAGCCCGAAGGATGATGATGTAGCAAGACTGGTCCACAAAAGTAGTTACACCCATCATTGTTACCAATTTTCGCAATTCCGTGCTCGGAAGTTAAATGCTCGCTAGAGGTCGGAAAGCTAAAGCACTCTCTGAGAAGGCGGTGTAGCTACCCTTGATTGCAATTTGTAGCAGGTAGTGTAGATAGTGAGGAAATTGATTAGTGTAGAATTCACATTTCACAAGTGTGATATTATCAGCGCGTAAATTTCCAAAAATGAAGAGTGGTTATTACCCCTTACTGTGCTAGAACGTGTTTGAGTCACGAACCGTATCTGAACAATTAAAGGTTTAGAAGTTTCAAAACTCTATTTTTAATGACAAGGGTGTTTCCGATGCATTGGTAGCCCGACATCTATCACGTGGCTTAAATATCTAAAGGCAAGCGTGGTTACGGGAAAATTTACCACAGTGCACTAACTGGAATGTTTGTACTTTGCTTAACAGCGAGTGTTTTATTGACAGGCAGAGTAAAGCCTTCATCGGCCAAGTCGGACACTTCTTCTGTTCGGCCACGTAAGGTCTCGTTTGATATGGTGCGAGACCAGGGAAAGAGCGACTTGGGCGGTCAGCCATTAAAGGTTGTCCAGTCAACCCCGTCCTTGAAGAAAGGAGGTTCTCCGCGGAAATTTATACTTGGTAAGGAAGCTGGATTCTTTCCCTCCCTTTGAATCATTTTTGAGATAGACAAAGACGGGCAAATTTTTCATTCGTCACTGGATTGCGGGCTTTTATAGATTGAGGAAACAAGTATCCATAGTGTGTAAGTTTTTTTGTTCATTTGATGTCACACCACTGGCCTCAGCCACGTTCTGATCACGTGCAAAACCTAGACATTGATCGCTTTCAATAAATGTCTCTCATTCGGGCTATATTTTAATTTATGCAGGGTCATGTGATTACTAATCAGCTAATCACAACCGTCTTGAGAGCAGGGGATACGTGGGTGAAAACCATTTTCTTTGTTTTTGGTTTTAGTATTATACATATCCTATCTGAGTCGCTTCAATGTTTTGTCAGTGGTCTAGTGGTCTGGTTATTTCTACGGAATAGCTTTATTTTATGAGTGGGTTAGTGAGGTGTGTTTGAATCTTGTAATCACTATTCGTTGTTTGTTTTTTTAGGAACTACAACCTCCTCCATTCGTGCAGTCAGAAATCTTTCGTATGCCATTCAAAGTGCTTTGGTTGTCAAGCCATATTCTGTTACAAAAAGCACGAAAAACAGCCGAAAGCCACCAAGTAAGTCTTTATGCTATCATTTTTTTTTTTTTAGAGCAGTTTGTTTACAATCAAGTGTCGAAACCAGTATGTGATTATCGTGGCGCTGATTTTGCTGTGGCTTGTTGGTGAAAAAAAGACTCGCACTACTTTTCAACTCATAAGATAAAGAAGCTTGAGCCAATCACAGTTTGATCACTTGCGTTTTCGTGCACTCTAGGCCGTTTAGAAATATTTACTGATAAGTTTGTTATTAATCTTTGTTTTATCTGCTTTTGAGCCCATTTTTGTTTGCGACCCTCGGTTGAAAAGCTATCCATGGTGGAATGAATCTTTCAGGGAGTAACTAAGTGAACGGCGTGATCTTAACACAAATCTCACGGAGTCACGAAACGAAGAACGGAAGCGCAAAACGAAGGAAAGAGTAAGCGCTTACTTAGTCTCCCTCGCAGCCATTGTTTGGCCCCGTCACGCAACGCGTGTGACGAGATCAAACAGCGATGGAGACAAGGGCGTACTTGGATCATGACTGCAATTGAAAGCTTCTGGCGGTTAAAAGCAATATCAATTACATCCATAATGGCGATGAAAATTACAGTATTTGCCCAATCAATTTGAGGTATATGCTAATAGATTACTTAACAATTATTCCATGCGCGCGCTTTGGATATGAGTTGGTTAGAATTGGTTATAACCAAAGTCTTTTCCAAGAAGTGCGAATGGAATAAATGTTTTATTAAATTTCACTAAATCTTGAATGTTTGGATATTTGGAGCCTTTTTTCAGCTCCGCAACAGTTGGCACAATGAATTTCCATATAAGGTGACTCGGAATATTGTATACTTAATGTATCGTCCCGAGGGAAACAGTTAGTTTTGTTTTCCCGAGAGTCCTGATGTTTCCCTCGACTTTGTCTCGGGAAACATCAGGATTCTCGGGCCAATATATTAAGTGCTTTGCTATATATTTAGACTTGCCCTTAAACGATCATATGGCGAAGACGTGCTGTTGTATTCGGTGCGCGGGCAACAACTGCGCAATTGTATCCAGGTCGGGATACAATTTGATTAGGAGCACGTGACCAAGAATCAACCAATCACAGTGTTCGTTTTGTTAAGTTCAAGTCTTGGTATATAATAGGAGTTATTAACAGGAGTTGAGTGAATCAATCAGAACGCTAGAATGCAACATTCGGTGTTGAAAACTTAATACTTGGCCTCCATTGTTAAGTTGCAGACTTCTATGAAGAAATGACGAAAGTGGAATCACTGAATCCCTTGCGCACACTTCACAATGCGATACCACTGAGGGAAATGGACAGCTACTTCGACAAAGCCACTGATCAGAACTTTGAAGCTCTTGTTACACCAGTCGGTACTCCCTCGAGGAAGGCTCCGTCGAAGAAACTTGCTGCCAAACCTTCAAATCCTACACAGTTGCTGGCGAAGATGTCCAGTGTGGCTAGCGAGGTCGTCGAAGGAGCCGAGGAGTTGCTCAATGAAAAATTTGAAGAACCAGATTCTTGATATTTCAGGGTTCTCTTTCCGATGAAAATGACAGAAAAGCAGATTTTGTTAATGCTATAATTTGACTGGCGGAGTGTATTTTATGTGCAATAAGTTGTTAGCTTTTAAAAAGTGACCGAAATATTTCGAGCGCTCTGATAAGCCAAACACGTATCATTTATTGAAACGGCAAATCCATAGATATTTTATTAAAGAAATAGACCGTACTTTCTATCGGTTACCCAGCGAAATAACACGAGAAAAATTTGGAAACCTACGGTCTGCAGGCGATTGACTTACAAACTTTTCTCGTGTCCAACCAATATCCCTTGTGGTTTAACTCCCTGGTAAACCGATAGACAAAAATGCTAAATGAGAATACCTAAAATAGTTTTGGGAATGTTCGCATCCACAAGCAAAATAATTAAATCATATTTTGACCTGTCAATGATAACGAGTAACGAACTGATCCTCACTACTAAATTGCAATTAAAAAAAAACCTTGCCTCCAAAATATAGCTTCATTTTACTGGAGCGAGGCATGAGAGACGAGGAAGCCATTAGAATGTTCTTCGTTTTTATCTAGGCGTCATCTCTGGAATTTCTTCCTTTAGGGCTCTCCTGTGAGAATCACTTCATTATTTAATGTTTGTTGTGTCAACTTATGATGAACATCATTTAAGATCAGAAGATACTAGCCAAACACAAATTAACAACTGTTAGTTGAATCTTACTTAGCTGATTGGTGTCTTCTTGTTGGCACAGCAAAATTTCAGAAATACTTGCGGTGTTTTCCGTTTCCAGAGTTTCGCTGTAACTTATTTATGAAAGTTTAAATTGTGGCCTTTTTCTATTGCCCAGTTAGTTTTTCTACACTTGAAGTGTAGTTCAAGTAACTTATTTTTATTCTATGCAGCTAATTTATCTACACAACAAGTGTAGTTACAAGTTACCGATTTGTTGATGTTGCTGCAAGATATTTATAATTAAAAAGTACTCACAATATTTAAAACTAGAAAACGGACCGATTAGCTTTCAACTTAAATTGTTTACCTTCCGAGTCACTTAAATCCTCTAACCCTAGGAATGAATGACTTCTTATTTCTTCTTGCAGTATCAGCCTTGAACAATTATGAAGGTCATGTGAATGATGAAAATGATCAATTTCAGAAGCCCCTGATTGTCAATCAAATTCTCCATTTCAAGACCATCGGAAATGTTAGGATAACAGTATGGAGAATATAAATACTGATTTTAGGGTGCAAAGGGGTTTAAAAACCAGTAAACTCTTTCCTTCACAGGGGCCTTTCCTCGATAATTCCAAATTTTGTCTCCACTACACAACAAATAACACAGTAGTGTACACCAAATAAGTTTATTTAGGGAAGCCTGCCGAGAACCAACCCGAGGCATATATAGCCCGGGGAATGCATACATACATATATTCGCAACTGATATACCATATACAATCCTGATATACAGTCAATTCCTTACACATTAAAAAAAGGTATACATTACTAACATGCAAACTTCACCAAGTCTAGATTAACAGAGATGGGCAACCGCTTACAAGGACATAACTACGGTTATACAGAGACCAGAAAAAACCTGCCAGGAAAAACCCCTTTGGGGAAAAACATGACAGGAAATCTGGGTAGGAACCATGGCCCAAACTCAGAGCAGTTGGCAGCCCATCCTACGAGGCTTCACAGCTAAAGAAAATATGTTTTCAAATTAAAATAAATTTGTCATCAGCCAGAGGTGAACGGTTGGTTCTGAGGCCTAGATGGACATCACGTGCTATACTTTGCCTTATATACCACTGCATCATTACCCATGATGCTCGGGCCTAAGGCCCAGGCCTTGTCGTATCTCGTGCCGACAAAATATTTATTTCTGCCTTATTCGCAGACTCATTCGTCAGAAATACCATTTTTCGTGGTCTCAAAAATATGTAATTTGTTTTTTCATGTTTTAATTGAAGGTCGAATTACTCAAAAGTCTGGGAATTCAAACTTTGAAGATACAAGGAAATATATCAGAATGGAATGGTATTTAAGCTTTAACAGGTGTCCTATTGGCGCTGTGACACGTGCAGCAGAACATGCTGGTTTTGAGCCAGTGAGGAAGCGAGAAGTCTGTGATGCCGGGGACACTTGCAGCTAAATACAGGAATTGCACAGACCTGTCATTGGAAGTTAAAAATAGCAGTAGTCATGCTGTCGAGCTCAAGAGACCTGTAGATCACGGAGGCATTTGGGACGAAAGTTATGTTACCATTAAAAGTCTTTCTTTTTTTCAAATCAAATAAACACAAGCTTTGATATTATTGCTGGAAGATAAATTTTCGGGTCAAATCTACTTCGGTAAGGGGTAAATTTATGGCGTGGATAGGCTACCTACCGTTTGTTATTCATCGTCGAAAATTCACCACTGAAACAACAATGATATTTGTTTTCGCTTTATTATTGAGCAGTTTTCGTGCGTTAATTGACTCGCTGTATAATATGTTCTATTTTGCAAACGTTTCACTCTCGGTGCAATTCCATGCTGCAACGCAAGTCTTAAATACAGGAATTGCACCGGCCCGATTGGTCGACTTCCAGCGGTGAAAAAGGAAAAAGCCGAACGCGATAATCTTTTTTCCTTCAGTCCAAAGCCTTTGATCTTCACTAGCGAAGTTATTTTGCCCACAGCTCCCGTTCTGAACACGCTTTCGATCCGGTGCTTTTCCTGCCTTTAACGCTTTCACCGGGGACAGACTCCTCGCACGCCTCGCATCGCCCGCGGTCTACGGCGTTCGTGCCGCAGCGCCATTGAGAGCCTTCTTAGTCTTGCTTGCAGGCTATGACAGCACTTACATTACTTGGATAGGGATTTTAACTTATCATTCGTGAAGTCGCCAGGACTTTCGCTAAACGGGTACCTGGTCTCATTCATAGTGCAGTCTGGCTAAATTTCTTAGCAGACGTCATTTTTGTTGATAAATTGCTGACCTTGATCACTTTCCTTTCTAAGACAACGGTGGGTACTATAGTTGGCATAGTTGACTTAGTGAATACAACCGCTGAACAATGCGACCATAAATTACTGTTGTTTACAGAAGAGGTATAGAAACTTTGAAAAAAGAAAAAAGGTTTCAATCGGTAAAAGTGCTTCCGAAGGGAATACACTTGAACTCTGTATTTAGCGAGCCGGTTTATATCTCGATACTTTTTAGTAACAGTAACGCAAGCGATCGTGACTTTCTAATTGCGAAAACGCCGACCTCTGCATCTCAAGAGCATCATTCAGTCAGCACGCACCAACTCATGTCGTTTCTTATTCCAGTTTTTGTCGGTTGCCTGGCAGTTTATCTTGCCTGGAGACTGATTCCACGATCAAACGTTGAAATCAAAGACAAATATGTTCTTATTACGGGCTGTGACTCCGGCTTCGGCCGCAAAACAGCAATTCGACTGGACGAGATGGGAGTTCGCGTGATTGCAACTTGTTTAACGAAGGAAGGCGAACAAAACTTAAAATCTGTGACTAGCGACAGACTGAAAACATTCCAGATGGATGTTACAAACTCCCAGCATATTAGAGATGTGTTCGATGAGGTGGAAAGGCGGATTCCAGATGAAACAGGTAAACAGACTTTAGTACTTTCAGTCGTTAAACTGTCTTCAGTCTATTTCATATGGTGTCATTGAATTTGGCCAATGTTTCAAGCTACAGCGCAATCAGACTTGAACTGTTTATTGCAATTTATATGTATACCACTTTCAGTCGCTAGCTTGTTGTATTGTCAACGAGAGAAAGTAGAAAAAAGCTTTAATTTAAGAGATCCTCGCAGCTAAGAACATCACTGAAACGAGTAGTTGAAAATAGGACCTGAAAAAATTTCAGGTCCGTATGGGATTTGAACCCATGATCACTGCGGTGAAGAGATGAAATTAAGAGATCCTCGCAGCTAAGAACACTTATGAAACGAATAGTGCAAATATATGAATTTCACGTATCTAAAATCATCATTCATTACTTGGATGGTTTATTTGGACCCAACACATAATACAGTTCCCAGTTGGCTTGTTAGCTCAGTTGGTAGAGCGCTGCACCGGTATCGCAGAGGTCATGGGTTCAAATCCCGTACGTGCCTGAATTTTTTTTTCAGGGCCTATTTTCAACTACTCGTTTCAGTAGTGTTTTTAGTTGCGAGGATCTCTTAATTTCATCTCTTCACCGCAGTGCAAATATATGAATTTCATATATCTAGAATCATCAGCTTTAATTTCGTGCTTCTCCGGAATTCAGATGTTTATACTACTTCTTGTTTCGACATAGAGATTAGAGACTGGGACGAGAAAGGAGCGTCACTTAGACACCGAGGGCGAGTGGGCGAAAACAGTGAAATAAAATCCGGAATAAAACATTCTCTCACTGATAAGCATGTTGATTCTCATTACTTCAGAGTTTGCTGGATAATGCGTTGGTAATGTATCAAGGAGCTATGAGATTTGCACTTTCATTAAAACTCCTCAAGTGTTTTTGATATTCCCTTTCCTTTTTAGGACTGTGGGGCCTGGTGAATAACGCTGGGATTCATATCCAATCACCAATTGATTGGCAACCGCTGGACAATTTTAAACGCATTGCAGACGTTAATCTATGGGGAATGATTGACGTCACTAAAACATTTTTACCTTTAGTGAAGAAGGCCCGAGGACGAGTTGTGACCTTTTCAAGTACTGCAGGTAAGTTACAGAACATAAAATGGATTCTTTTTCTGTATGAGATGTCTATTGGTGATTATTCTCAAAGACAAATCAGCACGAACATATCGATAGGCAAGTTAAGTTTGAAAAAGGGGGACCTTTCGCAATGTACTTTACAGTTAGTTATATACTTCACTATGACGTAGCGCCTGACAGGCAGCACGCGTTTTTTCCTGCTCCGTGATTCTAAGCGAACTTTCTTCAAAATAACTTCCTCGAAACGACAAAGAGCACTATTTTAATCACAAGTAGATTTTTATAATATTGGCCTCTAGTTACATGGCGATATTTTATTCAAGAGCGGCACTGAATGCCATTTTATCTTCAACGACGAAGAAGTCGCTCGGTTGTGAGTTATGGCGCAACATATCTGATCTGGGAATAACACGGCAAAGACCCACACGTCGAGGGACAAGAGCAGGACAGCGCAAACAAAGGCAGATTGGGATTTGCATGGGGAATGGAGCACGCAAGACTCAGCAATTTCCGAACTTTAATGGGTGTTTCTTTGCCAAGAACTTCCTTCACAGGAAACCTCATTTACATAACCAACTGGCGAACATATTAAATATTCAAAATGACACCTTTCCACGTAGCAATCTAAACAACTGCATTGTTATAGATTGCACCAAGGAAAACAGAGCAGCCAGTACTGAATGGTCACCCAAAGTTCCTAAGATCATGTTAGCGAATGTCATGTCTTTAGCCCCAAAATGGATGAAGTTAGCGAGTTTATCACTCGTAATCATATCAACCTTGCGTTCGTTACGGAAACCTGGCTAAAGGACTCTGTGTTGGACACCGTTGTTGACATCCCGGGTTTGCTATTGTGCGTGAGGACAGGAAGACACTAGAACACGGTGGTGTGTGTGTCTATATTCAAGAAAAACGGTGCAAATATAAACAACTGAACGATTTAAAGTGCTGTGATAATCATGAGACATTGTGGCTCCATCTAAGACCAAACCGCCTCCCCGGGGGTTTTCCTGCATAATCGCGGCAGTGATCTATCACCCCCAAGGCCGATGGGACATCTATCCGGGAGCATTTGTTCCAGTCCCTCGTCCTAGCGGAGACGCGATATCCCAACTGTGGATTGGTCGTCACAGGAGATTTCAACCGCTTGGATATTAAGGGCTTGCTGAATCACTTTCGTCTCCAGCAAATAGTTCAAGTTCAGACCCGGAAGGATGCCATATTAGACTTGGTGCTCACTAACATGCAAGAATACTATAATCCGCCACAAGCCTACCCTCCATTCGGGTTGTCGGATCACAACGCTGTTGTTGTGTCGCCAAAAGATGGTAAACGTGATGTAAACAGAAAGCACGTTGTTAAAAGGCGTGACTTACGTGAGAGTAACAAGGCTGCCTTGGGGAGATATCTAACCTCTATTGATTGGCCTTTATTGTTCGCTCCTACGGATAGTTGCCAGGAAAAGTGGGAGATTTTCCACACTGCTGTACATACAGGGCTTGATATTCTGATGCCTGAGAAAGAAATTCGCACCTGTAGTGCGGACGCTCCTTGGATTGACCATAAGCTGAAGTCAATGATTTTGAAAAGACAAAAAGCGTTCAAATCATATGGCGGCGACTCTGCCCAATTCAAGTTCTTCCGAAATCTGGTTAACCGGGAAAGAAAGGCATGCAGAGCTAAATATTATGAAGTGAGAATTCAGAATTTAAGACAAGAAGCCCCAAAGAAATGGTGGGACGAAGTAAAGCGTCTGAGCGGCTCAAAAAGGAAAAATGGCGACCTTCTGAGCCAGATTGACGTGGAAGTTTTTCAGAATTGTCATTAATAGAAAAGGCCAACACCATCAATGCCGCGTTTTTAGAACCGCTGGAGGAGTACAGACTGCCAACTCCACTAGAGTTTCTCCCCATGGAGGCGAATACAACACCAGAGATCCTGCACGTGGGTGAACAACGTGTTCAGAAGGTTCTGTCTCACCTTAACCCTGGGAAAGCGTGTGGGCCTGATAGAATTCCCAATTGGCTACTGAAGGAATATTCAGATGCAGTGGCTTTCCCAGTGACAGAAATCCTTAATGCCTCCTACTCCGAGCAGCATTTACCAAAAAAGTGTGGAAGTTGGCTGACGTGACACCCCTGCCCAAAAAGAAATCAGTAAAGGAACTGAAAAAGGACCTAAGACCTATCTCGCTTACTCCATGCATTTCTAAGGTCGCAGAAGGGTTTATTGTGGACGACTACGTCAAACCAGCAGTTATGAGTATCATTGACGACAGCCAATACGGGGCAATACCAAACTCTTCCACGACTATGGCCTTAATTAGCATGTTACATAATTGGTCAATTAACACTGATGGAAATGGCGCTACTATAAGAACAATCGTATTTGATTATCGAAAGGCCTTTGATTTTATCGACCATGAAATTCTGATTAGAAAACTGCGTACTAAGTGTAAATTGCCAGTTAGTATTACCAATTGGATAGTTGACTTTCTTTCTGATAGATCACAAAGAATTAAGCTGGCTGCGGAGTGCTTTTCGGAGTGGGGATCTGTGCCCTCCGGAGTACCACAGGGCACAAAATTGGGCCCATGGTTATTTGTGCTTATGATAAATGACCTTGAAATCGCGTATCCACTATGGAAATACGTTGATGATACAACAGCCTCGGAGATGATACCAAAAGAGAGTGAAAGTCACGCCCAAAATATAGCAGATTGTGTTAGTGAGTGGTCACGAGAAAATAGAGTTCACTTGAATTCTGATAAGTGCAAAGAGCTTCGGATCTCATTTTCTAAAAGGCCCGGGTTCTTTGATCCCATAGTAATTGAAGGCAAAGAGTTGGAGGTAGTTAGTAGCGTAAAGCTCCTGGGCCTTAATATAGCTAGCGACTTGACCTGGAACAGTCATATATCAGAAGTAATCAAAAAGGCCAGTAAGAGGTTGTATTTTTTAGTGCAACTAAAGAGAGCTAGGGTTCCCTTACAAGACCTAGTACTTTTCTACACATCATGTGTAAGATCTGTAACAGAGTACGCGATACCTGTCTTCTATAATGCACTTCCGCAATATCTGAAGAATGAGCTTTTACGTATTGAGAAACGGTCAATTTCCATTATAACTGCGGGTGATTGCGCGGTTGCTCAAGATTTAGGAGTACGACCCATCTTAGAACATTACGAATTTCTATGTCAGAAGCTTTTTTAAAGGTATCTTAGACAACCCTAGCCACAAGTTAAAGGCGCTTCTTCCACCCATACATAAACCCAGCTATAACTTCAAAAATAAGCGCCAATTTAATATGCCACGCCTTCGCACTTCGAGAACGATGAACACTTTTATATTTGCTATGGCAAGGAGGTTTAATGGCTAGATTTTTATCGATACGATATCCTTTATTTTTGTTACGGCACGCGTGATAATTATAGTAATAATAATGATAATGATAATGTAGATACTTTTAATTAATTTAAATTTATTTTAATTAGTTTACATTTATAGCTAATGTATTTTATTTAATTTACTATCATGTTATTATATTGTAAATTGCTGGTATAATAAGACGTGTAATTAGGTTTTTGAATTTTAAATTTTAAATTTCTTGGATTGTAAAAATGTGTAATTCAGCCCTCGGGCTGCAAATGCATTTGAGATTAAACTATCTATCTACTTCCTTTCCAGTGTAGACTGGTTACGAAGTATTGATATACTTCTGTCAGAATAGTACATTCAGCTGATCAAGCACATTAGAGATTGTTTTTCCTTCGGCTCTTGAAGCGGAGGGAGACTATATTTGTTTTTGTCACGCCTTAAAGACTCGACCATTCTTGACTTTATTTATAATCCATGTCGCTCTCATTGTCAGGTCGAATAGCATTCAGCTGTATCGCTCCTTACGCTGTAACCAAATATGGCGTTGAAGCGTTTTCTGATGCTCTTAGACGAGAAATGTATTCTTGGGGAATAAAGGTCAGTATCATGGAGCCAGGCTGTTTTCAGACAAGAATGACTCAGCCTGCCGCGATTGAGAGACAGCTGCGACAATGTTGGGATAACCTGAGTGATGAACTGAAAAAGGAATACGGAGAAGAATACTTGGAAAAAAGTACGTATACTTCGAACATACGAACGAAATACTTTTGACAACTGAGAGTTAGGACACACGTTCTGTGTGCTGAAGTCTTGAATCCTCTGGAAATATTAGAAAGCTTTGAAATACAGGATCAATTAATATCACCGACACTACAAAGTACTAATTTGCGTGACAAGCGTCACTTTTGGGGTTTTTTATGGAGCGGGAGCGTGCATGAGGCTGCCCGTATGGAGGAAGTGTTCGAGGCGAGGAGTGTGATGAAAGTGACATTTTTCCGCGCTCCTCACCTCGCACGTGTCTTGCTCCTCGCCCCTCGCACTCGACTTGCGCATGGCTCCTCTTGCTTGAAAATCAAATGCATTGCGGGTTCCGGTAGACTAAGAAGCAAAAACCATCATGACAGAACTTGCTTGAATTCAGTAATTTTAATTTTGCTAACTGCTGTGATTGGCTCTAGGTATTGCTCTCAGTACTTTGGTCTCTCCTTCTGGTCGTACCAGTGACGTTGTTGATGCCGTCGTGGATGCTTTGACGTCACAGACACCACGTGATCGCTATTTGATTGGTTTTGATGCCAAATTCATTTTTGGCTGGCTAGCGATGTTTCCAACCTCTATGGCAGACTTCATACTTAAGCGCCTGGTTCCTCAGGACTTGGTGCCGCTGGGGAGCAAATGATGCTGTAGCCAACCTGACTGGTTTGGCTAGCGCGACGACCAGCTGTGCAAGGCATGTACGCACCTGCGCTAAAAGGACACTGTTCCTCAAGTTCGCTATTAGTACCTTATGTTACTATACAGTGCCTGTAGTTCTCCAATGGTCTTACTTTTATTATTATATTAAAATGTATATTAATTTGATATTACCTATTAAAGTGCATTTCAATTGAGTGTTGTCACACCAACACCAAAGCCGTAATGATGACGGCCAACCAGAAGGAGCGAAAATACCTCAAGGGAGCCAAAGCAAACGATGCAAGCTTCTTTATTAGAATAGTAGAATTTACTAGGTTGCGTCGTTTTCAAGAATTTATGTCATCATGACCATGCTTGAACATCGTTTCCTTCCCGTAGAAGACATCCGCTGCTGTTAATTTGATTTACATTTCCAAGAACGTTTATGTTGCCATTTATTCGGCCAATCAGGTGTCTAGTAGGTGCTGGAGGCGGAGAAGTCAAAATCGTGTCATGTTGACAACTGTTCTTTATTGTTTGAGAACTTCGCAAACCAAAGAAAGGATGTTTGCTTCCTTCTAGCAAAATCGGTGTAATTGAAAAATATTAGGGACCTAAAGCAAATCACAACCGCAAAGGTGAGGAGGGCGTGCCAAAAACAAAAGATCTTATGGGCAGAATAATAGCTCAGCACGTGCGTTTGAAGACTTTGTACATTTCTTTGCCGACCTCTGCAAAACAACAACTCGACAGAAACTCCGACGACAAATTATTTAAATTTCCATTTGGAACTCAGCGCTTATACCGAAGTTGAGTTGTGGCACCGCAAGAGACGGTAAACACATCCAGACATTCGAAAAATTCTAACTGAAAATATATAAGGTCATTTCTTTTTTTAACGACATCTTAGACTTTGCCGTCCTAACTGCTCAAGGTCCCCATTAAAATTTCATTCAGCAGCATTGTTTACCGAAATATAAAAGTACATTGAGTAACCTTTATTTTTCTGTTCTGTAATATAAAAAGCTACAGAGGGAAGCCAAGAAAATTTTAACAGTATGAGACCCTTGCTAACCTCATCAGGCTGAGGAAATTACCCCAGGAAGCGTTACTACTTGAAAACTTTCAAGCCTGATTTGTAGGTATTTACATAAGCAATTACTCCTTCAGCCATGAAGGTCTTAAATATTGTTAATAAAATATATTTAGAAGACAAAGGGATTATGTAAAGTATTTGCATATGGACTCGAAATTCTGGCCAAAGAGTAACTGTCCCACAATGCGTGGGACACACAACTGTAACACTGTCGTCACGGACGCGTCTTAAGGGTTACTCATATTTAGAGATCATTGAACACTTGATTGTCACATGAACTAGATGGCTAGTTCCTATTTCACTTTTTGGCCTTACTTGTTTACAATTTAAGAACGTGGACATAGGACGGGCAACCCTAGTGCTATCTCATTCTGCAAATGAAGTGACGGTTCTTGCGACGATACTACGTCATTCATACGACGAAACTAAAGCGCTGTTTCGTTCTGCCGAGCTGCCGTGGTCTTCAGTTCCTCTTCAAGAAGCGATATCCTTTCTTTCATTGTTCGTACCTAAAAGAATAAAGCGGAAAGTCATCAAATGAAAAAAGCTTAATACACCACTCTGGGTATACTAAGTTCAGTTCCCTGCACATGTCTTAAAATAGGAGTGCATATCGTTACTAAGAACCTTCTTAACAGATCATTCATCTTCTAAATAACCAACCAGTCGCTTGGCGTTATGGTACGTTCGAAATGTTACACCGGCTCATCATCAACATAGCTAAGCTCACCCCGCTGAACCCACCGCGAAGTGTCGCACTAAAGAGACTTCACCGTCTGTTGATGATTTAAACGATCTGCGTGATCAAACTTGTAAAGTAAAGCGTTTGTAAATGTGATTCGTCGATCATAATCTCACTGCGCGCACATGCGTGTTTACACTTAATATCTCACCTGCGCGTCGTGTCTCTCCACCATAGTAATCATCTGTTGCTCTAGCTTTCTCAGCCTGGCTCCGTGCTTTTTCTTAGCTTTCTCGTACGCAGCCACAAGCGCGCCATTTGCTTTCTTCAAGTCCGCCACGTATTCAGCTGTCTGCTGATGCCTCGTTTCCGAGTTTTTGGAAAGGGTTTCCAAAGTTTCTACGAGTTCCTGTATTCTTGCCTTAAGTTTCTTCTCTCTCCTAGTCGCTTCATACAGGTCCAGTGGAATGTCTTCATCTGAAGTTTTTAATTCAGCGAGGGTGATGGACGGAGTGCCGGAGGGACTTCCACCTGACTTCTCGTCCGACTGAAAGAAATAATTCGTTTATACACTTCATATCATGCACGACATAGCGGTGAAAGAAGTGGAATTTCTCTTTATCGACACCTATATTAAAGGGAAAACTACCGTTTAAGAGGCACATAATCCTCATAGTTTATCTGCCTAACTATTTCTTATGCCCAGTGTCTTCTGTACTAAACGCGCTGAAAATCTTTGGATAGTTTTACTAACCTTGCTACTAGCGACGCCAGCGTCCTTCTGAATCCTTCTTCGTCTCCTGATTTCATCCTGCATCTCAGTTTTCAAATGTTCAATGTGAACCAAGTACGCCTGTTCTTGGGCGTCACGTGATGTGATCTTCAATTCTAAAGCTTTCTTCTCCTTTTCAATTAAATAGTTCTTCGCTTTTAATTCAGCTTTTTCTTCCTTCAGTGCCATTAGTTCCTGCATAAGCACGGCATTTTCCAGATCTACTTTAGGATCAAGCGGCTCTAGTTTCAAATCCTTGGGTTGCGCGACTTCGTGCAAGCTTTCCAATTCAATTACTGTCAAGCTTACCGTTGACCTTTCGGACTTTAATTGTTGAATGTAACTTTTTAATCTTGCTTCTTCTTCCGGAGTAAACTCCATGTCATTGGACGAGCCTGTCGAACTAGTTCTACTATTTGATGATACTGAATCCCAAGGTTGACCAGCGTTATTTTGGCTCTCGAAGTTTCGATCAAGCTTTTGCAACAGCATGCGGGCTTCGTTCTCGGCCGTTCTTCTCCGATTCACACACGATTCAACATCTTCGGGAACCCGATCGTTGTCATCGGCTTCCGCTTCCTCGTAAATAAGTCTGTAAGTTGAATCCGTCGGAGAGCTGGCGTAGCTATGGAGACCAGTTTTAACCCCAGCCGCTCGACAGTTAGCAAAGAGTCTCGCCTGCTCTGCTTCGGAGAGCTGCAACAAAACTTCATATGCCTCAATGACTCGGTCAGAAAAGTTCAATGCCAACTGAAGCGCTGTACAATTTGACTCGTATTTTCCCATTAAAACGCACATCCTATCCGCATTGTTTCTACTTTCTTCTAAAGACAACGAAACAACATTGTTTTGAGCTTGTAAGTGATCAAACCGACTTGTCAGCATTTCAAGTTCTAGTTCGTACTCCTTAAGTCTTTTGTCTGCCTGTGCGTCGCAATAAGTGAACAAAGCTTTGAACACATCTTGGGCCGTCCTACAACTCTCCAGAGCTTTGACAAGATCCGAAGGCATCTTATCAGAAACAAATTCTGGTAATTGACTCTGAAGGGAAAAAAATAATTACATAAGTAAATAGATAAGAAGAAATTCAAATATCTATGCTCATTTTATAACTTAACTGAGCCAGCTGATGCACTGCACAGGTGAAAATCAGTGTCATTTATCCGGGAAGAACGGAATAACTCGTCATTCTACTGCGAGCTTTTGTAATAACAAGTTTTCGAAACGAGTCAACAGCTCTATCACTTTTGTGCACGGAACTTCGTTGCTCAAAGGTTACCGCTCTAATGATGCATAAATTCATTTGATAATGTAAACTGACCACCGTAAAGAGTTTCTAAAGCGTTAGTCCTTCGTTGAAAAGATTTAGCACTTACGAGAGCTTTAATACAATTCATCCCAGTGATTCCACCACCATATGTACCATCATCCACCATTTTAGCTACAACAGTGATCTCCTGAGTTGAACCATGCATAGACGATCCCAGATCACTAGTAGCCCCAGGCCTCCAAAACGCCTGACTTGAGATCGACTGGACACTACCTGATGGGTGGCGTAACGGCATCGGCGAGCTGCCATCAGCAGACGCCCACACTGCTCCCGAAATACTTGGTCTGCGGACTTGTCCATTTGGAATAGACTGAGAGCTTCGACCGTGGCTGTGAGTGCTTAGATTATCGGTGCTTGAGCGCCGTGAAATACGAGGAGATGTCAAAAAGCCTTCTTTGGACGATATATCAGAGGCTGCACCGACACTAGCCTGCCTAGTGTGCGTTCGGACTCCCGACAGGCTGGATGATGGTTGAGTGTTTCGTCGCGGTGTACTTGGGGACCTGGGCTGGCTACTAGATCCCTGCATGCTGTTCGCTCTTGTCCTCACTTGTTGTTCGTACTGAAGTGATTTCTGGTGAAGAAGTTTCAATTGATCTTGCATTTCAAGAACCTGACGACAACAACAAAGCAATTTTTAAAATTTAAATATCTAATCTAATCCAAACGTTTTCACAAAACCATAACTTTTTCCCTTTACATTATAAAATTCTAATAGTCAACGAAATCACATCGTCAAAATTTGCAGAACGTTTGAAGATTCTAGATAAATTTGATAAATAGTCTTCTACATATGCCGATACAGCACCCAGCAGACTCTAAAATTTCTTTCCTTGTTACGCACGGCTCACATGCAACTCTCAATGAGTCACTCAATAATGCATTGAAAAGCAACAGGTAACCACAGTGGCAAAGCTAAGATTAAACAAAATACCACTTGCTTTTCGAACATTTTTCCCCCCAGAGTGATCTTTTATTGCCTAAAAAGTGTTCAAACTAGTTTGGCAGCTTACTCTTCTCCTGAGTCGGTCTCGCTCCTCTCTGAAACCCTGATTTTCAGATCTGATTTGTTCCAAATCCACCTCACTTTTTCTGAGTTTTGCCCTCAGGCCATCTCTTTCAGATGTTACCGATTGTAGCTCCTGCAGAGAGACGAATTAAATCATAAAAAATTGTCAGATACACATTTCTGAAATAGCACGGGCAGTTATCCCTAGTTTGCACAGTGTACGCAGAAAACAAACAGAAAAAAGGCTGTTCCGGGTGCAAGTCAATGAGGTACTCCATCAACTAACGAATTTTTGTCTCGGTTCCCAAAAGGTGATCTGTTGTTGCGTACGCCTCTCACTTGGATAATAAGTGGACCATGTTTCTATCATGGTTTTTGTTTCCTTTTGTCTCTTTGTTTCTTTGTTCTCAGGAGGGGTTGACAAGCCCCGCTGGTCATCAGCAAAAAGGTAGCCAGCTACAGCAGACGCCTTGTTTCGGTTTTTCGTTTTTACCGCAAAGAAAGGAATGTGAAACTTATCGCCGATAAAGGCTCCTGCTCAAGGTTTCACTTGATTTTGGTTCGCCACTTTGCAACCTTAAAAAATTCTGTCAAAAACATCTTTATCTATATGGGATTTCATCATAACTAATAACATGACACTTAAGGTGTAGTATGTAGAGTCTGTTAACAAGCAAAACCTCTTAGGTTGGCAAGCATTTCCTTTATTCTCCTGCTGATCTTAGTGAATAATTCAGTAGTATTATGGTAAGGAGAATTAGATGCTAGTCACTACCAAGGTTTTAAGGGTTAAAATAGAAGCATGCCCAAAGCCAGCGGAGGGTAAGATACAGGTCAAAATTTTGTGCAAACTCAGCAGATTAGGCCGGGTTGTTCACGGATAACCTTGGTTTAGTATGAAATTTGATTTCAGATCTGAAAGCTTCAAAAGAAAATTCAGTACAATTATTTTTTTCTACAAGATGATGATTGGATGCTTTGAAAAGAAAAAAAAATATCCGAAAAAGGCTTTTGAACTAAGGAATAAAGAAGAATGGAAATTTAACCTTGGGGTAGTGCTAATCAGCCTTCGAATAACTAGGCCCTGCTGATCATTTTCACAATCACACCAAACATCTCAGTAATGAAAACTTTAAAAAAACTTACTTCTGTGCTTCCAGAAGACTTTTTTCGTGATACCCACTCTTTTAAACTTGTCTGCTGTAGCTGACGTTCCACTACAAAAAAAAAAAGAAAACAGTTCATCATCAAGATAATTATATATTATTATAATAATTTAAAACTACATTGTATCATTAAAATTATCCTTTTTATCTCAAACTATGCTGTGAAGGCCACTTAAACATCAAGTAAAACTTGTGAAAATCAATTTGCATAAACTTTGAGTAGGAATTGAAAAATCAATTTAACATTTATCCCACAGAGCAGGAAGACCAGGGACAGTGTTACATTTTACGACCCCAAAGGAACCAAAATCTCTCACTTACATAACTGTTTCTTCTTTTCTAGTTCTAGACACTGAACTCTGAGCTCTCTGCATTTAGACTGCAGTTCTTCGTGTTCTTTAGATGTCTTGTCTTCAGGTTTTGCAAGCTGCAGCAGGAAAAATCATTTTACTTTAAAAATCTATTATACGTGTGTTCCTCTACACCCCTTGTTAATAAATGTTCTTACTTGAAAACACTTTATTTATCATTTCATAACATATAGCTTACAAAAAAAGAATAGTTGAATGAAATAGTATCTAAATATTGTTAAAAATAATTTAAGGCACTGGAGCCCCCCCCCCCGTTTAATTAATTTCCTTGCTTATTTTCAGTTGTCAGTCCCCTTTTATTTTCTCATTGATGTAGATTTTTCTTTCCTTTTTCTTAACACTGCTATATAATGCAAGTTCTTGTGATGTATTGTAGTGTTGTTATTGTGCCACAATAAAAAAAGGAAAGAAATTATGAAGACAATAATTGATGAAATGTGAATGAAAAACACACTACAATCTAAAAAGAACCAGAAGGTGCAACAGTACAACAATCTCTCCCCACGAGAAAATCTTGCCTGTGCACTTACAGATTGTAATTGATGCAGAGGTTTCTTCTCAATATCTTCTGTGGCTTTCTCGTCCTTGGGTGTAATGCCTTCTTCTGCAGTTGGTTTCTTGTCCTCTACTTTGGAGTCTTTATCTTGTCTATCAATAGCAAACTCCAACCCACCAACTACTTTAGACAGTTCATCATCTGTGTTGTCATCATTAACACCCTCCTCTGAAGCCAGACTGTCAGAATCACTCTGAGAACCTAACAAAGAAAACAAATAAACTTGAGGCACATTGATGACTTCATTAGTCAGATGTCAAAATGATCATTGAAAGTCACTTCTCAACATCTTGAAATTAACTGCAAGTCTATATCAGAAAATGATGTCAATTGACCATCACTTCATGGTTCAAGTTGTTCTTGTTTGGTCAGGGGGGTCTCCACCATCTATGTGTGAAACACTGAACACATTAACAGTCCACAAAAGACTGCATGTCTCAAATTGGACCTGTGGTGAATTTAATCTAACAAAACATTTTCAGTTTTTCAGTGTACAATAACTACAAATCTAATATTTGCATCCTGGAGGAACTTTCATTTTCTAAGTCACATCAAACACCTACAGTACTTATGATTTTATAATGTTCACACTACCATGATCGATCATCCAGATCGTTAGAACTGTTCTTGCATGAGAATATTGTATTTGGCATGACATAGAGGACTCTTTTGTTAACAAGCTGAGTTCTTGTGTCTTACCTCGTTCAGATGTCTGTGACTCTATTTCATGCTCTTCAGATTCATCAAACTTATCCACAGCAGACTGAGACAATTTCTTGTTGAGTTCTGCGATCACACTCTGTAGTTCTGTGATGTGCTGTTCACTCTGGTGGGCTTGAGAAGTAAGTCTGTCCTCATAATCATGAATCAAATCTTTACGTTCCTGGGTGGCATGTGCAAGGGAAGCTTGCAGTTGATCTCGTTCCTCAGTCAACTGTTGAACTTTCCCTGTTAGCTCAACAATTTCTGTTTTCAGAGAAGCCAATGCTGCCAGATGAAGCTGGGATTGAAAGAACAAAATTTTCTTCATTAATTTCTCAATCTTGGCAATTGAACAATTTTGATTGTGAACTGTGAGATTGTGAATAAATTACTAACAGTAACATACCAGTATGTTAGTCGTGCAGAACAATTTCAATGAAAGAAATTTTTTCATATGATTTTCGTTTATAATTCAATTAGCCTTCTGTTCCCTCTGATATTTACCCTAGTTGTGGTTTTACCAAAACCAGTGTATTACTAAATCTCACACAAGTTTCAAATGTTTTCCTTTCTTTCAGGGGCTTTTAATTAATCAACTAGATGTAAATGCAGTTCTTGTCATGCAACCTACTGTGTCTGTTTACAGTCTTAAGCTTAAGTTGGAAGGTAAACAGATTTAAGAAACACCAAGTTATTTTGGGGCTTTGATTGCCTTTTAAAAGCAATTTCTCAAAAAGATGTTTAAACACTCAAAACTTCCATACTTCTAATCCTGTTGAAACTCAAATCATTAACCCAGATTCAACCAACAAAACAGTGTAATTGGTGAAAACAGTTCATGCCAGATTAAATTACACATTAATTAACATGTGAAGAAATTGTAGATAATGAAGGTTATCTCATTTAGAGTACAGTCAATTGTCTCAAATTAACAGAAATGCCCACTTAAACTGTAAAAGTAAGCAGTCATAAAGAGAACCAATTTTTAGTAAGAATTTTTTTTTTTAATTAGGAAAAAATATCACACAAGGGACAGGAAACCACAGTACTCTTGGAGAGAAAGATTGATCACGAACAATGAAGTAAGTACACAAAAGAATATGAATTGTAAAGGCCATTAAATCAATTACAGAGCACACAAACCATGGGAAATAAACAATCAGAGCTACTTACATACGAGTGACTATATATTAACGTCATTAAATAGAAAGAGTGGATGAACCCAAAACTGGCATGCTTGCATTCAGTTGTTATTAAAGAAGTGATCACCATTGAAGATTGAAATTTTTCATTACTGTTTTTTACACATACATTGATGAACACCCAAAAGATTGAAACTAAGAATGTTTTTTAATTGTGAACTTCATCTAAGGTATTACACATATATGCATGTTTCATGTTGATTTAAGTCCTTTTATTTTTCAACATGTACATATGGTTTGTGAAAATCATAATGTTTTGATGTGTTGTTTATATTAGGGGCTTTGTGTTTAGGCACATTCCTGTGGTTTTATTTAATTTTCTTTTCAAAAACAAAACAATCTTAATTTAATTTTGGAGTTAAGGCATAAGAAAGTTACAATCATGTTTGCAATACTCCACTGACAAATGAATTGATTAAACTTTATCAAATATCTTCTGCACTCTCTGATCCAAGCAGCCTATAACTGATTAAACTCAAACTAAACAAAAGGAATTTAACCAAAGAACTCAAGAATATGACATTTAACAAAGTGTAGCCACAGTGGGCATGTACAGCTGTACCTCAAAGTAATATTTTCACATTTTTTGGCATGAATTTACAGCCATGTAGAAAGAGGACATTTTATCCTGTAAGTCAGCCCTGACTTTATTTTGATTTATTTATTTCCAACTTTTGACAACAATTCTCAGCTGTTTTGGCCACAACTTACCACACCACTTCAGTTTCATCTATAAATTTCTTTCAATTTCTTTTTTTGAGTTTTCACTTTTAATCATGGTGCACCACAACAAATGAAATGCCTGAGAGCTGCCATACAGGAAATAAATACATGGCATGTTCTGAAATCATGCCAGAGTGAGAGTTTCAAATATAGGAAGGTCTTAAACATCACAGAAAAAAAAATGGCAGCATGTGAATAGTAATTTCCATCTCAAATTACAATATATCAAATTCAATAATTTCAAAAATGAAATACAAAAACTCTCAAAATCTGGATGCCTTTCTCTAATTTTGATCTTGCCAAATGTGGATGGTTAGACTTTGCTTGACAATTGAAACAAAGCTCAAAAGATGGTGTGCTTCTTCTAGATGTTGGACTGTAGTATTACTTTTCACACAGTTACCACCTAAGAGATAATTAAGTACATGGTATTTAACCTCTACATGTCTGTATCAATTTTAGGAAGCGTGGAAATGAGAGCAAAAGTTCATGAGGGTAACAAAATCTGTTAATAAAATTTATTTTAATGTTTATATTTGGCAATCATCGTTTTAACAACAATACAATTTCAACACAAAGGAAGATAGTCTCTAATTTGAGCAAATTAATTTTAATTTTTAGCACATGATATCCTATCATATGAGGCAACTATGACCTGTAATATGATCTAAATCAAAACAGGTCTGCTCAGATATGGTTATCAAAATAATTAAATTATAGTAATCAGCACAGACTCACGCAATAAAATGTCTTCTTCATTGCTCAAGTAAATTTGTGCAACACAGAGGTACTTTGAATCTAATCTAAATTACGTGTAAATTATACTCTTGATAAAAATAAAATAATTGATATAACCATTGATAAAACCAGGTAAAAGGCTTACCCTTTGCAGCCTGAGAAGATAAACACTAACATGAGGTGAACAATAGCTATGTTTGAAAAGATTCACCCTTGAATGATATGTCTTGGAGCCATCCACTCTGACTTTATCAGTGTCAGAAAGGAAGGTTTTAAAAGGGCAATCACGTTCTTGCACACCAGAACTTGACATTGCGTCAAATGATCACTGTAGTCTTCACAACATGGACATACTAAGCCTTTAGCTGAATGCACATGATTGAAACTCATGGCAGATTTTCAACGCAGCACAACAGGACAAAGTCTTCTGATCATGCTCAGTGCACTGCCAAGATTGCACGATCAGATAAAAAACAATTTATTTCCGTGTCTGTTGTCAATGGGTAACATTTCTCAGAAAATATATTTTTTTTCACCATGGCAGACTTCTCCTGTAGCCGCGGCAGTGGCATTTTCAATGGCTACTTTCTCAAAAGCCACAATTACTTTTAATCAGAAAAAACAGTTGAATATTAACCTATCTTGAACTTAAATAAATTTGAACCTTTAACTGTAGCTGGCTACTTTTTTTATGGCTGGCCACTTAGAAATATCTTGAGAACACTAGCCACAGCTAAAAAACATATTTATTCACACAAAGTCACAATTATGAAAAATAACTGAAATTTAAACATTGACAGGAAATGAAAATTGCCCTATTGAACCAGATCATAGATCAACTAACAGTTTTTCCTCTGAATCCTACTACGTATGAGTGTTACACAGTGCACTTTTACTTTGAACAGGCTAAAATGCAACCACCATAATGAAATTTCTTCCATGTACCTTTGCATTGATCATCAAAAGATGAAACACATGTTTTATGTATCTAAGTAATTTCCCAGATGTAATTTTATGATGAGATTTCCTGTCATAAGTTAAGTAGGAGGAAATAAAATTACAACTTACAGGTGTAAGATTTAAAGAGTCAATCTAGACTCAGTGGTTTAAATGAAAAAATGAACAGGAGTTCCATAGACAAGAAACTTTTCAATATGCACTACTATTCTATGTAGACCCAGAATTGTCTTACTAGATGAATTTTAATATTTTCCACTTCATAAATTTTTTAAATTTTTGCTGTCATTTAGGAGAGGGGTCTATCAAAATATCAGGAAGATCTTAAAGGATTACCAAATCTGCAAATATTTTCAAGCTTAAATTATTTACCTTTTTACACAATATCTGCTTCTACATATTTGTGTAGGGAATTTTGAACTTTTAATAAATGGTGTAAGTTTTTACCTTTTTTTGGCCACTATAAATATTTCCAACAATGAAAACAGGAAAGAAAAACTTGAACGTTTACATCAGAGAATTGCTTATCAGCTACTACTAAAGTAGGAATTAAACTATAAAAGATGAAAAAAATAATTGTAGGCCACACTCTCTATCCCTTTACCAGCAAAACCATGCAGGATGTTGGAAGAACGCCAGAGGTGAGAGATTTATAAATTTTTCCAGTCTATTGCTTTTATAAAATAAACTCAAATTTTCCATGGGTTTAATGTTGCAATAACCAATAGGTTTTTGACCAATCAGGGTGTTTTTAGTATCTCAGCAATTTTACAGAGGCAGTGAACAAATTGATATAAATAATGACAACATAAATTACAAAGTTTCTGCATGTAACTGATTCAGGATTTTTGTGTTTGATAGGTTTAAGTATCATTCTCAATAATCTATAACTGACGAGTACACTTTTGTCAAATATACATGTCAAATGTATCTGAAAAAAATGCAATAAACAAGAAGAAACAGGTAGGAGATGAAGTGTGATTGCTCAGGGTAATTGAAATAGCTGTATATATTTGTTTATTTAGTTTAAATTCCCTGTGGCCAAACAGAATATTTTTGATTATCTTACTGAGTTGAAAATAAATAATTTCTTCATGAAACTGTTCCAAAATTTGAGACCCTGGTAGTTTTAGTTGTCATTCATGAAGCAACAATCTCTTCCATGAAGCTGTAGTCTAGGCAGCAGTAAAACGGCTCAGTCATATAAGATGTTGAAAGGAAATACAATTCTTTTGTCATGAGATGATCATACCCAAAAGCCTCTCAAACAACAGAGACAATCTGACGATCAAAGAATCTGGATGATTGGGGAGACTGTCAGTATTCATCAGATCCATGTGGGTCAAAAGCTGATTAAGCTAAGCCAATTTAAGCAAATATCTGACATGGATGTTATGGCCTGTGTAGAGACTCTTACTTTTTTGATTATGTCTCCTTCAGCTTACAGTGCCACAACATTTTAAACAACAATCAGTTTTATAGAAGAGATATCAAATCCAAGTTTAACTTTTCATCCTGGAACAGCGCTAGCTGCCTTCTCTACTCCCTCCCCCCTTAGGTCTATCCACAGGGCCACTAGAAAAGACATTGTGCACACTTAACATTGAAAGCAAATTTCAGATGATTGGAGCAACTTCACTGCAACAAATGCTTCCAACCATTCATCCATTTTCCTGCAAAAAGTTGTATTTGTTACTAGATTCAGTTCCCCTCTGAGACTACATGCTTCTAAGTTTTTTCATCTGATAGAAAGAATTTGATAAATATCAGTGATATGTTCTTAGAACAAAATCATTTTAAAGAAAGGAGAAAATAAGGAAAATGTGACAATCAGGGTTTTGAAGGAATCAAGAAAAAGTGGTCTAATGGTTACTGTAATGGACTTTTGATCCAAAGAGGCTTGTTCAAACCAAGGCCAACTTAAGTTCTTGGGAAAGAAACAATGTATCTGTTGGGCCTTTCTCGACCTAAGAGTGTACATGGGTACCATCAACTAACGAGGATCATAATGGGGGTGGATGGACGGGATGGAGGGGAAGGAGGGTTGGGGGTAGAAAGGAGTATTCCCAGTTATATCATGCTACAGAAACTAGGATGTTTTTTTGTGGAAATGTGAGTTTGTCTAATGTGCAGTCATGTATGTAAACCCTTGCCAGGTGAAAGAACTCCTTAATACTGCCTGTCTTAATAAAGAACTTTGTTTTGAAAATTATGTGATGCACTGAACCCCCAAGGCAAAATCTCATTGAGTTCCAGTTATTTGGTCTAAAAACCACTTTGATAGCAGTGAAGAGGTTCCTGCTTCATTGTACAGCCACAGTCTATGGCTTACATGATTCACTTTTATCGTTGCTACATAACTTTCAAATAGTCCAGTATATCTCTAAATGAAATTTTACACGTAGATAAAAAAACAAACCTTAATATCAACCCAAAAACCATTAGAATAATTGTTGGTATGTAAATACAGAGCTAAGATTGATGAGTTGGAAATAGAATGTAAAAATCTGTCTGGATTTCGTGCCTTCCTATATACATTGTATGCAAGACTTTCTTTCTTTCTTTTTTTTTTTTGGCCTACAGACTTTCTTCCCTCAGTTCTGGTTAAAATATGAATTCTTGAAGATATTTACATTCATTTTGTGACCTTCAAACCATTATGAATTGATAACCTTCATTTTAGTGGCAGTGTTTATGTTAGAATTCCAACATCTACACTTTTAACATCATTAATAATTGCTGTCTACATGGTAACAAAAAAATTTTGCCTAGACGAGGATTGAAACATGACAAGATTCTCACTGTCTCACTCAGACATTTCCCTTCTAATAATATTTTTCATATTAAATAATTAATCTTAAAAATTCTGTACCTTGATCTTATGCATTTTTTGACTTCAATCTAGCTCAGAAACTCCCTCATTGTTTGCTCTTGTCTTATAAAATAAACCACATATTCTTTCCTATGAAATACTGCTGGCACCAGACAAATTCATGAGGTACTTAACCACTGGAAAAATTAGCACTAACATACAATGAATAAAATGGAATATTTAATTCAATACAATAAGCTTAGTTAGCCAATAGATTTTTCCAAAGTTCTGCTAAATATATCAATTCATCACTCCATTATATTGAAAGCAGAATCAATTTACTGCAGGCAAATTTGCTTCAGCTGAAGTTACAAATCTTTTTTTTTATTTCCTCTTTTTTTAATAAAAAAATAGCAGAAGAGTGGAAAGGAAGTATAACACTATTCAGCTGTAAATCGTAATTAAAAATTTCATTTGATCCTCAACTACTATGACATACTAAGACTGTAGAAATTTAATAAATAATGTACATTTTTCAATTAGTGATCAGGTGAAAACATTTGTTTTCAAAGAGGAATATCAGTTTTGATAAAAAGTAAATAAAGATAAGTGCATAAAACTGTGCATGTATGTTAAATGTGTCATACAGTGTATATTACATCCGTGTTTTTAAAAAAACAAATTTCATTTCACATAGATTTTTTTTCCCCTCAGGGTTTGTCTTGTCGCTTAACTCTTCATACTGAATTTGAACAAAGCAATAAAGATGATAAAATAAATTGTTACTTCCTTCTAAATTTCCTAGAACATAAAGGTTCTTTCTAGGCATTTAATAATTATTGTTGACTCCATGAAATTTTAATGTTCTACCAGAGAAAAGAGTATACAAAAACTACGATTTCTGATCTTTGTATGTACACTGTACATTTATGTTCATCAAAAGAAATTATATGAAAAATTATATCAAAATATTGTCAGCTAATTCAATAAATAATCACAAAAACATACAACAAGACAACGTCCCATAGTCTGCTTAAAATATTTCAAGTGGATGAATCAACATACATGCAGGTCACTAGGGCAATCCCAGGATCAAATTGTGAACTCTCCTGACAGACTGCATTACACTTTTCAAATATTTGTTCTGTAAATTTATGTTTTCATCAAGAGAGTATCTCTGACTCATTAACCCTTGAATTCTAGAAAGCTATCTGCTTGGCAATGTGTTATCATTGTGAGACAAAACTTTGAAACACCTGCTGCCTGGGACTTAAAAATGGATAGCTCATTGAAGAACAAAACAATAAAAAAGAAACAAAAGTTTATGAACATAATCCTAATAAATTGACTGAAAGTTGCTGTAGAAAAATATTTCTGGATCCTAAATATTTACTTTATGTCACTGACAGGTACTAGTACTCTTAAAAATCATTATGATAGTAATCCAGTAAAAGTACTCATCTGAGTTCAATTGTGTCACAAATTTCATATAATTTTTCCAAATCCAATTACAGTTACAACAGGATTAACATCAACTGCCTGTTCTTCTTTTATAACAAAAATTGTAATTCATCTGCATTTTTATATTGCATTACACTTACATAATTTCATTTGACCTTGTTGGTCTGACAGAGCTTGAAGTTGGGTGGTGGAGGAGAGGGAGGGGAGGAGAGGGAGGGCGGGCAGTGTAACACAGCAGGGGGGAGTAAGGGTTTCTGTTCATCTACAAAGATGTAATTTGTATGAAAAACTGACAAAGAGTTTACTTTAGATATCAGAATTAAGCAATAAATTATACAACTTAAGGGCACACTGAGAAATAAACTATGTAGTCTGCAAAGATTTTTCCACACAGCCTCAAAATCATGTCTATTGTTTGAAACATAATTTCAAAATATTACAATCTTCCAAGAGATACACATTCTTTACATCAAGAAAGTAAATTAACTACTTTCAACATCACTTTTTAAACCACCCTATTATTAATATGACTATATTTCTTAACATAGCCACAGTAAAAATTATTTCAGCATCTCAAAAAAAAAAACCTATAGGAAACTCTCGGATAATTTCTTATACAGAAACACCAATTTGGGTACATACACCATACAAAGTTGACAGTTAATCTTTCAGAAAAATAACAGCCTACTTGTGAGTCTAAAAAATGAGATAAGTCAAATTCACCTTTTGGTCACTGATATAATATTAAAAATTTGTACTTCAGAATTTCAATTATTTTGCTGCAGCTGTTTATTTGAACACACTGCACTGGACATCAACAAACCATACCCAGGTTGGGGGAAATGGGAGCTGTATGAGTTATCTCAAACAACTAAAGTACTAATGACTCATTAAAAGTTAAAGCTTCTGGTGAAAAAAGCAAATATCTATACCCAAATACTTCTTTGCGTGTCATTTGAACACAACAACTGCAATATTCCTCTTAACAGGAAAATATGGATACAAAATAATAATGTCCAAGCAATCACAAATGCGATAAAAAAAAAAATAAAAGGAGGCTGGCACTTCAACTATGTAGCTATCGACGACAAATATTGAGAGGTCGTTTTAACCCTAATTGAACCATACATTAAATCAAGACGAAACACATCAGAGAGGCAGGTGGCTTTGAAGCAAGACATTGAATTCAGAAATTGACGAGGTTTCTTCTGCAATAAGTGTTTACATTAGCAAAATTGCTCCAAAATTATCTGTGGGTAAAAATACGTGTATAACTTAAATCTATGTGCATCCCTCTTTTGAATTATATTGCCCTACATCCTGAACACTGGTACACGTAACATGTACCAAATATCATTAACCACTAAATTTATCCTGTGGTTTTGGAGGACATTACGTCAGTAGTGATTTACAGTTGTATAACTCTTTCAGAAAAACCAAACCCTGACTGACAATGACTTTGCAGATGTTTTATTTCTGTGGCATTTCTGATTCATAAATTTTAAGTTCATATATATCATGATATGAGGTCAAGTTATAGACTGTCACAAGTGATTTAGTATGGAACTCATGACAGGCTCATTTATGCTGACATTGAAACTTAAACATCACAAAGTTAGCAGTAGGAAAGTAAAGCAAGTGAATACATTCACAGAGGGGGCCAAAATCTCAAACAATCACATCTCTTGCCACATCAACCAAAGATTTATTCCAACTGTGAAAAGTTTAAAAATTTTCTTTCGACAAAGACATTGCCTGAAATTAATTACACCTAATTGTGATGGAAGACACCAGTTGCTGCGGGCAAATATTTGCGATTAGACTTAAGATAACGGTAATTTCACGAAACTTCTTTGTTTAGTTTGGTATGATTTGCCATAATCACACGGCCCGTCCTTTCGGTCGATTTATCTACAAAAGCGTTATTCATCCCTTGCCGCCTGATTTGTTGTCAGTCGTTTTCCGAATATTAGCTGTCTGTCGTTTCGATGTTTATCCAAAAATATACAAGTGCTAACTTCGTACAAGGAGGTTAAAACATCAAAATAAATTACGAAGTTCATTTGGCTTTATAATTCAGACCCAATTTTCCTGAAAATGAAGCTTCAGCGATCAAAAATTTTCATGAATTTTGACATCCAAAAAATGTTGAAAAGAGCTTTAGTAATTATGCGTTTGACTCTTCGCATGTAGTATGGAATGGTTCATTGTCCAAGTGTAGAAAAAAATTTAACCGAAATATTGTCATTTAGTAAATTAATTTGGCAAGGTAGACAAATTTGACATGGAATGAAGAAAATACACAAATTGACGTTCAAAAAAAATATACAGGCAGCTTATTAGTCGGGCATTCCAGAAACCATCACCAGTTCAAAGATGGTATGATTTCGATTAATAAGATAGCAAATCAAGCTCACAGCAAGTAAATCAATCGCAGTTACATTGCAAAAGAGATGTCACAACTGTTGAAAGATTTTATTTGCGATAAATCCAAGTTATGAGTTATTACGTTTGGGAGAAGTCACCGACAAACGTAAAGCGGATTTGTGAAGCACGAAATATCTATTACAAAACACTTAATCAAACGTGTTTGAAATGTAGGACTTAGCTTATTTTTCAATTTTTATGGTTTTATTAACACGTACAACATAATAAGAGGCAAAGTTTAGAGAGCAATCGCAAAGATCACGATTAAGAGCAGCAATCCCACGGGAAGTCGTGTGTTTTGGCGGCTCCCATGAAGATTCCGGAAACGATCAAAGACTCTCACGACCAGCCATGCGATCTAAATATTCACACCCGCAAAAAGAGTACATTTATTTATTGTCTAAACTTCACATGATATTACAAAAACACTTGAAAGCTGACTCACCGTATTTGCTAGTTCCAAGAAGTTACTTGAACGGGACTGTCCCTTTGAATTCGCCACAGACATGATTTGCTGTAGAGTGGGATCGCCGTTCAAATCATGAGCACCGCTATCTATTTCCCAGCTTTCTTTACCGCTTGTCTTGTCGTTCAATTTCTTTGCACTCATTTCGTCGATGGTGTTATTTGCTGTCACTTTTGACTTTTCATGTCCTTTTGCAACGTGCTGTCGTAGATTTTCCAGAGAAACTAGTCCATCACTCCTCTCAGATCCCAATTGAGAGATGATGTCCCTTACGCTGTTGTCCTCCAAACCAAGTTGCTTACATGTTAACGAGATATCAGGACTGCAAACGATTCAAAACAGACACAACATGAAGACAAATAAACTCCCGGTAAGCCACCAAACAGCAGTAAAATGATTAAACAAAAATCTGCTGTGACAAGTATACGAGACAATGTTATGCTGTGAAATAAGTCGCTTGGGTGTCACGAAAACCTGAAATGCACTGACCCGAAACCAAACCACGCTAACATCAGTTTCCCGCGTGATTAAGCTTAAATGAACAAGAATTTTAAGACTTTACATCCTTCAGACACAACAGCATACCTTTCAAGATAGCCACTGACCCGACCGTCTCTTGTACTTAGAATCTTTCGAATGCTTTCCTCTAAACTTTCTGTCGAAGTTCGCCTCGAACTCGCCGATGAAATTGAAACGGACAACCCATTCTCGTTGTCGCTCATAGCAATCCTTTTCACTTTCGTCTCGCTAAAACTTTTATTCGAATCTTCCTTACGCTCTGAGGGTGATCTAAGCCATTGATTATCAACTATTTATACACAAATGGAGACAACAGCGAAAAAACCCTTTTGTGATTATGGTGGTGAACTTTCTTGAATTGCGGGATGTCGGAAGCTGATTGGTTACCTAGCTTACGGCAAGGTTTGGGTTTTCCACTCTCCGGGGTGGATACGGGGCTTCTATCAATCGTATTTCTGTGCGCTGAAATCCGTCTTTCATGATGCATTACTTACAAAAAGTGATTAAGCTATCAATCAATTCTATCAAATGCTACATTCTGAAATCTCGAGAAGTATGAAGTCTCATCAATAGAGCAATTTTCCGTTACATGTAGGAAAAAGACCAAATCATCTTCTGACCCTACCCTGTTTGCGTACAGGAAGCCACCATGTTTCCGTTTATTTCGTAACATTTGTAATACTCGTCTGTTTATGAATGAAATCAGCTGGTTTCTTATAGACAAGTTTCGTTCACTATTGTTTAGATTAAATTAATTCATACCTTCAGCCGGCACATTTAATATGAAGCAATACTCGCGATTAGGGTTGCAAATGTCTTTAATTTGTCTTTTCAGTACATGTAAACAAACAGCCTCATCTTGGGTGATCTAAACTCTTATACATTTTGATAATTATTTTCTTCGTACTTTGTTACTCTTACATCTTAAACACAAATTAAACTAGAAAGGTAAAATAGTTTTAAGGTCACATTAGATGTCTTGTAAATAAAACCGGAGCTTTTGTCTTCAACCGATTGAGGAATAGGACTTTGAAATTCTTCTTAGATGTACGTCTCCACGCTAAAATGTAAAAAAGGCCTTTATAACAATTCATTACAATTCTGAAGTGTTTACCGTAATGAGGATTATCGCTATGATTAGAACCGACTTGAGTGTTATTTTTAACCGTTTTTTTAGTAACTTAATTTACATGTCATCGAATGTTACAGCAAATGTTAAATTTAAAATGTTACATTGCAAATGTTGCATGGCAAATGTTACATCTTTTAGATTGAGCTCTTTATTTTTAGCTCGGTTTTAATGTTTTGTCTGATGTGAGGATTATCTCTCATCAGGTGATAAGACAGAGTAAAAACATGATAAGTTGGGGTATGACTTCAGGTACCATGGTTTTGACAAAAAATATTTACTTGCAATACTATATCGTAACAAAATGCTATAGAAACGTTTTACGAAAACAGCATCAACGGAAAAGCAAACTTTGTGAAAGGCGATAAAAATAAGGTTATATTGAGTAAAATCTTCGAAAACTCCGAAACGGCAAACTTTTCCATTTGTTGTTTTTTACAGTTTTTTCTACAATCTTTAAAAATTTTCGTGTAAATTCAAGCTCGTTAGGGCAATTACGTATTCCCAGAATAAGAAACAACAGGTAGACATGCATCAGCAAGATTGCACCATCTCAAATTGTTATTCATTGAGGATGGAAATAGCGCAAGCTTTCATGTTTGAATTGAAGGTTCCCAAAATTTGTCTGCTCGACGAGCCACTCTGGAATAGTGACACCTAACCATTTAACTGAAGTGAAAATCTTTTAGGGGTGTCAATACCTGGGTTGAGGCAGGCCGTTAAAATCCACAAGCGATAACTTATCCACGCCTCCCTCATTGCTTGGCCATCCAAGCTTGGAGGAAAGTTCAACTGATGTCAAGTACATTGCGTAAGTCGAACGTTGTTCGATCAACTGTTAAATGCGGGAAGCGTCGAGGACAATTAGTTATTCAGGCGGCTTAAAACCTTTCGAATTAAATATTTGTGGGAATTTTTCAGCCATACCATTCTAAAATAACCTCTCTCTCGCCCCTTGAACTCTGTAAACCCAACTAGACCTTTCACTTCCGCTCTGACAAGGATCTGAAGCGAGACGCTCTTTGGGGCTTCAACTCCCACAAATAAACAGTTTCACCATTCGCCATAGTCCAATCTTTGGTGCGCATGCACTGCACTCCCTTCGGCCGTTGTCTTTGTGTTGTGTCATTGAGAAAGTCGCTTTCCTGTCACCGTGCTTCTCTCCATTATGGAGTGCAAAGCTGTAGCCATAAATTTGGAGGGGGGGGGAGCAGGGAGGGGGGGAGCAGGGAAGGGGAGAGAGAGAGGCTAGCCTGTGATGGATTACCATCTCATTAAATGAAAGTAATGAAAGTGATAGCATTGCACCTTTCAAGCTGCATGAAATGGTACCGGAAATTTGAAGGGGCACATATTTTATTAAGTCTCGTATGCAGACGTCATTCTTATACAACAAGATTATGCTTTTTGATCTGCTTCTTTTAAGCCCTGACTTAAAGTCGATCTTTCTCCAGTGAAGCAAAACAAAAAACAAAACAAAAAAAAAGACTCGGTGCCAATCTGTAGTATTGTTGGGGATTAGAAGTAATTGACTTCGTTTCCAGCGTCAGTTGCGTTTTTAAAGTAAAGCATGCTCCAGAGATCATAGCTTTTTTTATCTCCGAAAATAAAATGTATATGCTGACCTCCTTTTAAAACCTTAAATAGTAACCTAGCCTCTTTAGAATTGTCTTCAAATGTTCGGACTCCGCCATTTTGAATCGTTATTGGTAATCAGGCCTTTTTCTCTTGTTCACTCTTCATTTTTTGGCGATCAGTTAGAATAATTAGGAGTTGCAAATAAAGTAATTCAGTCTTGCGAGCTGTGTCACGTAGTTTGTGAGAGCACCAAGCTTGCTAAGTTGGTTTTAATATGGCGAAGTTTATAACCGAATTTTGGCACATATGAAACTATGTCGGAACAATGAAAATTTCCGGAAAGAGATTATAATCTATTGGTTTCTGCAGGTTTCCGGAGCATACTTCCCTCTGAAATCCAATGAAAATTCCCTGGGAACAAGGTTAAAGCAGAAAGAAATCGAGTCCCAGACTTTGATGTTTTTCGTGTCTTACTTGTTCCTTCAATTTCATCGGAGCTCGGTATGACTGAAAACGAAAAATTGCCTTATTGAAAAGCATGTGCTTTAGGAGTAAGAAAAATTTTTAGCGGAAAATAGAACTAAGCTCATTTAGGTAACCATATCAGTCAGCTTCATTCAATTCGTAAGATGATATCTTTCGGCATGATACGTTTTGGTGCAAATATTAGCCATGGGTAATCATAGGTATTTGAAGATCAGAACCAAAGCTGTCATTGTCTCTTTTTATTTGTTTTTGCTTTTTATCTGTTCCATTTCCGTTTTTTTTTTCGCTTTGTTTTCTTTTTTAATTCTATGGTGTTGTTTCCACATTCATTTTCTTACTTTTATTAGCAGTTTTGTTGGAAAAGACCCTATATGATCTCGAGAGGTCTCAGACGTCTAACCTATGCGACTCTACTGGTTAAGGTTCAGGTGAGGTTGTAACAGGAACATTCGTGATGTCATAATCCTTCCGTGTCTTTGAAACTGACCACTCAAACTTCTACTAGGTATTAACCACATTCCATGTAACGTATAAAGAGCCAAAAAAAAAAAAAAAAAAAAAAAGGGAATTGAATCGTCAACTTACTGATTGATTTAACAAGCATCATAGGGGGAAACACAACACTTATGCAAATAGTTCATTTTAAGCTCCTAATTCCCAATTTAGATTGGCGACAGTAAAAAAATTTAAGCAATTCCTCGTTCGAAAATAATTTCAATTTTGATGTCCTTTTTCAGCTCAATGAACACACTGTTATGGTTGTTTCTGAAGGAGATGAGAGATATTGCTGATTTTTATGGTGTTATTATCCCACGATTAAATCATAGGTAAAACAGTTTTGTTGAAAACCTTCGAAGGAGGACATATCAAGTAAATCAAAACAGTTTTTTCCCAGTCAGTCCACGGGCTGTGAGTATAAATTCCATGGTTGTATAGAGACCTTGTTTCGTTTGCTCTAATGCATTCGCATGAGCAAAAGGGTTGGTGAATAAGAACGATTCTTCTCCAACAAATGGGAGAGTAAAGATTCATGTGCTCGCAGTTGTTTACATAACTGTTTTACGAAATCGTCGGCATTTATTGTGAGTGGGTGACATTTTACGATTTTCCTTAAAGATCTTTTTTATGAAAGAAAATTAAGCGAAAACAGTGGTGGATTTTGCTGATCGCGTTTGCATCTAGCGTGGTCTCAAATATATCCAATGAAATAGTCATACCTGGATTGCGAAGTCTTTGGTCGACTCGTCCGGCCTGAAGCACACGAAAAAGTCGATTTAAGTCTGGCAACTGCTTGCCCTACTCTTGAACTCATGGCATGGGAGTTTTACAGAGATGTACTTATCCGATATAGAAATTTCGCAGATGTATTATCAGTTGGGCTATTAGATCCAGCTTTACCACTGTGTCAAATACAATTACCATTACCACAATACTGAAAGGCTGTAATTCAGCTAGGTAAAGACAGCTATAAGATGGCGTATATCATGTGATAGATACATGCTACTCAGCTGGCTGTGGAGAGGTGTAAATGGTTTCCTAAACCGCCCGTGATAGTTGTAGTCTAAAATGACCGAACCTCTCAGTTGAAGGCTCTTAGAACTTCATACGAGCCAAACATCTCGCAAATAAATTGGATTTCTGGGGATTTATCCGCGGGAGGCAAATAAAGTCACGATTTACCCAGAGACGTCCCGTAAATGTATACTTTTGTGGTTTTGAACTCCTCAGCTTCTGGACAATTTCCCTTTCTTCTGGCCTTTGAAATATGTGTTAGGTTGAATATTTCACACCTTGGCAAAGTGAATTGTGAGCCTTCAGAGTGAAAATTCTTTTTTACCACACTCAAACGGCTCTGTCCTTTCTCGCATCGCCGCATTGTTAGTATTATCAAGAAAGGATTAAAGGAAAATCGCTCTCAATAAAAAAAAAAAGATTTAAACCGATTAACACTGATCTCTAATCCCATGAAAATAAAAATTCTGGAAACACTTATGCTGTTTCAAATATCTGCTTCTGAGTTCCTTCGAGTACCAAGAGGCATCATCGACATTACTGCAAGCATAGACATTTCTTAGCTCACTTATCGAAGCCCAAGTAAAATTGTAAGCCAAACACCAGACAAACCAACGAAAGGCGTAGTGTAACTATCAAATCAGCTGATAAGCTTATCTATCCAGTCAATTCGTAAATGACAAACATAGCTTACCTTTGTATATCCGGTTGTGCATACCTTGTTTATGATTGGAAACATTCGATAATCTAATTGTTATATCTGTCTAAATGTAAGACCTTTAACGGTCTTACGGCACGAGATTTCCTGCTGCACGCGAACATATCCTCGTGCCACTTACGTCCGAGGCTCCCAGCCACCAACATCACAAGACAAGTTACATTGAGACTTGCGCGATGTTGTTCAGCTAGGAAGAAGTAAGGCACGTCTGTTTTTGTTTCTCGTGAATCTCGACTTTTGATTATATAGTTCCTTTTAGAAACTGCGGGGGCGTTTCAGGCTTCCCCCGCTTTTCTTCCCTTTCTTTTCGATTTCCGTAGTTCTCACTTTCAAATTAAGAAAAATGCTAAAGAATTGTCTCGTGAATACCAAATAAGAAGAGGACAAAGTTATACAAATCATTGAAATGGAGAAGTTCAGTCAATTTCGACAACCGGTGATTAACTTTGTGGTTAATCATCAGGTGATCAACAGCTATTGAAATTTGGAATAGAAAAAAGACACTTCAAATTTCAGGCGATAGCACGTACGTCACAACAGATTTCCGTGACAAACATAAAAACAGGATGGGCGCGTCTTTTGTATAACAGGATCTGGTATGAGAGCCGACTGTTAACTTTGGACACAGAATGTAAAGAGTGGAACGTTCGCGTCTGGAGAATATACGAGATTCTTGACTTCTCAGTTACGATTCAATCACAGCGTTTCTTTAAATAAATTACACTTAGGATTTAAATACAAGACTCTTGCTCACTGATCGCAATTGTGTAAAAAGAGATTACGAATTTGTTTTTTTAAGGAAATGCAAAACATTCTTTAGTTTTCCTTTTGCTCGGGTCTAATGAATACTCACCAGAAGTCGCTTCACGTTAAATTTTTTTTATTCAACGCTTTCTTGTACCCCTCGGTCTTAAATTGATGATAACCCCAAAAGATTTTAATGTCTTAAATATTTGAAGAGACAGCCATACGAAAATTATACTGAAGACTACAATAAGAAGATCTTTAAACAATAACTGGATACCTCATTTTCAGTTGTTCTTGTAAGTTCTGTCTTCGGAAGACAGTGGTCAGTTAATGCGAATCACTGCATCTTTCAACATCACATGATTAAACAATTTGTCTAATCCGTGATATAAGGTGGTTTTTTTTTAAAATTTTTTTAGAAAATGAAAACACTGCTGAAGTGTCTGAGGTCAATGTTGTTGTGTGACCTCATAACGGTTTCTGGGAGCGCAACCAAGATCTTTCCATGGAATGGGGACGTGGAATATTCTCGGTTACAAATTGCCGCGCGCATTACGTGAACTGGTTTATACTGCTGCCCCACCTTTATATCAGTGGGCTCGTGATCATACGGCGACTGAAGACCGGCATATGTGTCTAGAAGTGAAAAAGATTGGTGCTGTGCAGATTCAAATACAACCCACCAAAAATTGATACAGATATACCTCAAGGTCTTGTGAGGTGGATTTAAGCTTGGAGACACATTTGCCTGATGGTTTGCGAGCTGATCAAACGGGGGAAGGGAGGGACAACAATGAGCCAGGGCGCTTCATGGTACAGAAAGCTCCCACAACTCATTCGACTTATTCAACTACAACAATTAGAAAAGAGAAACTTGGAAAAGCAAAGACAAAAAAACATAAATAAAATCATAAACATACTTAGTTTACAATCACATGACATTATTATTATTATTTTTTAACAGATTATGGTTTATATGACCTTTCACACCTAAATTACAAAAATACGCGCTGCAAGGTAAAAAAATAATTAATGTTTTTCTGTCTGATTCATAAGTCATACATTCACATTTGATGTATACAAAAATACCTGTAAAAATATTCTCTGATTGACTAAAACTACCGTCTGTCACGGTTACTGCAGCTATACGCCCTAACCCTTATGTCTAATACCTAACACTGAAGTTTCTATCTCAAGGTCTACTCATGAGCCGGCTAAGGAAAGCTAGCCACAGTTATTACCAGTTCTTTAAGTAACAGAACACAAGCAGCATCACTTTCTCAGCAATTGTCCGTCCTGTGAGTTGAAAGAAATCAGCAAAAAATAACAGCAAAAATGATTTTCAACCTTTGCATCTGTTACTTAGTTGAAAGGGATTCCTATACTCTAGGTTAACTATTTCTGGTTCTATGAGTGCCTCTTGAAAAGACGTCCCTACCTAGATAAATCACTGAATTCATGTATCAACACATTGAGGATTCGAAAGTGGTTGGCATCAAGGGTCAAGATCTCCGTCAGAAATCCTCACCTACAAAGTTTCCTACAGTTATAAAAAGATACCTTTTTAAGCCTAACTACATGTAATTAAGTTATAATTGAATTTTCTGAAAACCAGTTAACTGATTCGTACTAATTTGTTTAAAGGACTCTTCCAATATGGACGAAGTATTACGAAAACTTTATCTCGTTATTATAACGACTTAAATGATTCCAATCCAGTTATTTCCATTCACCACCTCAAGAGCGATTTTGTCTTGGGTGGAATCTAACCGTCGGAGGAATGTGTTATAAACAGTGACAAGCAGATTTATTGGAACAACGACGAGGTCGATATCAAAACAGCCTTACACTTAGTGCACTGTTTTCTAAATCGTAGGGAATACAGACACTCCTCAACTTTATACTGAAGTAAGAACAGGACGTTCATACAAAATCCGCAAAAAACAGATTTAAAACTGAAAAAAGATTACATCCAATTCAGGACAAATGCCAAACCTTTGGTCTGTCACGCAACGCTCTCCAGAATGGAAACTAGCGCGATGTTCCCAAAAAGCAATTGGTAGTATAAAACCTTAATGGAACCTTCAACCTAGGCCAGTGCTTCAATTTAAAAAAATGACTCTGAGTACAATAATTATCTAAAAAGTAGGCTCGTATTAAAAACAAGAAAAAAGATGATGAAGGAAACCAGAACCCTTGAGATTATGCAAAAGTAAAAGAAGAAACATATGCCCGAGTTTTACTATAGATTAACAGGAAACTTGAGAATCGGGTGACAAAGATGGGAGTAAGGAATTATACCAAAAATACAACAAAACTGTAAGCTTATGTTGCCTATTAATATAACTACTAAAACTAAGACCACGTTCTCTGATTTGTCGAGTTCGACAACAATGGGCAAGGTCCAGGGCGATAGCTGAACGAACGAAACCCCGTGAGGAAAGATCGCCCAGTTTTCGCAAGGTCGCTACAAGAGCGCACTTCGGGCGTGTCAAAGAAATTTTAACGACCAATCACAGCAAAAGTGAAAACCAGGAGGAAGAATTAAAAAAATTAACACGAGTAAACTGTGAAGCGCGGGAAAACGCGTGTGATTAAGTCGCAATTTGTTTTGGTTTTGCTTCTGGTTCAGAACGTGCACGTGGCACGTATTTTTTCTAAGCCAAACACACAATGTTGTAAAGAAACCCAAAGCAGTTCCGGATTACACTCGACACTCTACTGAAAACTGCTATGACTCGCACGCCCGCTATCATCTTTCTTTAGCACTAAAATGAGAAGCTTCTCAAAATGTTATGGGCCCAAAGTTTGTACCAAACGATTAACTTTCCTATGAACCAACATTATTTTTAAGCCAGGTTGTGATAATTTCTTCGTATTTCTTTAGCCACTCGATGTTTGCTTGTGTACGCTCGATGGCCTGTTTACGAGCATTCTCGCTTGTACCTGCCTCAGAACGGTCAAAGAATGCCTTCATCTGCAAGGAATTTTAAAAACACTATTATTGATAACACGCCAATCAGCCCTATTTTTAATAAATTTATCAACGAATTGACTGCCATTCAAAACTTTGTGCTAATCAGATATATTTCGTGCTTTGGACGACATTCACTAAATAAGGCACAGGGACTGATAGAGAACTTTCTAAATCCATCTAGAAAAATATCACAACTGAACACTTCAAAAGGTCAGTCAACATATTTTAAGTCCTGGTGCTTGTAATATTTCCCATTTCAGGGACAGATTACTGAAACAGAGCTGGTGGATTAGGGAATTCAGACCGAGTATTCATATGAAAATATGTCAAACCTGTTCCAGATCAGCCTCGGTACTAAACTGAGTCACACTGTTGGTGAGGCTCGTCAAACGGAAGGTACTAGTACTGAACCTGCAAAAAATTCGAAAGACTAACGGACCAACCCCACTTCAAAGACCGCTCTTCAAAACATTATGTTGTTCCTCTTTACATTTTGTCATTTATAGTTTTTTGAAGCATATAATGCAACAGATTACGAATAGATGCTTACATGTCAAACAAAGCCTTCCAATTATTTTGAACGAAAGTCCAGGCCAGGTATTTTCCAACAGGATTGTAGGCAACGTAACTGATAACACTGACAGCGTCCTGGGAACGAATCTTGGACGAATCCAGAGAGTATCCTAAATACCTGGTGATTAACACAAAAAACCTCAATACGAAACACGAAAATTTTCATCAATAGTAGTCCATATGCTTGCATATCCTTGAGAATTAGTTGAGAGAATTTAGTGCAATATTATGTAAACAATGTCTTATTTATAGGCTTATCTTTTGTCATAACCTGTTTGAGGGATATCATTTGTTGATACTGTTATTGTTTGATAGTTCTGTGAGTTACGAGGTTAAAGTGAGTAATAAGGTGAGTAGTCTAGGAACTTACGTGTTCAGGATCCAAGTCTCACGTGATGCAGCCAGTGCGTACATAAGTTTACTCTTCTCGGATGCTTCTGTAGTGTTCAGGAATTTTTCGTATAACCAGTTCCACTCCTCTTCACCAGTGTTACTGATGCCATAGTAGTAAACCAGGGTTCGGAGGTCTACATCTATTTCAGACCTGTTTAAGAAAAGGGTGTTTCTATACAGTTCGTAATAAAAGAATTGAATAACCATACAGAATTAACAACATCAATTTTTAAAAGACCTTCGTTAATCACCAGATAGCGGCGAAGTTATGGAAAGTACCTAAGGAGTAAAGAGAAAAGGCCCCTGCCCTTTCTTACAATTAAGTGCTCATTGGTCTTATGAAGATTTCATACCAAGTGTACGGACATGCGGTCACGTGATAACCACATTTTTCGGGACCTATCGGATACCATATTTTCTTGCGTATGTAAGCTCAGCTTCCCGCATCGCGCAGAAGCATTAATAATAACCTTACTTTGGAAGACAGCAGCTGCCTGAATAAATTCATAACATGATCATTCTTTACCTTTTACCACTTTTCCATTCTTTAAAAATCTGAGTTGCATTTTCAATACAGTCTGAATCCCCTGCGCTGCACGCTGCACCTAAGATGGCGCTTCGAAGGTATCTTAAGAAAACAAAAACAGAAAAATAAGCCTCATACTGCACAAAGAATGGCTAGCAATCAATCTGGACAGATCGTTTCACTAACCGTTTAATGTGATTATCATCTTGCTTGTTTTCCCAACCGAGTTGATCTGCAAGAGCTTTGACTTTACTTCTTATCAGTCTCTGCAAATATTAGATGAATCAAGGACATTGACATGGAACAACAGGAAACACTTTACAAGCAGGCCAATTCAATTAATGACATTTCATTGCCATTAAATCTTACTACAAATTATCAAAATCAATAAGAATCAAAGCTAATGATGGCTTTTATAGTCTAACTGCTGCTGTGATTATAGAGATATGCACGTTCTGATTGGTTAGGGATTGGCGTCATATCTCGCCATAATCACCTCGTGCGAGGTGACTATAGCCGGGGTACTAAATTTCCAATGGCTGCCTGGCGTTTTGTTAATGTTACACAGGATGTGATAAACGCGATAGAAGAAAATAAAATTCTGCACTAAATGCGCTGCTAAGTTTGGCGTATCGCAAACGAAAGATATGACGTTTTTGGTTTATTTAGTTAAATAAACCTGTTGAATTCCACTGGAATCTGGTTGCGTATCTCGATACAAGTTATCAAAACAAACGTAACAGAATGGAACCAACAACGAAAAGAATAACAGAATAAGAAAGCACCTGAGCAATTATACTAAAAAAATTATTTGCCTCAAGCTTAATAAACATTTGTGAATAATCCCCAACACGACCATTCAATAATACTAATTTCTCCTTTAGCAAATAATTTTTTTATCAAAGTAAGCCTTTGCGTCCTTACAATTCTCCAATGGGTGGTTAAGGTACAAACCTGGAAGTTTCCATTTGCTGGTCGGTCACTCAGAATGTGTTCCAGGAATCCCAAACTGTTCAATGCAGTCTTCCAAGGAACATACTTAGTTTCTTTACCCAAGTAATTCAAGGTGCCCAGAGCAATGTCATATTTCAAGTATCCAGCCCTGATATAGATGATATACAATAACAGAGTTAGTTCAGCATATGGACAAAGAAAAGAGAAAAAGATAACTGTGTATTTTGCATTGTAATGTACAAAATATTAGGAAACTTGTAAAGATTAAAGAATTGCAAAAAGCCCACAAATACAATTTGATCTTCCACTATGCTTGAGTTAGGTCCAGTAGATCAAACAGTGTCCCTGTGCTCTCCTGGGCAATCACAGGAAACCCAGCCTTACCTTTTAAGCACCTTACTGTTTTATCGTCCTGAATATTAACTAAAAGAGGTATAATAGCATAAATTACATAGAGGCTCCAGAGTTAATTATGCAATATTTGCCAGTGCCAGGCCCATTACATCAAGATTGGTGAAAAGTTATCTCAACAAGTAGTTAAGAAGAGCCTTAATTTATAGAGGGTAGCACTAATATTAGATTCTGTTGTAATTCCACACAAGACTAATAAAAATATTTGACTTGAACAAATGTTTTTATTAAAACCAATTACTTACTTAAAGTTTCATGGGAAAAATTTGGAACAATGAATTGACGTGTGATAAAATAAAGCCACACTGATTTTAACTGTTTTATGCTATAATTTCAAGTTCTAAGGCTTAAGCTTTATCATCTCCTATGATAAAAATGTAAACATTGAGTGTCAAATAAAGCATAAAGTGCAGCTGGAGAAGTTCCAGTACCTGGCCAAATTAAAGGCATCATCAATTAAACTTGATCTGTCCTCAGTAGTAAAAACCTGTAAGCCAGAAAAGTTTTCAAAATAATTAAAAATTGAAAAAAAGGTGAATTAAACGTATGAAAAATTAAGTTAATAAAAGGCTCAGAAGAGGAAGAACCAGTAGTTCTTTTCTATTGACAAAATAGAGGATTTTTGAAATATCACCTCATTTTGTGTCCTAAAGTTGAAACTGATAGAAATTAGTATTGTGTTTTGTAACAATAGACTGAGACTTTGTAACTTGATCAGTGGGCCAAAATGAAAATGGAGAGAATGAGACTCCTTATTTAATACTTACTGTATGGTCATTTTCTAGTTGCTGAACGAGTGCTTGCCAGTTGTCGTCATCATAATGCACTCTGTAGTAACCCACTTGTTTAAAGTTACCTTTAATCCATTTGTTTTTAGGCCATGTGAACTCAACTAAAAAAATAAGAATTTTTGTTTGATTGTTTTGTAAATTAAAAAAACTCAGGGAATAAATTTCCATAAAATTTTATATTAAAAATCTGTAAATAATTTGTTACTTAGCACTTTATATCAAATCAGGTGATCATTAAAAGTAATTAATTACCAGGTAATTTAACATACATAACGAATAACTGAATATTGAATATATCCTTTTTTCATTTTTAATTTTCTGTAGCAAATCAAAATGCAATAGACCATGATATTCCCAGTACTATATCAACAAAATCAGTCTTATAATATCAGGAGACTTGGAGTTCTCTTGAAAGGAAACAAATATTGTGCTAAATAACCTGAATCAGATGAAATGTTCATCCATTTTGTTTTAGGATCTTGGGATGCATCTTGAAACACATAAGTCAGAGGTACATGCCACTTGTAGCTGATGAAAAAAAAACCAAACCATGCAAAAGCAATCTAGCAAACAACATTTGCAATGAATTTAAAAACAAAGGAAGGGTATGACTTTGTTATTTATCTATGATCGTACAAGTCTATTTAGCAATCTATGAAGACCCATGTCTGCTGCTCCTCTCAAACCAGTACCACTCTCCATTAATGGGGAGGAGGATAATGAAGAGATAGTAGTTACCAATGTAGGTAATAAACAAAACAAAGACAACAACAACTGCAGCAGCTCACTTGAATTGAGATGTTACAGTCACATTTGTGTTGGGATCCAACAGGAAATGTTTTTGTGTAGCTTTTGCCTTGTCTGTGCTACCAATGCGCGTGATTGTCACCACAGGAAATCCCATTTGCAATGTCCAAGTATCCATGATAGTTTTAACATCCATGTTGGCTTTCTAATAAATTTCAATTAAAAAATAAAAAAAACACACTAAAATAAAAATAAAATAGAACAAAAATTAAAAAAATCTCACACTTTTTACATGCTTAAATAATTGAGGTAGAAATGTCATGTGTCTATCATCAAACCAAATAAGAATGGTTTTTTTGGGCAACTTCTTGATTAGAAATAATTTATTTGTTGTTATTGGCTACCCTGACAGAATTTACATTCAAAACATGTTTCAGTTAATCAACATCTTACAGGAAATCTCAAACAATAAAAGCAGAAATAATAATTGTTTCAGAAGCAGTGATTCAACAACTAAAAGTTTACCACAGCTTGCACTATTTATACCACCCAATCAATAAAATGTAAATAAGATGTTTATAATATACCTCTCCTAACGCATTCCAAAGGTCCTGAGTTTCAGCATTCTTGTATGCATACTTTCTCAAGTAATACTATAAACAAAAATTAGATCAGTTCAGTTATTTACAAACAGTTCAACATAATAACTATAAATCACATCTGTTGATAAAGTACATACAATTAGTAGTTACAACACTCAGTCTTAACCCTTTAACTCCCAGTTCAAATTTGTAATTCTCCTTACTGTCAACCATACAATTCTTATGATGTTTGTTCTAAGAATTAAGTATTGGATCAACTAATTATCCCCAAATTTATATTTTTCTTTATTCCCATCACTTATCTGATTGATATTGTATTGATATTGTTAGGAGAAATTCTTCCTTGGTCACTCATGGGAATTAAAGGGTTAACCTATTGACCCCAAAGAGTGACTAGCATCTAGAGTTATTTCAACTTTGCTAGAAGGGAAGAAAACCAAAATATGAAAAGAAAAACCAAAAGTTATCGGCTCAATATCAGTATCTGGGCAACTGCCCACCTACCCCTCCCCCTAACCCAACAACAGTCTATAGATAACAAGTTAGGGTTAATGTTGGGTTAGGGGAGGGGTAGGTGAGCAGTTGCCCAGATACTGATATTGATCCAAGTTATGTATTTTGTGTCTTTGGTAACATATGAAGAACAGTTTGGAACACTCAAAATAAAAATTCCATATCTATGCGCACGCATGTATTATTCTCTATTTATCACTGTATTCTGTAATATATAATTATATTACACTTACACTGAGACCCTCTTTAAATTTCTCTTTTCCAACAAACCCTTCCAACATCCGAATAATAGAGGCACCCTGAAAATAAGATTGATACATCTCTTAATACTAGGTCAAGTTTCTGACATTTTTTATAGGCCTATAAAAAACATTAATTAGCCCTAAAAATCTCCTTGATTGATCTACAGACTATTTAATACCAACCACCACCTACACTGTCAACTCTGAAAACATATCTGAAAGTAAATTTTTTTATTTGTTATAAGCATGCCTAGCATTCACAATTACAATTCAATAGAGTCTAAAGAACAATTATGATAATTTATCATCAAAACAGCAAAAGTAAATGATAATTTAAATTAAAATAAACTACTAAAAGAGTCATTTGCTGATTCTAACCTTGCTGTAGGAAATCCTATCAAATAACTGTTTGATTTTCTTGGGGTGGTCAACTTCAACTGATATGGGGTGAGAGCTTGCCAAAGCATCAAGAGGAAAAACCCTCTGGAGATCTGACAATAGGAACTGCTCCATCTGCAGAGAGATAAGTTTTAAAATACCAACCATAATTAGTCACTACAAACTCAATTCCTATTATTCTGATGCTTCATAAATATCTGTGGGAGTTATATATTTGTAAATCACCTGGATTGCAGTTATTCCAGAGTTAATTAAAACTATAACAAAATTCTTGAATGTGATTGGTATGTGTGCATCATGTAATTGGAAAGCATCATAGGACAATTGACATGTCATGCCTGCATGTGTAAGTGGACTGCAGTGCGCATCATGTGTGGGCACTTTTGTTGCATATTTTATGAAAGCGTACAATCAATGTCTCATTTCTTTCTCACAGTTTTGATTAATTTAATTGTAACAGAACTTTGTTTCATTCAATTCTGTCTGTAATTGTACTCTTGATTAACAAATTGGGCAACCACAAAGCGGTTGTCCGATTTTGTCAATGAAGAGAATGATTACAGACTGAATTGGACTCCCCTCAATCTTATTACCATTATTAAGAACTTAACAGGTGTGCTTATAGAGTCTCACTTGAATGTGGAATTCTGCTGTCAATGCATAAATAAATGACTGAGTCAATCAATCCATTAATCAGTCCATCAGCCAGACAATCAGTCAATTGGTCATTGGATCATTCAATCTCACAGTCAGTCACTTGGACCATCTGTCAGTAAGTCAATCAGTGAGTCACTCAATCCCTTAGCCAGTCATTTAGTTGGTCAGTCTGTCAGTCAGTCAGTGTGCCAGACCATCAAACAGTATTTGTCAAGTCAGTCAGTTGGAGAGTCAGTTGGTCACCAACTCAACATTTCATTCGATAATTAGGTATGAAACAATTACTTTTAACAGAGGCTACTGACAACAAAGTGCACCATGAATAATTTGTTACTTGCAGAGTAACAGTGATAAAACCCTTACCATTTCCCAGTCTGGATGGGTATGGTTGACACCTAAGTATTCTACAAAACTGGCAAATCCCTCATTTAACCACAAGTCATTCCACCACTTGGGAGACACAATGTTCCCAAACCACTGAAAAAAACAAGATATTCTTTAAAGATTAGTCATGTTGTTGCACTATCATAGGAACTGTTTAATACTCTCACCTTGAATGGCATAACTGTGTCAACATTAGGCCATAAAAGATAAATTTGATTCAAAATGAATTCATTGAAAACAGGGTGTGCCATCAATTCCAAAATTATTATCAATGTAACAAGTAGATGTTGTAAGACTCAAAGGCAGAAAATTAACTGAACAGTTCCATGTGATTTTCCCCTCATACCTGATGTGCTAGTTCATGAGAAACCACCACAGCGACTCTTTGTTTGTTGGCCTCAGAAGACACACCCTCATTGAAGAGCAAAGCTGTCTCACGATAAGTAATTAATCCCCAATTTTCCATGGCTCCAGATGAAAAATCTGGTATGGCAATCATGTCTAAAAATAAATTTGGTAATATTGAAAGGATGACCAGGACTCGATCTTAAGCTCAGGTGCAAACTCTTAGTTTACATATGCTCAACCACTATTTGAGTGAGCAATCACCACAAAATGCCCTTGCTGTAGTAGAATCGTTTCATATGCCTAAAGAATAAAACTAGTAAACAAATTCATTGCCCCAAGTAAAATTGCCCCTTTATCTGAGTAACCTTGCCCTAGTGTGGTCATGTTGCCACATACTGGATTGACTGGTTAAAAACAGATTTTCAACAAAAAATGTTACTCCTGTTGTCTTTTTCTTGTATTGCAGTCAATTTGATCTCCTGTCTAGGGCATTTGAAATCAGAGGGGACATACAGGTAGCTACACTGAGAGGTGAGGTCACTCAGCTTGATTTCACGCAACATAACTTGGGATGACATGACGAGGGACTTATATAAACAGTCACATCAATAAAGAATCTTGTTTATTGAAACTCTTATTAACTATTATGTTATAATTAAATATCTCTGTAGAGCTATAAACAAACAAACACAAACCTTGTTTAGGAAGAGGATAACCAAGGTTATAATACTCCTCATAGTATGTGATGATACCATTTCCAACATCCAGTGCAAATTTTGTTTGGTTCACTTGGGCTGGTGTTGTCCACACTCTGAGCTGTTGTAAAGTTTAAAAGTTAGTAGGCTGTTTTTTGAAAAAGTACTGTACCCTTCTCATGTTTCAGTCATATTCCCAAAAGAAGCATGCATTTTGCAAATGCAGCACCTACCTGGAATTTGATCGTGAAGTCTGATCATCAAAGGCAGTGCTCAGTATTGATTGTATTGACTTTTCTAGGACAAGACATTTAAGGTTTTATAGCTGGTCTACCACTCCTAAATTTGCAATTTTAATAAATGTTAAACAAATGACTCACTGTGATGTTCTTATGCTGTCCGGTGGTTGCATTTGTGAACTTGAAGTCACATACAATAAATGCCAGTAAATATGTTGACATTGGGACTGACTTCATGAAATGTGATTCTATTCTCCCATTTGCCAGCTGCTGTTGTTTAACCACTGGCATATTTGACAATGCTCTGTAGTCTTTCTCGTGAACAATCACAGTGGAAAATGTTGCTTTCATGGCAGGCTCATCAAAACATGGTAAGGCTTTGCGTGCATCAGTTGGCTCAAATTTTGTGGTTGCAAGACGTCTGAACAATGAAAAGCACACACTTCGTTTTATAATCATGTTGATACATTAATGCATTATATATCAAAATACCATTTTATTGTAAAAACCCAACTGCCCAGTACTGCTAAATATTGTGAATTAAAACAATTAGATCTAGCACCAAAGAACCTGTCACAAACCGGTGAATGCTTAAAAAAGAATCATCTGTCAGAGTATTGAAACAATGAAAATTTCTGTAAATACTTTCCCACTTATAATTTTGTTACATTGTAAGTTTCAAACTGGGAAGAGATGTTCAAAGCTTGAAGGAGGATATAGCACCAGGTTTGGTATTTGTGTCATGTGTGCTTTGCTTGACCAAAACTTAAGTTACTGGCTTTTAACGTGTCATCAAAAGGTGCCATCTTAAATCTAATGTTTGAGATTTTGAAATAATTAACATTAAAACAAGGGGTTTCCACTTGTAATTAACAGACATATAATTTTTACTTCAAAAACTTCATTAATATCAAAAAGAGAAAAAGGTAAAAGTAATTTGCTATGATAAGGAAGTGAGTACATCTTTATATATTACACATCTTGTTATTACAAGATACAATATTTTCAATAAAATATCATAATAACCTTTGACCAAAGATTTCCTTCACAGTAGATTACCAGAAAATGATTACATTGAGTCCAGGAGAGATTCATCTATGGCCTTCCTCATTTACGCAAACATTGTTATGATTAATGATAATAATTAACATTTATTGAAGTATCACTAAATTTTGTGTCAATTATTATCTAGAGTCACCAAATTTTGTATCAAAAGATGACTTGACTAATAAATTGAAATTCATAATTCACAGCAAATGTTAACAAAGACATACCATTTAACATAAAACTACCTTAAGTTCCAAATATTAGTAGGCATTAATGCTTCATAAATACATAATAATATGTAAATAATTATCCAAAAGTGCTTCTGATAGAAATTTGAAGTTTTCATTGTTCACAGTTTACCACACTCATAAAACTAAATCAAGGATTTTCAAATTCATTTCCAGCCAGTGTAGTGGAATACTCAGTTAACATTACCTGTCACACAAAACAACCCACCTCTGTTCGCCTTTTTCATTCGTGTATGTACTTATGTACAAACCATTCAACTGACTGGAAAATGTCGATTTATAGGACATCAGCAGTACATAATGTCCACCAACTTCAAGATCTTTCTCCAGTTCGAACACAAAGTAATCGTTTTCTGAATATTCAAAGGTCTTCGAAAAGATTTCTTCTCCCAGGGAGGTAGTGTTGGATGTCACGTTTGAATCGCGTTTGTAAACTTTAGCGTGAGTCACGTTCATGTCATTGATATGAATCAAAATGTAGGACATGACATCGGATTTTTCCGTGACGTTTATTAAGACCGACACGTTTCCTTTAAAAGTGTTTAGCTCCAAGTAGGGATCTAAGTAGACACTGTAGTGAACTGGACGAATATTTTGCGGTAATCGGATGTTCTTCCACGGCTTCACAGGCTGTGAAGGTGTCACCGCTGTCGCGTTTGATATTGGCCCGGACGCGTTGGTAGATGCGTTCGTGGGTGCTGCTGTTGATGTAGAAACCTCAGTCCCTGCAGTTACTCCAGGTTCTTCTGTAGGTGCTGGCCTTTTACCTGGTGCTTTACCTCCCTTCGAGCTTTGATTTTCATCCAGAGCCTCAATTCTTGCCCGACGGGCGCTAAAAACACCCGAAATCACTGCGAAAAATATTATCAAGACAATCACAAATACAACCAACCCGATCGCTTTCGATCGCGTGATAACAAACTCTTGCTCCTTTTTCTCATCTTCGCCATCCTCTTCGAGTTTCAATTGAAATTCATCGTCTGACATCCTGCTTTTGGTCCTTTTTGTCTTGGAAGAGCAAATCGGCTCGAAAACGACCTCGACACAAGCCGCTCTACACCTGTTCTTGAATTAGACAACACTCCCAGGAAGCAAGACTCTAGCTAGCAGTTGTAGCACTGGATATTCCGGCTTCTGGTTCCCTTCTAATCCGCTCCAGCAAATTAGACGGAAGACGAAATTCTCCAGGGAGTTGGGTTTCTCCTGTTTACGTATATCAAGAATCTAAACAATGTGCTGATCGAAGCTTGTTAACTAACGGCACGCATGACGATGAAATATTGTTTACTAGTAATAGCTAAAGGACTGGAACTGGTTTTGTTAGTTCGGTTTATCTAACGATGAAACTACTGAAACTAGTCTCTTTGGAAAATCTGACATCAAATGTTTGACACGGGATCAGATAGTATGGTCGAGGAGACTCGAACTTTTGCAGCTATCTCGTACGAAGAAAACGGTTGAACTAAGAAGCAAAAGTGAAAGGGATTTTAATGAGGAAAAAAATTCTTTCCTCGCTTCCGTTGATGTGTCTCCGGTATGACGGCTGTTGACTCTCTTTGTTGCTTAGCGATCGATTAAGGTGGTGTTGGTTCCTCCGCTTTTTCGTCATGAAACAACCAGAAAAACCAGACAAGCGGCGAAAAAAATTGCACGAACGACGCAAAAAAGATTTTATTTTATTTTTTCTTTAATTAAAATCCCTATTATCCATTCGGTTTCTATTCAGAACTACTTCGAAACAAATCCTCTCATGTCTACTGTTGTGTAATTAAAATGTAGTATGTGTTTCTTGTCTAAATAAGTATTCGTATATGGAGTTTGGGAGACCCGAGATATGAATAGATCACCGATTGAGCAATCCCTTGCGTCGGTGGTTCATGACAGACGATTTGAACAAGGAACACATCGTCTTGCAGAGCTAACGCTTTATCCGATGGAATGCTGCTAGAGACAAGGCTGTCCTAAAACTCCCCGCATTGTCAGTCAACTGGCCAACTTTAGAACTGGGTTCTTCGTTTTCGAGGGCAAAAAGAACATCGAGAGCTGGCTATTCTGGTTCCGACTTCACTGAGAGGAATAGTTCCCCTCGGCCGGAAAGTTGCTGCGTGACATGGTCTGACGACCCTTAAATTTCATCTCAATCAGAGTAAAAGTAATGATTTACGACTTTCAGATGTACAGTGCTCATCGATGTGCACACCTTTTCCCATTTTTCCGATTTGAAAAGTTCGGGCTCGATAACACAAGCTGGACACGTGCTCCAATTGTAGAAACACTCCAAAATTCGTTACATTGCAGGACCAGTTGCCGATCAATCGAATTTTTTAAAATAAACTAATGGCGGCCCCCTTGAAATAAATTAATGCATGAATGAATTAACCTGCCAAGAAGCCGCGTTTTCGGCCAAACCCCATCCCCAATTGTGGCGATCGCTCATCTTTTTTTACGTCCAGTTCTTTAGGGTTTTGTACTTTAATAATCAATTTATAATGAGAGAAAAATAAAAGGCTGAGGATTGTAATTCCGATTGATTTTTCGTTCTTCTTTCAGTTGGATTCGATGTATTACGGCCTGATTTTTCGGTTAAGAAAGGTGAGTGTGTGGTTTACTTAGACCATGTGAAGGGCATGTCACACACTTCTCGTCCAGTTTGTGGCGAGTCCTACTATGTTTCCTTAAAAGGCTGTAAATTCATCATGGAATTAATCCCTTAACTTAATAACAAGATAGAATGATAATCTCTCTCTTAATTTTTTATATATTATCTTGTTTTGAGACGAATAGCAGGACTTTTGATTCACGCTCTAGATCTCAAACCCTTATTTTCCCAATGATGTCTATACATTTCTCTGGCGCATAGTGCAATAAAAGAATTTTATGATTTTCCGTCTCCTGTCTGCTTGTCTGTCTATTTAAAATTTCATGGATACTAATGGGATCTGAAGAGTTATAAATTATAAACTACCTGTCATGTGAAAACTAAACTCACCTCTGTTCGCCTTTTTCGTTCGTGTATGTACTTATGTACAGGCCATTTAACTGACTGGAAAATGTCGATTTATAATCCATAACCAATACATACTGGCCACCAGCTTCAAGATCTTTCTTCAGTTCAAACACAAAATATTCATTTTTCGGATATTCGAAAGTCTCCGAGGGAATTTCTTCTCCTGGGGCAGCGGCGTGGGGCTCCGCGTTCGGATCGCGTTTGTGAACTTTGGCGCTAGTCACGTTCATGTCATTGATATGTATCAGCATATAAGACATGTACTCAGATTCTTTCGTGACTTCAACCAACACTGAGACTTTTCCGTCAAAAGTGTTTTTTTCCAAAGACGGATTTAAGTACAGATCATAGTGAATTGGTCGAATGTTTTGCGGCAGTCGGATTTGATACCACGGCTCAGGTCCAGTTGGTTCCTCGGTGGGTTTCACCTCGGATGTAGGGCCTTGCCCGGTCGCTCTGACTGGCTTCTCAGTTGTCATCTCTGCCAGCGCGTCCTTTCTTGCTTTTCTTGCGCTGAGTACGCCCGACATTACCCCGACAAAGATGATCAATAAGATTACAATAACTACTAAAACGATTGCTTTCGTTCGCGAGATAACAAAACCATCACCCGATGTTCTTTTCTCTTCTCCACTTTCTTTCATTGGAACGCCTTCGTACGACATCTCGCAATCCTTCCGTGTAGGAATCAGGGTAGGTAAACTGCTGTTAGGGGTAGAAGGAGCGCGTCTATCTGATACCTGTGATACGAATACGATACTGTTTTATTTGTAAAACACTAAGTGAATAAACAACAGGTTGTCATTATGTCGCTTTCCAGCCAATCCGCGCACGAATCCCTTGAAAGAGCGGGAAACACTGTCAAGCTTAAATGACAAAACTTCAGATCCATCCCAGATTAGACTAGATTAGCAACTTCTTAGATAATGCAAATATTTGAACGCCAAAATTAGTTCTGATACCAAAATATAACAATTTTAGGGGAGTACAGGGAACAACATTACATCCATCAGCGTGGTTGACTGATCGAAAAAATTCAAGTTTCCAACTGAAAAATATCTTGGGTCTAACACAGACCATTATGCCACTCTGGACATTGTTTTTTTTCCATCATAGCGACATAACAAAGCCGTCTCAGAGGTCAATACTTCAAGGCTTTAGTTGATTGAGGAATTTTGAACGAACAGAAAAGAAACAATCTGGTTGTCATATTGTTCAGTATTAACAACGGAAATATCGTTGCGCTGGGGATTGTAGATTTAGCTGAACATCAACGTCTAGATCAAACAGCTGCAGAAGGAATTGCATGTAGGCTGGTAGTCTCCTTAGCAAAGTTATTTCGTTCTAGTCACGCACTAAACTTTATATACCACAAATGCAGCACTTTGCGACACAAATAATGTTTGCTTTAGCCTCTGGTGCTTATTCAGAGGTGGCCCGGGTGAATACAATAATAATGGTGCCCGCCCCTCCAAAGGTACATGTCTGGAGAGTGGCAATTGCAGAGACAGATTAATTTTCGTTTTAATAAAATCCCTCTTCCCTCTAAACTCCTTTGTAGACATTGCTTGGTCACTTCAAACCTAGAAGACAACGGCTGCGGAAGACCCACAATTCATTTTCACACTCGCGTTCGAATTTTTCTGAGATGCAAATTTACGTGAAACAATACATATAGCCCGTGTGACTCCCAAGCAATACAATTATCTTTGAGCCAGAACAAACAACCCAAAATGGTTACTGATTAGCAACGGTCACCTCGGGTAAACAAATGTTTCTGACACACAACAGCCAACTTATTTACTGATATAGCAATGAGAAATTTATTATTATTTGACAACAGAGAAAAGCTTGCATTACACAACCCGTAAGAAAAACACACAATGCTGTAAGTGAAACAATCTCAAAGGCCATCAGATTACAGCAACTCTCTTCAAAGCAATCACTTACAGAAACGTAGCCATAATTACCATTTTTTACACTGCATAATATTATACGAAAATCCGTGGACTTTTCAATGTTATCAATTTGTGTTACATTACATACATACAGAATCTCATTGTTATGTAAGTCTCAATTATTTTATCACTAAGTACTGTACAAAATATCAATATCTGATAATAGCTTTCTTTACCCAGCCCCACCCACCACTGTGACATTCCCATGGGTGAACTTGATCCAACTTGAAATTCTCCTTACCATGAAAATATAATACAAAGAAACCCAAATGATGATTTTTGAAAAAAAAAAAATTCAAAATCTTCCAGATTTTGCAACTCATTAAATATTTTTATCACCTCACAAGCAACTACCTAATGACTATAGAAAATAACTTTCTGCTGATGCAATAAGTGAAAGAAATTAATGCAAATAAATGACTGAATAATCACTTGCCAACCTGAGAAAGGAAAACCAAGTTACTATAAAATGTACATGCTGCACAGGTTGACAAACAAGACTTAGCAAGGTGAACATTAATTACTATATGCAATCACTTTCTGTGTGCTGAGAGTACACCAGCTTCACAATCAACTGCAATTGTTATTTTTTTTTAATTTAATTTTTTTGTCTAAAAAATGTTTAGGATTAGAGGGATTGTAGAATAAAATATTGTAGCACAGCCTGACATGAAAGCCTCTGTGAGGGACTTGCTCCTTTCCAAAAGCTCCAAATTTAATAACTAGGTAGAACTGATTTTTTTGGAAATTCTTGCTTCTAATTGGGAGATGGTGTACTGTGAGCTTCTAGTGGTTGTCTCATTCCCTGCCCATGACTCAGCAAGGTCTACATGCTACCAATGTTCATACTAACTAGTATTCACATTTAAAACCTCTGCTGTGAATGTGTTCACACATAGGAATGCACAATTAATTGACTAACAAAATATCAACTTAAGCCTAATGCTACGTACAAGCAGTAATGCAGAAGACGTGATAAAGAATATGCAATATGTAAGACTCAAGTTATAGTAACTAAAAAAACCATGTCTATACTAATATGTCCATTGAAAAAAGGAGTTAATACTATTTTTTAAGAGTTAAATGCTTGAGCTGCACAAAGAATGTCCAAAATTAATTCATTGTTTTGTTTTTACACAACTTACCCACCATTAAGACAGCCTCTACTGCCAATTTTTAGTTTTAAATTCTAGCCATCTATGCAGAAAAAATTCCATAGGAATACTGCAGTTCAAAATCTCTGAAACTAGCTTTTAAGTTCCCTATGCCTTGTCTGCTGACAGATAAAGTCGTTGCAGGAACCTGGCATGTCATATAAGGAGTTAGGCAGTGATAATTTTTCTTGTAATAATTTGGAAAACAAAGAAAGCATTTTTGGAAGAATAACATGATTATATATCATAACTACAAAGAAGAGAGGGAATGCTTAAACCTCCTATAGATACCTGTTACACAAGAAACTGCAACATGGTAGAAGGGTTGAAGAAATTCAAAGCATGCTATGAGATTGTATTTCTCCTGTTTGGTACACAGACACAAAATAAACTGGACTTGGTGATATTCAACAAAAGATTTCTACAATAGTTACATAGAGCAATAATCTTGTAATCAATATTTGTATTACCTTCATTATGTCTCCCACATAAAATCTAAACTTAAGTGTAATAGTTAATACCAAGATTCAACCTGTTACATGACATGGCTCTTAAAACTGCTGAGAGAGAATTAAGTATTTTGAAAGGAATTGCTACAGAAAGTGAGATATCACAGTTATAGAAATCACTTGACACTGCTTTTGGACTCCACAAACGTGTCACAAGATACATCTCATGCAAGTTACACATTTAAGTTACATTTACTCACATCTAAGGACTGTCTTTTGAGCAATAAAATCAGTTACATTACTAATTAACAAGGCAGCTGATCAAATCCTTTCACTTGAGCATTCTTACTTGAGTTTGCATTAACTTAAATTTTCTGAATCTTTGAGCCAACAACAACAGGATTGTCTTTTGATATCTTGGCCCTGCCATCGGCTTTGTAATCAAAGCTGCAGTCATGTTTATCAGAATATCTGTGAAGGCCACAATAGACATTCCCACATCTGCATTCAAATCCTAACAAAGGAGAAGAAAATTAGTAACAGCAACATCTTAAATAATTTAGCACAAAGAAAAAAATGTAAATGTATTACAACAACTTATTGAAAGCAAAGGTACTGGGATCAATTTCCTTGAACAACAGACATTTTTTTTAACAATTGTTACATCCAAGAGCTCATGCCAAATACTGAATGAGTTTCTGTAATCAGTAATTTAAGCACTAGGATATACCTCTCCTTAGTTTGTTTAACAGAGTTTTAGCAAGCTGTTTTGAGCTTTTGTTTGCGCAAATTTGTCACCCCTTTGTTTGGAATTTTAAGAAGTTTAGGAGTTTTTATTTTAACTAAATGTTGTGGTTCACTAAACAAGTTTAACCCACTTTTTTTTATGGGGTTTGAACTCTAGCCTCCTTTCCACATATGAATTTTTTACAATTGCTATGAAAAATTTAGGAAAGTTGAAAGAAATTAATCAATAACTTTTTTTTTGAGGAATCACCTAAACTGTTTTCTGTTTCCTTCAGCAGAATCCATTAAAAAAACAACATTCACTATATCTTACCGGTTAATCCTACTTTTTTACGACACATAAAACATCTATTTCTTTTGGTTTTAGCTTTGTCCTTGTTATCAGACGTAGATGCCTCAGCTTGAGCTTCTGGTTGTCTTAAACTATCATTTTCTTCTCCAACACTACTAGTGGAAGATGAAGGACTCACTTCCCTTGATGCACTATCTTCAGTTGGGGGAAGGTGAGAGGTACAAGGCTCCTCAGGCAATCCTGAAAGTTAAGAAATGGCTGTTGTTTCACTTTGTTTCTCAGCAAAAGTTGTAGATTATTACTGAAGGAAATGGCATGACAAAATACAGCGAGCTGACATTCAGTTCTGCGACTCAATTTAGTTTCACTTCTTACATCAAGAGTCTGTTAGGAAGATTAATATTTCCCCTTTTCCTGTAATTAATATAGAGAAATTATCAAAATCATCGTTGTTTTCCTTAAATTAAGTAGTTATATCACACTTTTCTTTTTCCTCTCCAGGCTAACACGTCTCACATGATACTTAATGTTTCTTTCATGGAATGTAAGCATGGCACAAACATGATATTTTTACACTGTTTTTTCCCCAAAAACTATTTCACTTTCATTATTCTGCAATCAGAATGTACTGAGTCATACTTCTAGTAGTTACACAGGCAAACCAGAATTGTATCTGAATATATACCAAATTCAAAATGAGCGCACTTTGTTATCTTACAGTGACACATGTACAAGTATCCAAGGTCCACTGTAATAGGATAAATGTGTATTCCCTACTAACAAATCCAAGTCAATGTTTCACTGTTTTGTTACAATGATTGTCACAAAAATGCAAGTCATTGTCAATATCACATCTTTGATTTCATTTTAAATACATTATCTCCTTGTGATTACTCTAAGAATGCTAACTCATTCGATCCAACAAACAAACCACATAAGTGACACTGTCTATGTGACACCAATTTAGTCATGTTAGTCGACTGACCTTTAATAAATACTAAAGGCAATTTCTTTTGCATAAAAAGGCCTAAAAAGGATGCCAAGGATGTCACCATAATCAGCCTGATGCATTGATTTACAATGGAAAGGAACAAGGAGCCTTTTCCAAATTTCTCAATCAATGAATATTCAGCAAGAACTGACAGACTTGCAATTTTGTAAATTTCAGAAAAGAAAAAAAGTTGATGGGGGAATCTTCAAGATGCACATTGTGCAAAGAACTACATGTACTTCAAATAACCTTAGGTCTGACAATAACAATTCCACAAACTCCAATTTCTTACTTCAAATTGGCAATATTTTACCTCTGAAAAGTAAGAAGTCGTGTTGTCTTGTTGTTTAATTGCCCCTATGAACTTATTTCTAGTGACCTGGCTACATTATACTACATTTGTACTGTCTGTTCCAGTGTTGCCAACAGACAGAAAAGATGCCATTCAGACTACAAATCAGTATTACAACTAACCTGCTGAGGAATTTGATACAACAGCTGCTGCACTGGTTGTTGGTGAAGATTGCTTTCGCCTTAAAGCATCTTTAAAACATTTTGAACACATACCATCAGTTGAGGAACAGCCATAAAATCCGCAGCCCATGCGGCACAAAGAAGGTTGTTGTGTATCATCTGAACCTCTTTCCATTACACTGTTAAGAAGAAAAAAAATTATGAAGGTTTACCATGCAGCTAAGGTGTACCACCATGTAGCATGAAAACATTGCAGGTTTTAATTTTGATAAAATTTGTGGATAGTCCTCCATACCCAAAATACATTCCAGCAGAAAAATTTCTAGTACATCAAAGAGCCACAAAAATTAACTACCTGGAGCCAAAAAAGTGTATGCTAATTAAGTGTTAAGTCCTATTCTTTATGTCTGGACTCAGTAAAAACATTCAGCTACAAATCATTTACTGTACTATGTATTTTCCCTCTACATCCAGAAAGGAAGGAAATCAAGCAAAAACTTCTTGTTGACAGAAAAATGAAAAAATAAGCTCCAAGTGAAAATAACAGCAAAATGTGAACATGCCAATGTACAGGAAGACCTAAAATGATTGAGTTTACACAACTGTCCCTTGGTCACTGAATGTCACCTGACATGCATCTAGCTTAAACTTTGAGAGCAATTTGATACATGACTCAAAAGGACACAAACTCTAAATATAGAATACAAACGAACAAAGAAACCTGTAAAACTCTACCATGGTCTAACAATTTGTACTAAAAGTCCAAGTAACACCACTACATTTTGGAGAAAGACAAAACACAGAGCTTTCTTATTAAAGGACTTTCTCTGTATTAAAGGTTTGATTTATAAAATTCTGGCCATAGACAAATTTCTACTTATCAATTTCAGTGATAATTACATGTTTGGACCCACAAATAGAAAATGAACCCAATTTTTTGCTAGCTCAGTAAAATGCATCTTTAATTACTTACAGAGAGTAATATCTAGAATGATATCCATTTGTTTTAAATTGTGTCTCTTCAATAATATAACAACTGGAATTATACTAGTAATAGAACGGAACACCACACAAGCATAAGACAAAAACACCACACTGATTTTCACCCTTGAAATTTTGAGTAAACATTGCCACAGCACCAAAGAAATGACCACAAACTGTATACAGAGACAGCAAGAAAAGACCCTTTCAAGGGAAAGGATACATTTACACAGATCTATAACATTACATAATATATGCAGTAGATGGATAGAGAAAATAACATCTACAACTTGGCTCCTTTGATTTCCGAATACGTTTTTATGCGAGTAAAAAAAAGTTATCGAGTATGAGTTGAAAATGAAAGTGGAGACAAGGAAACTGCTCACATCATCTTCATCAAGTACACAACTTATGAAATATCTAAATAATAGTGTAGCTGTATGTGAATATTTTTCATAACGAAAGATGTTCATAACAGCAAGGCCATGAATGTTAATTTCAGCTTCATGGTTATTCCAGAAAAGATCTGAAATGATCTGAACGTTGTTGTATAAATAGTACTTTCACACGTTTTCGATTCTATAATCTGAAACACAAAATTGAGGCAGTTCACAGCAATATAACTCCAATAACCTCATGCTTGAATATAAACACGTATGAGGGGTTATTCGAAAGACAGGAACCTATCGACGGCAAGTAAAAAATGGAACGCTATCGATATATAGGCTTCATAGGGACGATGTTTTCTCTCCCTGGAGACTCCAGAAACTGTATAACGAACCATTTCTTTCGACTTACGAGAAATTAATACAACGAATGGCAAACAGTCTCACTAAACGCTTGAAATTTCTTTTCACTGTCAAAGCTCATGTTCCATTTGAAATATCACGAAATCGGAACGCATGTTTACGGAGAAAAGTTCTCTGCGGAAATGATAACACCTTCATTTGACTCCTCAGTAAAGAAACAGTTCTAGAATCGTCTTCTATCAGAATAATTAACGAATAATTTTGTTCAATAGAAAGATCCTAAAGTAAAAAACAGAGAGAATACAAACGAAGGCTAACTTCAGATGGCCGCCATGTTTGCTCAACATAAATAATTTCTCGGGTTCTCTTATGGGTCGTATATGACGCGACGCCACAAAATTAGACTTTCTCGTTTTCAAATACCTACAGTTCTCATGAAATACTCCTACATACCTTTTTCAGCGATCCTGGAGCAAAAATAGTCAATCTTGCCGAAGAAACTTTACAAATACCAAGCACATTACGAAAGAGATAGAGAACATCCGAATATGAAAGCTGTGCAAAAAGCGTACGGCGTGAAATTTCCGGCAACGTTTTGCTTCTGACATTATAATTCAAGCATCATGGGGAAACTTAAAATAAAACGAAACTGAAAGCGAACTGTAAGGACCTTTGCCATGCATTTCTATTGTGCTGGTTTTTTCCTTTCATAATCGGTCCGTGAGACCTGTTTAATCCAGTCCGCTAAACCCCAACGCCAACCATGACTCAGCCGGCCAAGAACCCCGCCAGTCTACGAGAAGAAGCTTCTTTTTCGCTTCCCTTTAAAGTTTATTCAGTTTGAAACGAAGAGCGATACATTTCCCTACGTTTACAGTTTTCAGTCAAAACACAGGCCTGTAAAAGCAAGGCTAAAACAAAGATCTTGAAGAATGTGCTGTTCGGCTACAAGCCCTTGGTCACGCGTGCTATGCATGGGGAGGGCCGACATAAGCGCCATTTGTACTTTGTATCACCTAATTCAACAACATTTAAAATATATAAAACTGCTCAAAATGAAGTTCCTAGACATTCCAGAAAGCCTGTTCTTTCAAGATTGAGGTTGCTATCATAGACTGCTGACAACAAAAGCTAAACAAATATGGCTCGCTCTTCTGCCAGCGCCCAGTGCGAATTTTGAACTTTAAGCGAGAGAAATCAGTAGTTATCATCATCTCACTATCAACTACCACAAGGAATCCATTTACTTACCGAAATTTCGGCGCTAAACGCGTTGAAATATCCCCTTAAAATCGTATAGTTCGACTTCGTACAATTCTCGCTCCCGGAAAATGAAGCGATTCCCTTTTGTTATGTGACGTCACAGTAATTCAGCTCAAGTGCCAATCACTCCCAATTAGCCGCATGTGATTGGCTACTTTAACAAAAAACCTCATTTAACCATGGGCGACTGAAAATAACTCGCAAACAGCGGGCTAAAGAAACGAAATATGACCGCAGCACTCTGGATCACATGTATTCACTAAATCTAGAGAGTTCAATCATTACCTTGTCAATATATTTTATATGATCTGTTCATTTTTTTGCGTGAGAAAGTGACTTAGATTATTTTAAGAAATCGGGGACTTTTGATAGTGTGTTTTTCATGAAATCAGTTCTTTCGATTGCAAATCAGAACACGTCACGAGTGCCTTCCGGAAGTCACGAACATCGCCTAGTCAACCTCGCTAACTTTCACGAACTATACGATCAGGTGGTGACGTCATAATATTGCGTCATTCCTCGAACAGGCGGTACTTATGTTCGACGGTTTCTACATACTCATTACACTTGGATAACATTAACATTGATAAATTTTCCGTCTAAACATGATCGGAAATGATTCCATTACTTCCTGAACTGTTTTGAAAAGTTGGCGAAGGAATCATTCAATATGAAATTGCCAAAAAAAAAAAAAGAAAATCTGCCTCCAAAACCTGAGTAACATTTCTTTTTTTGGAATATTGCCGACCAACTTTTGTGCAACGATTGCTGATTCGAAACCCAATGTTAACATGTCATTTATAGTATGTTTTAACTCTAGCGTTTCATCTCAATCGTTAGTGCTAAAATTTCAATCGTTAGTGACAAGAATCTATCATTGGTGCTAAAATATCAATCGCTAGTGATAAAACTCGATCGTTAGTGCTAAAATTTCAATTGCTAGCGACAAGAATCAATCGTTAGTGCTAAAATATTAGTCGATAGTGATAAACATAAAAATATAAATCGCTAGTGATAAAACTCAATCGTTAGTGCTAGTATCGATTTCTTATCGATTTTAACTTGAACCAGTCTCCCGCTTGTTGAGCAAAGATTCAACCATATTGATATTTTAGCACCAACAATTGAGTTTTACCACTAACGATTGATATTTTTGGCACAAATGGCTCCCCATATGTCACAAGTACACACAGCAGAGTTTTACTTGCATACCTTACTTGTTGTACGCAATAATCAACATCTGTGTACCGAGGTTTTCCGATCGTCACTGAATGTTTGGACAGATAAGAATCGACCAGCGGGTTGGGGGCGAACTGATACAAACGTGGTACAAAAAGTCCAAATTTTGGTACGGATCGACTGAATGTCCGTGGGTACGAAATGACTGGATAGCTGGCCAGCGGGGCTACGATTGGGAAACTCTCCATGTTCTACCCCAGGTCTCTCACAGCTTCGCCGCTCAACGCATCAAGGCGCACACAAAACCGCGAGGTGCGCAAAAAAAGTTAGGACTGGGTCCGTTCGAAAGGGAAACAGTTGTTTATTATTTCGAGAAAGAAAGGATTCATTAGTCTTGGATAGATGCATTCAGTATTGAAATAACGCAGGTACTCGGCTAAACATTTATTTTGGATGACAAGTATAAAAAGTTTTGTTTATTCACCAAATATAACAATTATACTAAAACTCCTTGGGTCTATCTGACGACTTTCAGTCTACTCTGTACAGAGCATCTATGGCGAGTCTCCTCGTCAAAACAGCTCATCAAGCTGTGAGTCTGGTCGCCGATGAGAAGGTTTCTCAAACTCAAAGTCCGCATTCCACTTGTTACTGGGCGAGGATTTTAAACTCTGAAGGTGGGAAAAAAGTAGCAAAACGTCTCTGAACGATTGTGTAGTAAAAACTATAGATGCGGGCCACCATACTCGTTCATGATCGACTTAGGAGAGCGGCACAATCTTGCTCAGGAACATAAAAAGACGATCTCGATCAGAGATCGAACCAGGACATTTCGATCAGGACGCCGGCGCGTTAACCATTGAATGAACGCAATTCTCATGTAAAAATAATTCATTCCATGTAATTATTATAGAATAAGAGTCTCTTGTCATCGAAATATCAAAGATATACGAAGACATTATACCTTCCCCTCTTCCCTCTTCCCTCTTCCCTCTTCCCTCCTCCCCCCCGGCAACTAATTCTTAGAAAACAATGGTCCTATACCCTGGAGATTAAAGGCATGGTTTTCATTAGTAAAACTTACCGACTTCCGCTTAGTCTTTAAATCGTTTCCGGAATCCGATGTTGCCCATAAGTTAGCGACTAAAAATATAAATAACAATGAATACACGAACAATTAAATGAATGAACAAACGTACACACGAGTGAATGAAAGTACGTTCCCAGAAAAAAGGCTAGAAGGTAACAAAGAGTTAAATTTGGATGAGCAACAAAAAAAAGTGCAGTTTCTACATTCAAGAAATATCCATTTTGTTACTTAAACATTTGACAAGGAAATAGGTGGTTGCAGAATATATAACATTGTTTAGCCAAGTCTCACAAAGTGTCATTGCAAACCTGAATCGGTGGAGACTCTGCGTTTCTGTTTGGATTTAGATCCCGACAGGGACGATACAACTACTTTATCTTCGTCGTCGTCGTCATCATCATCATCATCATCACTATCATTGAACTGAGCTAGAGTTTTCCGGGGGGACTTTTTGCTTTTGGAATCTTTTGACGAAGCAGTGGAAGAGAAAAAGCTATCCAGGCTGCTAACTATCGATCCACGTTCACGCTTTTGTGGCGCTGGAGCTGAAAAGAATATTATAAACTTAAGGTTAAAAAAATATGGAAACAAGAATACAAGGCAACGATTTACGGTGGTTTCCCTCTACGGGCAAATTGATCGTGTATCTCCAAGAAATGACAAACACAAAACATCTTCTTACTTTCTTCAGCTAACAGGTGCTGAAAATAGACAAACTTATCAGATTCTCGGACCTAATATCCAACGAAATGTTCAGCAGCTAATAAGGGAGAATGACCCACTCGATTCGAAGTTTGTATCTCACAGGTCACGGAAAATCTCGAAGCAAACGGACCACGTTTAGTTACAGTTCTTCTTCAATATCACGACTGATTTAGATGAGGATAATCAAAACAAGGAATATTCCAAATGGCAAGAAAATACATAATTCAAGTGCGTACGCACTGAAGATTTCAATTCGATACAGTTGATATCGGAGAAATGACGGTTAGGAAATCTTGGTATTTACAGACAGCTGTATATAACTATGTGAGTGAAAAAATATGCGAAATTTCTAAATATTTAAATTTAGGTTTTCTCCGCTAAGAAATCACTTTGCTCACCAAAATTTTGTAGGAGACAAATAGAGAGCGGTTTATTTAGGTACTGCTATAAAATTTCTGCTTAGTTCACTATGAGTGTTTCTAAGGGCGTTATAAGAAACCGTTGAAATTACATGGAGACTTACAATCACCCAGCGGTGAACTACTGTAAGAAAGGGATTGAGTGACGATACAAAAGGAAAACAAAAACTCAAACACACAAGTAAATATAGAGTATCAAAAGCTTAGTTCTCAACAAAAGAACTCCCGTATAGATTTACTTACGCGTGCTTGCGGATGATTTCTGTGTAAGACTGGAACGAGCTGGCTTCTTATCATTCTTAGTCTTTCTACCTGTCACGACTACGTCATCGTCATCACTTTCTTCCTCTGAGCCCACGGGCAAACTGGATTTCCTTGCGCTTGAAGAATGGAAATTCCTCGCTTCTCCACTATCACTGCCTCCACTACGATCTAAACTTGGCCTTTTGCCACTTAGTGGCCTCTTAGATAGTGACAGACCTGGTCTCTGAGGGACTTCGTCCTTATGAGAGTCGAAGACTTCCCTTGAGCTGGACGCGGCAGAGCTTATCGCTTGGCCTGACCGCTGAGAAGAAGGTCGCTGTTGAATGAATCCTTTGTTTTGCGATCTACTTGATCGAGAGACAACTGCGTCGTCGTCACTTTCTTCCTCTGAGCCCAGTGGCAAACTGGATTTTCCTATGCTTGAATATCGGGATGTCCTCTCTTCTCCACTGTCACCGCCCTCACTGCGATTTAAACTTGGCCTTTTGCTACTTAGTGGCCTCTTCGATAGTGACAGACCTGGTCTCTGAAGGGCTTCGTCTCTACTGGAACCTAAAACTTCCCTTTGGCTGGACGCGGAAGAGCTTAGCGGCTGGCCTGACTGTCTGAGAGAAGGTCGCTGTGGACTAAATCCTGTGTCTAGCGATCTCCTTGGCAAGGAGACAATCGCATCGTCCTCATCGTCTTCATCATCGCTGTCGACGATCTCAAAGGTTTTTTTTATCGGTTTCTGTCTGATATCTTCCAGTGTAGAATCATTGACGCGTCCGCCTGATCTCGTTTGAATTGATCTCGTTCTCGACGGACTAGTTACTACAGCATCATCCTCCTCACTGTTTTCTGAGATGTTTGCAAATCGTGGAGCTGTGATCAAACTCCGCCTTGGGCCTTCAAGAGAAACAGAAAGGTAAAGTAACTGAGCTGTTGCAATGAACAAACAATCCTTAGTTGATAATGTACGTGGCTTAGTTGATAATGTATGTGACGTGTAAAATTCCGCGCAAGTGTAGCGGTGAGATATTCGCTGTTGAAACTTTTTAGCAATAAATATCTTGTTATCTATCTTGCCTTCCTTGCCCTGTGAAAAAATAAAATTTACATGCCTTTTCTGCTTCATTTGATATGTAAAGAGACTTTAAGCAACAAAAAAACAAAACAATGTACATAGAGCGACAAGTGTGCTAGTGCAAGCTTTTTCAAATTTCCCTCAATTTCATCCTTTCCACGGCGTTGAGGGTAGCGCATCTCCATTAAAACATCAATACTAAAACAAAAATAACCGGACAAGAAATTTTCGATGTTTCTCACAATATCACAAATTGCACAATTATACAACGATGAACAATCGCTAATTAGCGAAGATGATTAGACGACGCAAAATTAAGTGGTGAGACGGGTGATTATTCGTATATTAATCGTGTTTGATTATGAAAGGAAGGAACAAATTTGATGCGGTTGAAGTGTGGTGAAAGCATTTCTAGATTAACAACAAAGGTTGCAGTTAGCGTCATTGCTGGTGTTCCTGAGGTGGAAAGAACAACTGTCAGTCTTGATGATTGATTGCCATCAGGGTGGTTATTTTACAACGTTAGCACTGAGTAGTGAGGAGAAGCAGCAAGTATGTTCAGTCATCTGTCCGCCGGAAGTAAACATACCCTCCTCGTCTATGAGACTTTTTTCCTCTTTGGCTTCCTTCTTCGCCGACTCCTTCTTGGCTTTTTTCGTTTCGCGTGGTTTCTTTGATTCTTTTTTGTTTCTTTCCTCAGAAGTTTCAGAGTTCAACTGATTAGAACTCATTTCCTCGCTATGAATTTCCTTTTTATTTTTTACTGATCGCCCGATCACGACAGCGTCATCATCAGAATCAGATTCAGTCGGATCACGTGCAAGTTCTGACGTAACATGTGCTTGATCACCTGAAAGCCCTGATGGTGCAAGTGCATTATCACGTGCAGGTGAAAATACTTTTAAAGGTGCAAGTTTTACTGGTTTATCAACAGAAAGTGGAGCTGATTCGAAGATCGATCAAAAGTTAATGAGGAAAGCGCCAAACTGCCTACATCATTTATAATAATAATAGTAGTAGTAGTAGTAGTAGTAGTAGTAGTAGTACTACTACTACTACTACTACTAATAATAATAATAATAATAAAAAAAAAATAAAAATAATAGTAATAATAACAATAATTACAATAATAATAATGATAGTTAACAACTATCACCATTTCTCTCGATAGACCGAAATATGTTCGGAAATTAAACCCTTAACGCGCGATTTTGTCTCAAAATTCTACTAACGGGACATGTTGAATGTGGCGAGAACCGCTATGTACAATAACGGGATTTAAAAACTTAAGATGTATTTGCCTGAACCAAAAGCATCTATTTAAATGTATTCCTGTAAAAGCCTCATTTCAGCGAAAAAGGCTACACTTAGAAACTACATTTTGAACCATTAAAAGTTACTAGCTTTTACGTCTGACTACCATTTGTTACTAAGGCTATTGTCACGACGAGCACAAGCTAACCTGTTAAACTTGATCTCCTCAGACCTGTTGTAGCCGGTTCTGGGTGTCGTTTGGGGCTGGAAGATCTGGTCACCAGACCTTCATCAGAGTCGGGCTCGGAGTCGCCCAGGTGGTGACTGGAACTGAGAACAAGGAACATTCTTACCGTTAATCACTACTTTATAATTTAGATGTACCTTCATCGGCGCCAACATGTTTTCGTAAAACTAACCACAGCCTCATTAATTAATTTCCTTGAGGAACCTAAATGAACTTGAGTTTATCTATGAATAGTGTATACTAAAATAGCGTTGACGGCGCGCTCTGAGTGGCTACTCCAACCCCCAATATCCTTTGCTATTCACTTCCGTTATACTATCTCACTGTTCTGTTATATAATTAAAAATATATACCCCACGAACCACCTCAACTTCGCTGAATAATTGTTAATTATAGAGTGCAATGCCTAAAACTACCCTCTAAGTGAACAAAGGGGGTAATTTTCTAAAGAAACTGTGGTGCTGTGTCGCTGGGAGAGTAAAACAGGGTAATTAAGTATTATCAACAGAGTTGATAACGTAAATTGGCCACCGTAAAGACTTTAAAAGCTGACGTTTCGAGCATTAGCCCAGTCAGCTTTTAAACTCTTTACGGTGGCCATTTTACTTTATCAACTCAATTGATAATACAAAATTACCCTGTTATACCCTCTAAGTGACTTACCTTCCTCTCGTTCTCGTATCACGTGATGTGATTTCGTCCTCTTCAATGTATCCAAGGTGTTTTTTTCTTGCTAAGTGCGCTCTCATTGCTGACTGAAGGGCCACGACAGCGTCATCTCGGTCTGTAAATTCCAGTTCTTTATCAAGCTGTGCAATGTACTTATTACGTGCCGCTTGTCCGCGCAAGGCAGCTTGAATCTGTGTTATTGCCTGGAGAATAAGAAATGTCAAAGAATTTTCCTAGTAAAATTGTACAGCAACAGTGGAAAGTTTGCGAAATGTGTGGAGGGGGTCCCCTTTTCGCCTCCACCTCGGCAGCTTTCTGCACATGTAAAAGTGCAATTGGGCGAATGAGTAAGAAAAAAAACCATTACCTCTTGTTTTGATTCTTCATCCATTTGTTTGGTCTGCAAGTGAATGAAAGCGTCAGTACTGAAGTAAAATATGATCTTGATTTTTGTTCAAAACAATCCTTTACTTTACCGCAACAACTCCTGTGGGATCAAACATTGTAATGGCGCATCATACCAAAGACAACATTTAAGTAGTTATTTCCCTTTTCCAAAGAGAACGTTCAGTCTAGGCTGCCTTCAAATCAATTATTTGGCAATACAGTCTAATGCATTTTTAAGCTTCTGTTTAGGTTTGGTGTGACAAGCCAGAGAACCTTCAAGTAACAAACAAGTAAGGCTTCTTTGCAGTAAATTTTTATTTCGAAGAGTCAAGTGTCGACGGTAATTCATTATTGAGTAAAACTTCCTTCACCGCGCCATGGAATTGGGCGAGAAAACTCACGCCGCCCTCGCAAGAAAGCAAATGCACGACCAAAATGGTCACTCCCGTTTTCCTGCGCTTCGCGCAGTTTGCTTGTTTTCACCTTGCTTGTTACTTGGCTCCTAGCAAAGTTTCCTTCGTTCTGGTTGGCCGTACGAAATGCGCTTATCAATCCTGTGTCACAGGACGTAATCCTCCTATTTTAATGTGCCTCACGTACCTTATCTCTGTGTTTCCGCCAATTTTTCTGTAATGTTGTAGCAGCTTGATTTTGTCTCTCTACTGCCTGTCTATCCTGTTTTTCTATTTCCATTTTCCTTCCCTGATATCCTCTCCATTGTCTCTGAAGAGCCTTAGCGGCTCGTTGCTGTTGGAATTCTTTCAACATGCCATCCATCTCTTCATCGTTACCATCCTGAGGCGGCACCTCTCTAACGGATGACTTCCTCCTTGGACTGCAAACAGATAGAAATTTAAAAATAATAGTAACATTTTCACAGTCCTAAATTTTTTCCGCGAGATGAATGGCGGTATTTAAAAGAACCGGAGCATTAAAATCGATACAAATGGGAAATCTTAATACAAACAAAGAAAACATTTCAGGTAACCAGTAGCAACTAAGAAACAAATTCTGTACCTTGCTGAACTAGTGGATGATCTTCTATCTCCAACAACACCCTTCTCTTCTCTCAGTCTGTCAAGATCTGCTTGAGTGGACTTCAACTGCACTCTGGTTAATTAAGAAGAGAACGGTCAATAACTTATGTTCAAAAGCAGAAAAGACACACGATAATTCTTGAATTCCCTAAGCTGTTCTAACATAACATTCTAATTCACCTGAGATCATCGGCGACTTCCCTGTAATGAGCACGATCTTCTTTCAGCCGTTGAATGATCTCCCGTTGCTTTTCTCTCTCTTCTAAGAGTTCAACTTCTCTTTCTTGCAGTTGAGCTAGTTTCTGGGATGTGGTTCCCTTCAGCTCCAATCTTCCTGGCACTGAATTGAGAAAAAAAAAGCAGTCGCTCTTACAAATCATTCAATTACTTGTGCGAGTTCACCGCATCATCTTTGGATGAACTGTTTTCTTCGTTTTCACTCGCCAAAGGCCCACCACATAACCTTCAAATGACTGCACGCAAACAATGGTCTTCTCAAACGTCTAACTGATACCGTCTAACCATGCATTGCTATATGGGTCAGATAAATTATGCCGGCATATTTTTGGGCAAAATGCTCCAATCAGAACATCAATGCCGGCATAATGAGTAAACTTCTTAAAAAATTTCACTTGATGTTACAGTTCAACAAGGAATAAATTCTGTAGCCTGAGTAATTTTAACAGTGAGCGTGCTTTCCTTGCTTGCACTCTACGAATTTGACCGGGTAAAATGTTGTGTTCTAAATTTCCTTGAGCCTTTTATTATCAGCAAGTTTTATCTGTTGATGGTAGGATGTGGGAAGAGGCTCAAGGGCTCCCTAAAGCTGTTCTTTTGAATTATTAAATTAAGCATAATGAACTCGTTTATCGCAAAATGTCCGACAAATCACAGACAAATTACGGCGTAGTTTGTCTGTGTCTTGCCACTGGCATATCACAATATCACACTCAGCGTCGTCCAATAATTGTTCATCTTTCTATACATCCTTTGTTGTGTTATCAATTTATTCCTTTGTGCTTTCCATTGTTTTTTTTTCTTTTACTTACCTTCAGCAGTGACCTTAGAGGTGCTTTTTCTTCTCACTTCTTCATCCTCTTTACCTTCAACTAAGGGTCCTTTCCTAGTTTGTGTTTTCTTTCCGTCGGCGTCTTGAATTTTCTGCAAATGTTATACAACAATATGAATTTAAATGATAGACTCTTTGAAAGGGAAACTATTACCAACTAGTTAAACATTAATAAAACCCTGAGGTGGTTGCTCAGTTCGTATGTCTGACCCGTCTAAAATGGGTGTATGTCGAATGTGGATTGTGTATTAAACCCATCAATCTGTCTTCTGTTTTCGCAGCCATCGTTATCTCTGTCTGTCTTCGCTTCCCACTGTCCTTTCTCCTGTCAGTCGATCTGCCTATCTCCGCTTGTTTTCCCGCCTCTTCAGATCAAGGTGTTTCCTTTTCTTAATATAAGGTAACTTTCACTCACTTCTTCCAATTCATGAATCTTCGCGAGAAGTTGTCCACGGTTCATGTCCGCATATTCAGCTGAAAATAGGAAAGAAAATTCAATTTTATAGATAATAGAGAAATAGACAGAGACGCATTCTTGAAGTTGTTTTAAGGGGCTGATAACAAGTCAGGATGGTATTTTACGGAGTTTTTTTAGGAGGGAAACACGGAGAACAGGAGAAAAATCCCCCGACGAGGACGAAGACAAAACCCAAACTCAGCTCAGTTGAATCGAGTGCGAGGCCAGGTCTTAAATTCATACCCAGGCCACACTTATGGGAGGTAAGCTCTTTAATACCACGGACTTAAAAAAACGTAGCACAATGAGAATAATCTGCGAAGATGATCATTTGGACTGTGACAAATTAGTTTCATTGATTTCCTTTAGGTTGTATCATAAAATTGCCATCACAACTTAATATTTTAAAATGAGGTGTACCTCTAAGAGTAGTCTTTTTGTCTGAACTCGACGCATTTTCAATCGCTGTCAACAGATCTTTCCTAAGAGCGCGATTATCAGCTTTAAGGTGTTCGTTTTCCTCTGAAAAGCAAAAAAAGGGCCTTAGTTAGAAATGGTCCTGTCCTACACCAGGACTATCGCTAATAGCTCGTTAGAGTATGCGTTTCAGCATATTCAGTTTTCACTCACAAGTTATTCTAAATCTTGTGAACTAAAGTAACAGTAAAAGCAATTTTTGTTCGATCAAACCTGCTAGCCTTTGAAGAGAAACGTTCGAGGGCTTGGATCCTTTGGTTCCTTTTGAAAGAGAACTATTCCTTGGACTGCGAGAAAGACATAAAAACATTTAAATACCATCAGAAAACAAACGAAGATAAGCATTACAACAATTTGGGAGGAGGAGGGGGGGAAGGTTGCGTGGGTGGTTGGCTGTTCTACCGAGATTTTGAGGGTAGAAAAGCCGCGAGAGGAGTGGGAAGGAAACTATCGTAGCTCCGCTACTCGTTATGTATCCCAGCTGCCTTTAGTTTCACCGTGCACCCAGCGACTAAAGAAATACCTTGAGGAGAGTTCATGCTCGGAAGTGGCATATGAAATATTTCATTCATCTTGAGATTTTCCTTTCCCACAATCATGATGAGAAGTAGAAAAACTCTGTGGTTGATATACCAAGAAAAGCGACAGAAAAAACTACATGAATGTTTCCCTCAACTACCTCGTCATTCCGAAAGAACCGTTCAACTGAGATTGCTGCATTTCTATTAGAGCCAATTGTAATCTTTGAACCTGTGGAAATACAACAGAAACACGAGTTGAAATCGTTTCAGACTAAAAATAGGTTCCATGTTGCCGTGTGTCTGTTTAGCAATAGATCATAAATGACTTCAAAATGAGTTAAGAACAAAAAAGAGTCGCAAAAGGCGCCGTAGAATGTCACTAATGTTATTACCACATTTTGATATCTTCTGTGATCTATTGCTAAACAGAATCACGGCAACGTGGAATTTATTTGTGTAATATGATAACAGAGTAAAATTTCGTTAATGGTGACGTTTGTCCTTCAATAGATTACAAGAATCAATTAAAATGCGTGTACAATTCAGCTTATTGTGTAAAATAACATTAAAGGAATCACGACCAGCAGAAAGATTCTGTTTCCTAACTGAGGACTCAGACTTCAGTCATTAAACAACACCATCACAATTTACCTCTTGGTAATATGTTTCACTCTGAATTTGCAGCTCCTCAATATTTGTCATTTTTACATCCTTTTTTAGCTGACTGGAATAGAAATAAAAATAAAAATTAAAAACACAAAATAACAAAAACAACAATAACAACAACGCAGATAGAAAATTTGTTGTGATTGCTACATATGAGTTCTGCACCCTCTACTAGGGGAAGGGAAATTAACTTTCAGTGATCGAAATTTAAATTCTTTTTACTGTCCGCTACATATTTCAAATAATTTTCATGCTAAGAATTTGACGTCAGATCAAACAATAATTTCTAGTGGTTTTTTTTCCTTCTTCTAACTACTTTTCTTTGTGGTAACCTGTGGGAGAAAAAGTGTTAACTCAGAGGAGCCCGAATGGTCTCTCTTGGGAACATTTAGCAGCCATCAGCACCAATTTAGTGTTAGAATTTAACCTTAATTCTGCTTCTTTGTCCTTGACTGTTCTTTCTACTGCATGGAGCTTCTGTTTTAAACTATTCACAATCTGAAAATAAGAAGTATATCTGGTCTAAATCTTGGTAATACATGTCATATACTTTGATCAGATTGACAAAGTAAGGCAGGGTCAGAGCACCAAGTAGCAGCTGACTCTAAAATTAAAAAAAAGGAAGCCTTTGGATTATTTGGAAAATCCAATTGTCTAGAGGCAGACCAGTTGGCTATTTACACAGCGCAGCCGAGGAGTTTAACTCAGGGCAACCAAGAACAAATCTAGTGAATGGCAGGATGTAGGACTTGAACCTGGGACCACCAGATCACAAGTTCAGCACCCTAACCACTGGGCCACGCTATCTCCTACTTGTCCTTAGGATGCAATTCAAACTGTGTCGTTGTGTTGTGTTCTTGGGTAAGAAACATGACTCTGTAACAAAAACTACAACACAGAATGCTGAAAGGTAGTGCACTAGCATCCCAACCAACAAGTTTAGAAATAATTATGGCTGCTTGTTGCTTCCAAAAACCAAGATGAGCTCTGTCAGTGCAGGCCACTTGGGCTGAGGACAGTCTTTTCCTCTACTGCTAGCAAATTGTCAGGGAAACTTGAAATATTTTGGGGTGGGTGGGCAAGGGAATGACAATCTATTAAAAGAGAAGAATTAAAACTCTGTAATTGTATGAAGTTAAAACTGGAAAAACCTCTGGCAACAACAAACATTTTGGCATGTTAACCTGTGTGAATTCCATTTTGGGTTCCCTCCCTCTTAAATATAAAATGCAACCTCAAAATTTTCGTACATATTTTAATCATGCTTGTAAATACAACTGCACATGAACAGTGTATTTGCAAACTTTACAAATGAAATCCTAATAAATTTAGGGTTTGTTATTGTCCTGCACAAGCATCTGACCACTTACAGCACTGGTGTCTCCCTTTTTGTCTGTCAATGTTCTTCTGACATCTTCAGGCTAAAGTACAAATAAAATCAAAACCCCATCTATTATTACTGTATTACTGCAATCATTATTTGTCAAGGTTCATATATATTGTTTTCATTACCTGCTGAATTTAATTAATTTATACTTAAAACAATTATAACAATAAGAAAATTAAATCACTATACTTTAACTTTCAAGATCAAAATGTTAACCATGTTGGCTCAATTTTGCATTAAGATATTAATTTTCACACACAATCTTGTCATATACCTGCTTTCTTGTATTCAAGAGGTCTTCCATTTTTCTGTCCTGTAAATAAAGGACAAAAATCTCCACAGTTATTATAACTGATAAAATAAAATTGGCTTAATTTTATATCCTTATTTTTAATTTAATAAAAAGTTATACATATCCAGGAACCAGAATAGAAAAAGAGAAAATTTAACCACAAAATAACCTTTTCAAGAATTTTTTATCAAATTTTTCCAAAGCAAACCATTTTGCTGACTGTAAATGACAAGTGGTGGAGTTGGGCTAATGAAGTTCTTTGACCCCTAAGAGTAAAAAGCATCTGAGTTTGCCTTACAATATCACCCTTGAATCAAAAATTAAGGTCATGAGAATAAAGGAAATGATCACCAACTAACGAAGCTCTTGATTGCTAAACAAATTCTCCACATCAGCACCATAGGAAATGTATAAAGAACAGTATGGAGAACTTCCATAATGGTGTTAGGGTGTAAAGAACTAAAGGATTACTAACAGTAGAAGTGTACACTGCTGCTGATTCAGATACATGATAATAAATATACTCTGAACTCACCTTCAAGACATTCTCTCCTTCCACTCTGCGGAGTTTTGTGTTTAGAATATTGTTTTCTGCTTTCAAGGCATTTATGATCTGAAGGATTTCATAAAAACCAATCGGTTTTAAATGAGAAAGACTAAACAGCCACCACTAAAAAGAAAAACAACTTTTTTCTCCTTAATAAACAGCTTGATGATAAAGAGCATAATTAAATCAATTGTGGCATCAAATTTCTCATTGGCAGGCAGTCAGTTGACACCAACAAGAGAGTATACATAAGAAAAGAATCACCTAGTAATAAAAATATTTTGTCAGTTCTAGAGTTTTAAAAAGGAGATTTTCACAAAGAATGTCCAACACACTGTAGCACAGAGAAAATTTCTGGATAGGTTTAAGTGCATGACCTGTTGCAAACAACAGAGTTTTGATTTTGTAAATAAAGAATGATCAGAGTGAAGAGAGACAATGCAAAATAACTGTGATGGCAAACATGTTGCTTGTGTGTTTGAAATCTTAGCTTCCTGCAGCTTACCTTTTTTAACTCTATGATCTCATCATAGTAGTCTTCCTGTGGTTTATATGCAGGACCACCAATAGACAACTGTGGTTCACCTTAAAATGAAAAGGTTACTTTTCATTATGATTCTCTTGGTCAGTAAAGGCTTGTTTATAGCAAAAAAAAAAAAAAAGAAATAAAAAACATATCCACATTGTGAAAAATTTACATGGATGGAGGGAGTAAAACTTACTTGCAGACATACTTGCACTTCTGACATGATTCTTATTTTTTAGATCTTCAATCTAGAAAAAGTTAGATGAACTTTAATTATTTAATATCCACAACAATTAGTTTACCAATAGCTTTAGGTCCATTAGTACTGAGAGAGGTCTTCACTGATATGTTACAAAACCAACTCAGATTGGAAACGGATTTACATGCATGGCCACCTGGTACATTTTTCTCTAAAACACACTTACAGAAAAATATATCAGGTATTTGAACTCCCTTTTCAACCTAATTTAGTTGTGTGCACAAACAAACACTACTCAGTCAGTCAACTCCATTTGGTTTGCAGTCATTGATCCATTAGGTACTCTTACAATTGCCACCCTCAGATTGATGTTACCCTTTAAAGAATGTTTTCATTAGTGCTACAATTGCTGCTTTATAATTAGTCCAGATCATACCTGGGAAATGATATTTTTACCAGTATTACTCCACTTCCAGCCACTTCAAATTTTAGGAAGAACTTACCTGAACATAATCACTTAGATGCCTTGATCTTGTTCCAGTTTTATTCTGTTTATTTTGTGAAGCTCTTGAACCTCCCCAAGTCTTTATGGGGGAATTTTCTGTACTCAGAGCTAAAAAGATAAAAAGTCAAGAGGGTGTTTAATCTTAACTCTAGATTTGCTTTACTTTGAACTGATATAGACCAATCATATAACAAAACATTATAGGACAGTAAGGCTTAGTTTGACAAGTTATGGCAGACTATCAAAATATATAGTTTTTACATTAACTTGTATAAAATTCTGCAAGGTGCGTCTGGAACAGGAAGAATATAACCTAGTAGACAATACGTCACTCACTAGCAGTTCCATTTCTCATTGCAGTGATCCACATGTTTCTTGCAGTGGGTTTGGGAGGCTGCTGTTTTGATGAGCTTTTCAGTTGTAAACTTGAATATGGTGACTTTCCTGGAAGGACAGAATTACATATCAAGCCTTATCACTCTTTGTGTCAAACACAATAGGGTTGTTTTAAAGAGATGGAACATAATTTTGATGCCCAATATGAACTATCAAGAAGTAAACAAAGAAAAACGCCATGCACCATCCATTCTAATTTAACCACTTCACTCCTAGCCATACAACTCTTATGACATTGGTTTAGAGATTTTGGTACTCCATCAACTGCTGACCCCTTTGTTGATATTTTTCTTTACTGTCATCACTTGTCTGCTTGATATTGTATTTGATATATAATAATTATTGTAAGGAGAAATTCTTTCTTGGTCACTCATGAGAGTTGAAGGGTTCAATAACACAAATATTGAGCTTTTGGAGAGGACTATCCATGCATGGCAAAGTAAAGAGTAAAGGAACATACAGTAAAAAAATTATTTCCATAAAGAGCCTAAAAAAGTTGGCCAACTTTTCTAAGATTTGGATGGATTGTTACAAATGCACAGGTGTATCACTTGTGACACTACTCAAATTTAAATGATCAAGGGCAAAATGTGAGAAGATGAAATAAAAAACATTAACTGTGGTAACATTGATAAACATCACCATTCAATTTTCAGAAGAACCTGCCAATCTCAAAAATGTAACAGAAAACAGAGTAGGTTGACTTAACTCTCTCATCTAATTGTTTCAAAGTCATTAGTGTATACAAATGCATCAAGATGTCACAAATGAAAGAATGCCTCACCAACTTTTGATCTTCTGCCTTGAACTGACTTTGACCTCTTAGAGCTCCCTGGGTGTGTAACATAGACATGATTAAGCCATTTCACCTTAACATCAGTATGACTATTCTTCCTACTTCTCTCTATAAATTTCCTAAGGTGCTGACAAGGAGAATTTGTTTAATAATCAAAAGCTTCTTTAGTTTGTGATCATTTCTTTTATTCTTGTGACCTTAATGTGTGAATCAGAGCTGACATTGTAAGGAGAAATTAGATGCCAGTCACTCTTAGGGGTTACAGGGTTAAACAAAAGGAAAGTACTTAAAAGTAATGAAGTGAATATTCCCAGCTGGGCCACTGATATTCCAATTTTATTGCAGACAGAAAGTTTGAGCATGATTAGTACTAAGTACTCTATATTATCTCACCTGACGGAGGTCTGGGCATGTGTCCACTTCCACCAGATGCAGCACTGCCCTAAATAGCAGAAATTCAAGCAAATAACAACTTTTAGAAAACTGTGAAAGTATTGATCTGATCTGGAGACTTCTATCATGTATTGACTAATCAAAAGGAATTTCAGCACAAATGGGCAAACTTTACAACCGTTTCATTTTTTTAGACTTACAAAAAGGTTCCAGAGCTATTTTGTTGGACTACAGGTGTACATATAGTTTCATAGTACTTTAACTCATTTTTTTTTAAATATTAAGATCATAAAAGAGGTACAAAATAACACAAAGTTTACACATCTATTTACCCTAACTTTATCCATAGTTACAGAGTACACTGCCTAATAAACCGCCTGATCCCAAACATTTGCAGTGAAAGATCGAGCTGCATACAACAGATAACATTCACTGTAATCAAGACCTTTTTGAAGTTTGGAAATATTAACATCATATCTTTAAGAGGCTTACCACTGAGATCGTAGAGCCATTAGACACATCAGAGTATGCGTCCACATCCTGAAATAGTCACATAAAACTTTCAGCACATGATAAATGTTGACTTATCAGGTGTAAACAACTGAATGCTCACCAACAGACAACCATCAAATAATATTTTACGGCACAATGGATTGGAACGACGTTTCACCTACCTCGACTGTAACACCTGGGATTGGCATGGGTTTTATCTATCACTCAAAGGAGATCCTCCTTTCCTCACGATCTTAAAATCATTGTTTCAAATCATGAACTCAATCACAATAACCACTAATTTTGGAAGGCAACGAATTCAAATGTTAGTAGTTGTGATCAACGAATCAGTCCTCTTGTTCTCTTATCATTGCAATATTATAAGTATTTAAAAGGGTGTTTAAGGAAGTTTTAAAAGAGTTTTAGGCCAAAGAAAGATGAAAATTCCGTTTGATGTAAGAAAAAAAACAGTTGTGTGGTTGCCCTGTAACCATCTCGGAAACGGTGACTACGCCTGCGATAAGGCAAGCTATTGTCAGCAGTTAACTGTGAGGAGAATGGGTACCTCATTTACCGGTAATTTAATGTAACTTATTCTCTAGCATTCCTCATTCGAGACCATCGAGAGGGCAGGGCTTTTCTATCCTGAAACTCCGCTCTGAGAACAAGCATTTTTGCACGTAAAGAATTTTAAAAAATTAGCCCGATTATAACCGAAATTTAAGAAGATATCCGTCGTCACAGCCACGTGAAAAGTTCCAATAAATCCGCTTCTGCAGACCGCTCTCAGAAATTGTATGTCAGGGTAGATTTTGTCCATCTTTTTATTGCAGTTTATACCCAACTCAAGTCACTATAATAGGGGAAACGTTGAGGATTTTGGGATATACAAAGATTCTCCTTTATTTATTTATTTATTTTTTGTCTTCCTTTTTTTTATACCCAAGTTGAGACTCTTTTCCATTTTCTCGGACCAATTTAATTCGGGCGATAATAAGTAGGCATAGTATCATATTTTCTATTGCCCAACCCCACCCCATCAATTTCCAGTAGTCCACTCCTAATGACTTGTTTACTCAGTGTAACTCGTGCCTCACTGCTTAATTTACTCATGTCAGGTCCACTTCATCGCGTGTAACAGCACGTTCGTCGTTGTTGTTGTTTGTGTCAAGATGGCGGTATTTGATGCAAAATTTGTCAAAAAAAAAACATACTCGGGTAGTGCACGCTATAATGAAGCTCGAAAATCATTACAGTCCTCAGCCCTCAACTATGGCTGCAGAGGCTATCTTTGTACCCTCGTATACTCATGGTCAATACGCGCATCTGATTGGTCAAAAGTTTGATGTCAACGTTACAGTTCACGCGCCAAAAAAGGGCGACTGCTCCGAAAATAAAATTTCGTTCTCAGCGTTTAACTCAATGCACAGTAACTCTAGCTTTTTTCAATTAGGCGCGTTAAAAATTAAGCTAAAGGCCATATCAGTTTCTGCTACCATCCTTCGTTTCATCTTGGAAAACGAAACGATGGCATTCAGGTACAATTATTTGTAGTAAAAACTATCGAGAGGTTGAAAATAGTTGTGTTCACTGGCTAAACTTTTCAGGTAAGACCATACTGCAGCCCAAGAAAACTTCGTTACAACTTTTCTTTTTAATCGTGGGTCTCCTAATTACAAAATATTCTCAATAAATTAAAGAAAGAATCAAGGAACATGATAGAGATATCTGATTCGCGAATAACCTCTGCCGGCAGAGCGCGCCCCCCTCAAAACATACCTGGCTAAGAGAAACTACCCGAAAAGCATAATTGACAACCGACTCTCAAAAGTGAAAATTGAGAGACGTAAACGGGCCCTCCTTCCACAGGGGAAAACAAATAATCAAATCTTACCCTTTGTAGTAACACAATACTATCGAACCGTTCCAAACCTTCAATAAATTCTTATGAGGAAGTGGCATTTAGTACAGCAACAACCATTGCTGAAAGAAATCTTTAAAGGACCGCCGATGCTATCATACAGAAAGAGGCGTTCACTCAGACATACTCATGGCAGCAAAATTATAACTGACGAAGGTGAGAAAACAGGAGATACTGTGGAGTCGTGTAAACACTTGTAACTAATACAGAGAAAACAGGACGTACTTCTGAGCCATTTAGGCCTGTCAATCCCAATTTACACGGGTGCATCAATTAAGCCCATTTCTAAAGCAAATTGATACTTTTTAATTTCTCGGGTGACTCGTAACTTGAGCTGAATTATGATCACGCCTATACACGTCCTATCCCCTATTTCGCTTTCAAAACAGAGTACATCCCGGCCCTATTTTCATCTCGCGTCTCACCTTTAAAATTTTTCATATCCCACAGCCCGCCTCGGGTTTAAGCTTCATCCCGCATCCTGCCAAACCCATGTTGGACCCTTCGGTAAAGTCCATTACATCCAATCAGTTCACCGAAAGGAACTCTGTAGTGATAGAGAGGAGATTGGGAATCACGAGACCCTGCATGCCTGCCATACAGTTGTGCTTATGGGGTCTTGCGAAAAAAAGAACGAATGAAAGCCTAGAACACAGCATCGAACACAATTCCGCTGAGAGCCTTTCCACACGTTCACATCAGTTTTCAATCTTCGAATCAGTACCTATGTTTAAAATAATTAAAAATTACGGACAAGAATAAGGAATTTTTTTAAGAACTAAAGATAGCAAATCCAGAATTAAGAAGCTTAGAGAGCGGAGAAAAGGGAACACAAGTAGCATAGGAGGCTTTTCACTGAAGAGGATTAATCACTTTTACGGTACATACTTTCAAGGAAACCAGTTTTATTTTCCTTTCAGATTAATCTTCGAATCAGTACCTATGTTAGATTCTTCCCTTTTTTTGAATAACTAAGTCAATAACCGTATGATTTCTTTTCAACATCAGACTCATTCTTGTAGCTGATAGCGCTACATTTGGAGTTGAACAAGAGTTACAATTTGACTTCCCAAGAAATTAAAAGTTTCCTGTTTATTCTTGGACATTTTGAAGAAGATATCTCAAGAGCACTTATCTTCCAAAGTAAGTAAGTAAGTAAAAAAAAAATGATCTACTACAGTCATTTATAAAGAGCTTCATAAGTTTTGCGTAATTTTTATTTTCATGGCATGATCAAAGGGCCAAAGTTGATGTTACTACATAACTATTTTACTAACAGAAATGATTTCTCACTCGATATTGATCTCACCTATCGGAAATAAAGTTCATAACTTAGCCCTGATGCAAAATATCTTCTGGTAATTTGTGTAGAGATACAATAGTCCTAATAATGAACTTTGACAAGGGATTATAAACAGTTTATGATAGTCTCTTGACCTTAGATATTGATATCAGATTGGCGACAGCTGTAGGCGCAAGAATTTGTATTATCATTTTTTGTTGTTCCTGATGTTTCATAGTTTCGTTTTAAGTGTTTATTTTCTCGTCTTCATTAATATTTTTTGTCAGTTACCAGTTTTTTACTTGTTATATTTTATTTGCATATCGTATATTTATTGTTCGCGTGTGATTTATTTGGTTGGTTGTTTAGTTTGCGAAAAATATCGTTACATATTTAGCTTTGGGTTTCATTTTTTCGTCTTTGGTTTGGTCACATTCGTCTTGTAGGTGTCCTTGTTTATTTCGCTTTGTCGTTTTCCAGTACTTTCACTCATACGTTGTAAGTTATTTTATGCTTATTCGCGTCTTTGTAATTTTGTTATTTTCAGTTACCGTGTCAAGTTTGTTCTGGTAAAGTTTGAAATACGAATGATTAGCGTTTGCGGCTATAACAGCCAACGGAACTACTACGATTAAGTTGGCAAAACCATCTCTCATTCAGCAAGCACAAATCAAAAAAACTGTAAAACAAATTTATATAGTATGCAATATGAAGTCAAGGAATATTTCTGACTTCAGGCAGAAAATAACAAAATGTTTCCTCTTTACTACTGCACTCTTGCTTCTTGACCCGTGACGGAGAAATTAACTCCTCAAATATTAGGGGAGTTTTTTTTTGTTTTTTTTTGTTTTCTTTTTTTTTTCAGTCCCTCGACAATAGCACTCTAAGCGAAGGGGGACTAAAACCCATGACAGCTATTGAAACGTTTTTCCCTGTCCCTGTCTTCACAGCGGTTTCTGTTTAGGTTGTCACGCAATGGGGGAGCGCTGCGTGACATTCAAAAAACAACAATGACAACAACAACAACAACAACAAAAGCAACAGCAAAAAGGGTGCATTCTTCAACAAAACTTGAACAGCGTACGTTGTATATAATTAGTCATCGCAAGGAAAACCACCATTCACAAATGAGCATACTGACGCTCAATACAAGATTAATGTTCCCAAGTCTTTCTTATGCATTCTCCTGTGATACATATCGTTCAAAATCTGCCTAGGATAAGCAGACACGTACTATTCAGCCATAATCTCTTGGTAACCACCGCCGGCGTCTTAAAGATTGTGGGTCAAAGGAAAACAGTCAAAAAGGCAACCACGAGAAGCAGAATAGGGCTGTAACCCACGTCATGGCCTACATTGCACAGGTCACTGCGACAACATGACCAATCACACTTTACATCCGTAAAGTTCATTTGATCCCGGTCACACGAGGTCTTCAAACTTCCACAAGTGGAGGTACTCGCACAGGATCTTTTTTCTACGTCAATCGTCGCACCGTTAAAAATCCCACTAACATGTGTCCGCATACAAGAATCCATTCCCTTGGGACAGGTCCGCTTAATTTGGTGGTGGATGCACTGTTCAGTGTTAAATGAACTACAACTGGCGGTCATCTCGGGAACACATTGATAACATGTAATCGAAAAAACTGCAAATAAATCACAAGGAAAGAAAGGTTTACATGCTTTTGAAAGCCCCATTTGCAATAGATAGGACCTTAAATTTTAGCGGGCTGTGCAGTAGAAAACTATCCGCTGGATTAACCAATCAAGCGCGCGAAGTAACGGAGAGATGTAGAAGTGTTAACGTTGACTTCAATAGGACCCACAAGGGCGTAACCCGCTGGAAACCCTGGGGTGCTGGTGCCCCCACTCCCCCCCGCACCCGCCCCCTTCAAGGTGATAACGGACAACTGGAAATCTAAATGGCGTAAATCTTTTCCAAAGCTAAATATTTCATATGCTGGTCTTTCTCGTAGTGCCCGCTGATACACAGAGAAGAACAGGAGCAGCAGTATAAACCAGCTCATGCAAAGCGCGCAGAAATTCGTAACTCGAGCCCCTTGGGAAAACAAACCTAACGACGCCCATGACCTATTTCTAATTATTGAACCATTCATTGTTGATCTAGATTCATACTGACTATTTCATAATTTACCCAACATCTGGCCCGTTTTACCTTGAAAGCTAATGAAACGAGACAAAGCAAATGAAAGCTGAATGCAAATGAAAGGAAATAAAACAAATATGTCAAGAACAAACCATTTCACTTAACTGATCCGTGCCAAAAAGAAAAAAGGCTTTTTGCTTGCATTTAACAACTTAAATAAATTGCTTGAAAAGCCAGTTTCATTAGGAGTGCCTATATCCAACTGAGCTAAACAAAAGATCGAGCTTTCCGTCTTCAAACGCTCCGCTGATTGACGATCAAAACTAAGGGACCTAATCACGGCACTCCAGGTTAGTTGGGTTGGCAACATCAACTGAGTTGATAACGTAAATTGGCCACCGTTCAGAGTTTCGAGCGTCATCTCCAAACGTCATCTTTGAAACTCTTAACAGTGGCCAATTTATGTCATCAACTGATTATACTCTCCCACCGACGCAGCACCACAGTTTTTCTAAAAACTTAGTCTAGGTTAGTTAGTTTCGTTGATTAATCAAAGCTTTCAATTCAAAATTTACCTCAGAGAAGTTGTTTAATAGCAACAACAGAGCAACTTATAACTTTGGATACAATCATAATTTTGGAATAATTTCTTTTGATGCCCTATTGATTGAAACTGCGAGAAACTCTTCAAGAAAAGTACGGTTGACTGGTGTTTGGAGTTTGCCTGAAAGCTGCTCTCCTTTCCGAATGCTATTGTCCATATAAATTCAATTCCTTCTGGCTTTTCTGTGTTTATTTTAGGATTTGAAACAATTTCAGGCCGTCATAACCCTTGATGTATGTTTGCAAATTGCTAAGACATAGCTCATTTCTTGAGTTGCGTGACCTAATCCTTAAACCAAATCTGTTTCAAACACGCGATATAAGTCAATTTTCGACGACATGGTCTCTCAAACATTAATTGCGAGACCACAGAGGAAGAACGAAAAGTTTCTTTATAAGAGAAGATCATTGAAGCGCAAAGAACATTTGGTATAACATAAAGCCGTCGGCAATGTAAAACTGCATTTACAGTTACAAAACTAAACGTTTGAAGTTGAATATTTAGTAAATCACCTTGTTTTTATCAGATGGATAATGTATCGTGCACTATTACAATTATTTTCAGAATGTAGCTTCGTCTCGTTCTTTTGCGGTCGGATGTTATAGTTTCGGGTTAATGTGGTTTTTCGATGAATGTTGAGTCAGGATATTGTCCTTTCTTTGTAATTGTTATTATTTAGTCTCTTCAATTTGAAAGAACATGGTACGAGGATTTTGTTGTTTACAGCTTAAAATGCTTTTGAAACATTGTGCAATACGAAATACGGCGTAGGATTATCTGTGATATCCTTCAAATGACGGTTCGAAACTTCTCAGATTTCATGGCGTGATTCTCCACACGTGATCTGGGTGAAGCACCGAAAGTTTCTGCCGTGTGACCATCTTCGATGAAAAAGGTTCTGTTTACAAAAATTGTCTCATCAACAACAACCTTTAAAATTAAACAATGAATCCCTCAGAGCACTAACAGTTTCAAAGACAACTGCGAAAAACGCAAACCGCACTTGTAACACAACGGCTCGGGTTTCTAAAAAATGACCTCGAGTTAAATTTGAATACAGAGCAATTTGAAAGATGGCAGCTCACCGATGGACATTTGAGTTTTATACCTTTTGTCTTATTTTTAAAGTCAATGTGGTACAAACGAGAGCTCCTCTCTCAAATGAAAGAAACATCTAACTGTCCTAACTCACCTAATGATGCTCTATATCTCGGGTAGGAAGGAAAAGCTTGATACACTATTTGCTGTCCTTACAAATATTGTAAAATATTATCTTGCAAATATCTGTTCTTCGGGGACTGGTTTGGGTAATGCAGCTATTTGTAAAGAAACAGACATCCGTTTCGAACGTACGGTGGTTTCCGGTTAAATTTTGGTGCGGCTATGAAAACCCCATGATGGAATTTTCTATCATTTCCAACGGCTTTCGCTTTTACCAGTAACCACCCGGCACAAAATATCAAATAACGCAGAGACAGAAGCTCAGCCAGGCAATTACTATCGCTCGTTTAGACAAGACTCCCTGTCATGCAACTAAACCTGCTACTAGTCCGCCACCATGGAGAGTTGCACGCCTGTCTCGTGTAGAGAGCAATCATTTTAGGCGTTGTAAATGAATCGTTAGTCTACGATGTAAGGGCAGAAATTTGCCCCATGATATTGATCAACGAATTTCTAATATACGACTTACCGTGACAAACGAGAGAAGAGGCGATAACAGCGATTAAGGCGATCCTCATTTTACTTATCGTTAACAACAACCTCGCTAATGGCTACAAGACCCTATAAGGGGCTGTGGGGAGCTGAAACTTATAATTTTGTTTAAATTGGTTCCCAGACCCTCTGATGCTCGCCGGTCAGTGTCACAGAACGCCGGTACTATATGCAAATTTTGTTTTTAACTCGTGGCCAGCGGTGAAAAAAACACATAGGAAAATGTGCTAAGTGGAAAAACGAAAGAAGAATCTACAACTGTTACACCCTGTGCGCAGTTGTGTAGAATGACCATCTTAAGGCGGGACGAGAAACTGACACTCGATCGAGAATTCATAGCGGAATGTCAATATCGGAATTGGTAATGAACGCAGCTTCTTGCTAACTAATAAGTGATGAATAGCCTGCGCAAAAGCCCTCATTATTAGCATCGAAAGACGCGCTTTTTTCAACCCGCGGGTAGATTTAAGACGAGACGGGGCGGGGGAGAGGTTTGCCGGGGTCTGGCACTAATTATCAGTGCTTGACCCTTTGCAGACCTCTGATGTACCGTTGCACTTATGTCCTCTTATTGCAGATATGTCCTGTGACGTAAATGTGATACAGTGGCCAATCATATCCTGCGATCTATCGAGCGACACGCGGCTTGGGACTGGTTGAGAGACTCCGTTGTAGTTATGTCTTCAAGCAAAAGTACTCATTCAAGGGGGTCGGGATAAGTGGAAAATTTGACCAGTATTTTCCGTTAACTGATCTGAGGAAAACATGCTGTTTGCATGATCACTGCGAACTGGATCATTGGTCTCTCATATTGCTTTCCTTGAAGTTCAATCGTTAGTTAACGCAGAGTGATTGCATCGTTGTTATAACCTAAACTTGGAAGAACAATTTGCTGCGCGTGAATAACAAAGCGACTTTCGACCAAAGGATGCGTTATTGTTCACGTTTTATTTGCAGCCTTGATTTATTTACAGTCTTCATTGCTCGACTTGCGACTTCAATGACAACATTTTAGCCACAAGCTAAGACAAAAGCACAATGTGGCGTCATATCACAATTGCTTTATTTTCTTTAATAGTTGAAGATCATAGATTATGGTTCGTCGACATAAAATTATATATTTTTGACACTTCACCTGGTCTGCCGGAGGTGAGAGAAGTCCAAGTTGTGATTATTTGTCTGCGTCACGAAGTCTTCCTGAGCCCTCCGTTAAAAAAATTTGAAGTAGTAGATTGTGATTTTATTGCGGTTCCGCTGATTTTAGCTGTTTGTTTTTTTTTTAGTACTGTTTCTAAATTATTGTAGGATTTATTGCACTTTTGGGTGGATTTGCCCTATTTTACCCTGTTTATGACAAATTCACACAATGATTAAATCGAAAATGGGGCTAAAGGTGGCTATGGAAAGTCAATAGGATAGAATCCACCTAAAGGATTTTTTTTTTTTTTTTTTTTTTTTTTTTTTAACTATGCGTGATTAAATAGTATCTCTTTATTGCGCCGTACTCTCCAAAGGGAGATGTTAGTCTACTTACAATAAAGTTCAATAATACAATATGAATAACATAAAACGATAACTTTACCATATCTGAATACAATACGTTGATTGAAAAGCTTTTCTAAATTAATTTTCATTGAGACTTTGATACATTAAATGAGGAACTATAACAAAAGTGAAAAAAAAACGTAAAATTGTTTGAAGTGTTTTGGTGAGAGTTTCGGGTTGAAGTTTTTTATTAAAGGATATGGTTTTTCTAGAATTCATTGGAAAAAAAATTGAAAATCGGGTTGAAGATTGGATATGGCAACTTGGGATCTATTCCATTTGGAGGATAACTTTTCAGGTTTTACCCTGTTTTTTGTCAAATTCACTGAAAAAAAATGGAAAACCGGAGTAAAAATAGCATATGGGAACTTCGGGTATTATTTACTTGTAACATGAATGCTCAGAATTGACCCCGTTTTTCTCGAATTCACTGATCAAATGGAAAATCGGGGTAAAGATGGTATATGGGAACTTAGCATATTGCTATCACTTGCGGGATGAGTTCGCAGAATTTACCTTGCTTTTCTAGAATTCATTGAAAAAAAAATGGAAAATCGGGTTGAAGATAGCATGTGGGAACTTAGGGTACTATTCACTTGTAGTATGAATGCTTAGAATTTACCCCGTTTTTCTCGAATTCACCTATCAAATGGAAAATCGGGGTAAAGATGGCATATGGGAACTTAGCGTATCGCTATCGCTGAAAATAATGGAAAATCGGGTAAAGATTACAAATCACAAGTTGGGATATGTTTCACTTGTAGGATGAATTGTCTGATTTTACCCCATTTTTACAGAATTCTTGGAAAAATGCAAAGAACCGGGACAAAGATTGAATATGACAAGTTAGGATGTATTCCATTGACAGGATGAATACTCAGATTTTACCCCGTTTTTCCAGAATTGACTCAACAAACGGAAAATCGAGGTGAAGATTGATTATGAAAAGCTAGGATGCATCCCACATGTGGGTTTACCTTACTTGTCTCTAATAAACGAAAAAAAAATGGAAAATTAGGTTGAAGATTTGATATGGTAGAATTGGAAACTCGGGGTAAAGATAGCATATGGGAGCTGAGGGTATTATGAACTCTCAGAGTTTATCCTGTTTTTCTAGAACTAATTCATTAAAACAAAGGAAAATCGGGGTAAAGATTTGACATCCCAACTGAGGTTACATTCCACTTGCATGATGAATTGTCAAAACTTATCCCGCTTTCTAGAATTCGTTGAGCGAATGAAAAATCAGGGACAGATTGGACATTGCAAGTCATGATATTAACCACTCGTGGAAGGAATCGTCACGGTTTACCCCGTTTTTCTAGAGTTATTTGAACAAATCGGGATGGAGATTGGATATGGAAAAGTTATGATATTATCCGCTCGTAGGTTGGTTCAGAAAATGGAAAATTTGGGTGAAGATTGGATTTGGCATGTTAGGATATATTCTACTTGCTGGATAAATTGTAAGAATTCAATGAAAAATGGAAAATGGCTGTCAATATTGGATATGTCAAGTTGGAATACATTACATTACGAGCTATTTGATTGATTTGATTTTCGAATGCACTTAAGACATGGAAATGCATGGGAATGAACAGATATACCACATTTGTAAGTTAGATCGCCGGAATTGCACCCTTTATTCGCGTAAAAGAATGTTGGGATGGGGGTAGGTGTCGAAAGGTTACCCTCGGGTGAAGTCAATAATTTTAGCCGGTACATTGTAGAATCCCTGCACAAAGCCTGGAGATTATTGGACAAATATCACTGAGTCTGAGGAGATTTTTATCGCTGGAAAAGAGAATGTAGCCTTCCCTATAAAATATTTATCACTGTGATGTTCTGATTGTTGAGACCGTTCTGTATATTACTCACACCCTTGGAATTTAAGTCAGTTTAGCGTTAAAAAAAAGTTTTCAGACAATTGGAATTTTTCCCAGAAGTCGCTGTATACACAGATGCATGTGCATATATTGACGGCAAGCTATTGATTTATCTTTGCTTGACAAGCAAAGTGTACATCTACGTAGAGGACTACGGGTTCTAATCACCGTCAGATAAAACATTGTAACAGAATATTTAAAGAGTCGAATGCAAAGGAAGACATTCCAAAAGGATCTCATTCCAAAGAGACATCTGCCCAAAAAGCAGGATGCTTATATGAGAAAAGAAAAGAAAACCAAACTTAAGTAATTCAGATTTAATTAAACTTTTAACAGATGACAATGTTAACAAGCATTACTTTCTTGTCACTATTAACATGCATCACGAAAGAAGACAATTGAGCAATAACTATTATTCATGCTAATACCAAGTCAAAGCTTTGTCACAGTTTCTTTCTCAAAAAGATGCTGTAGATGAATATGAAGAGTGATTTTATCCAACTGGTGAAATTGGTCATAAACTACTGTGCATTACAAAATTTTTGGTTTATGTCATGTTTTCCACACACAACATGGGGTGATCCAACAATCAAACATGTGTGCTGGTGTCATACAGGTTTGTTTACATACTGTTTCATGGGTTGAGTAAAATCACTCTAGTTGTTCCTTTTTTAATGTTTCATATAAATTTTGGTCACCTTTTTCCTGCTATGATATCCTTTGTTGATAAAATCATCTTGATAAATAGGATACACTGTAAGTGTTTGGAACAAATAAACACTTTTTTTGTGTCATTTAAGCAGGAATGATTGGTGCTAAATATTTTTTCTAACCACATGTGCAAACCGTAATTAATCTAACTCAAAATTCAGGCTTAAATTGCTCATCTAGCAAACAAATGGGTAGTTTAAAAAAAAAAAACTCCTTCAGTTGTACTTGAACATGCAACACTTCCATGGAAATAAACATCTTCAGTACAAATAATTCAAGTAAATAACTTCAGGTGAAATAGTGATTTTTTTGGAATTTGTGAAATATAAAGTAGACTACAGTACACTAATATATAATAAATCCATTCTATCCTTTAACTCACTTGCAACTATTTGGCTCTAACTGTTCAATACTATTTGACAGATTACAGAAAGTAACTGTATCTGTCCTTCCAATTTGCCCCTATATACTTTTGAATAAAATAAAGCAGTTGACATCACATCGAGGAGTCAAGGCTATTTTATTCACCCATTCACTCATAATGGTTGGTAAGATTTCTTTTTTATATGGGTTGCTGTAAATGTAAAGATTTTAAATAAATTCTTTGCAATTTAAATGTTTGTGTCATTTTTTAAAATTTTACTGCTCTGGAAATGCACTGGATATGAAACTCTGGAACTAAACAACTCCAAAGGAGGTTTTGTGGACAAATTCATGGGTCTGATGTGAACATGCTTAAGAGGTCACATTCTCTATTGACGTTCTCTGGCCATGACTAGGTATTATTCACAATTTGTAGCTGGGGAATTTTGGATATAACTTGAATTAGGCATGCTTCAAAACCCAATTGAAACTGTTAGAGTGAACACGTGACCTGTTAGGTG